CCTGTATCTCCAAACTTTACAATGAAACGTGTGGTTTTTAATAGAGCAATGGGCTCGGCTTGGCCAACAGCATCTTGTGTGAAAGTTTCACGTTCAATGTCGCAACTAGCCCAAAAAATATTTTTTTGGTCGTCGTCGTCAAAGAGGGCGACCCCCAGATCCAGTTTGGCTGGTAGCGACATTGCGAAATCTGGGATTGGCAAGCTTGATCGTGAAACTTTCACACAAGGTGCAGTTGGCCAAGCCGAGCACATTGTTCTATCAAAGACCCCACGTTTCATTGTAAAGTTCGGAGATACAGGCACCTTTACGTTTGTAAGCGTGATGCTATATGAGAAGTGGTCTTTGTTCATTGTCAAGTAGGTGGACCCTGGCAGAGCAAAAGATGCAGAAGGACCTCTTTGGGTAACTCAGCTAAAAAGTCAGGACTTCAGGGACAATGCATGAAAGGTACGCAACCCGCACTTTATGTCATACATTGGCAGCTAATAGCCACTTTTGTGCATTCCCAACTTTTGTGCATTCTATTGTAGGTGGACGATGCCCCTGCTCCAGACATTCATTTCCATGATTAAAGCAGGTTGATCTGAGCTGATTTGGTTGAGTTACGCTCACACAAGATTACATCGGTTGAGCTACATCGAGCGTGCTCTATGTCCAGAGTGATGTAATCTCTCTTTGACCACAGCTCAGTCAAATCAGCTCGGATCAACCTACTTTAATCATGGAAATGAATGTCTAGAGCAGGGGCATCGTTCCCATGCAGTGGATCTCGCAACAATGGTGATCGGATAAAAGTGGCCGTTAGCTAGCAATACATGCCTGTTCCTAGATGATCCATAAAGTAATTATGCATTGACCCTTTCATTCATGCAAACGTAGCTGTGTTACACAACACGACCCTCTGCATCTTTTGCTCTGCCAGGGTCCACCTACTTGACAATGAACAAAGACCACTCTTCATATAGGATCACGCTTACAAACATAAAGGTGCCTGTATCTCCAAACTTTACAATGAAACGTGGGGTTTTGAATAGAGCAATGGACTCGGCTTGGCCAAAAGCACCTTGTGTGAAAGTTTCGCGTTCAATGTCGCAAACAGCCCAAAAAATATTTTTTGGTCGTCGTCGTCGAAGAGGTCGACCCCCAGATCCAGTTTGGCTGGTAGCGACATTGCGAAATCTGGGATTGGCCACGATGGACTTCATAGTTTGACACAAGATCGCTTTCAACCCGCCGAGCAACATGGTTCTATCAAAGACCCCACGTTTCAATGTAAAGTTTAGAGATACAGGAACCTTCATGTTTTACATATGCTGCAAGCGTGATGCTATATGAAAAGAGTTCTTTGTTCATTGTATAGTATGACTACAATAGAGCCAAACATGCAGAGGGACGTGTTGTGTAACTTGAGTCAGTCAGCACAGGCGATGCATGATACTTGTGCACTATTTAGGAGTAGTTCATAATAACCCAGTCCTCCCAATCATCTTTGTTGCCCAACCCAATGAATGTGAACGATTGTCCTGCTCCAGCTCATCATTTCCATCATTGAACTTTCTTGATGCGATGGGATTTGACTGAAAAACGCTCAAACACAGAAACATAATCCAAAATCAGAAAATTTTATCTGGTTAGTTATACGTAAACTGCCACTTGATAGCCCATTCCTCCCATTCACCTTTGTTGCCCAAAACAATGGATGTAATCGATTGTCCTGCTCCAGCCCAGCATGCCCATCATTAACTTTCATGATTCGAGCTAACCTGGTAGTAAGGCTATGGCTGTTGTTGGATCATCATTATCATGTAAAGTGTAAAATGGCAGACACCCTTTTGCTATACATGAGGATCATCATTTCTTTTATTTACGTGTACCTATTGTCTATCGTGGGGGTGATGATGACGATGGGTGGATGGTGTGTATAGGGTAATTGATGAGTGGCCTCAGTGTAATAGCAGTAGGGGATTTAAACTTGGGGACAGCAGCTCCACGACTTGAGACAACGCTTCTCTTCTTTTTCTCCCCACCTTTCCTTATTCCATTCACGACATCTCGATCAAGGTAATGTATTATAAAAAAGTGCTCTTGTTGGCTGTGAGGTGTTAATGTAGTTCTGAACATGCATTGTCAGGGAGAGTGAGGGTGTCCAAATGCTGAGGAATGAGCGTGGTTGGTGGTTGGTGGTTGCCATGGCGATATTATTTCTTCCTTTTGCTCGTTGCTATTTCCGCTCTACGCTTGGTGTCAACAGGTACACTCAGAGTCCAATGTTGCAGCAGAACTTGTTTCATTGACGTGTTAGCTTGTATGGACGGCAAGGCTGATCTCAAAACGTTGGCTCACTTGTCTTCTTGTTTCGGAGCGACTACACGACACCATTGTTTTCGGTTCCAGTAACCCAAAAACGAAGGGTCTTTGTGTATATGGAAAAGGCAAGTGTAGTGAACAAGGACAATGAAAAAGGTGTTTATTGTGTATGTGTACTAATGATTAAATGAATAGGTTCTTGGTCAGGCAATGCAACTTTGGGCATCATCTCTCCTTGGGTTCGACTCCCAGCCTGTACCTTTTGGGTATCACCAGTGCAGAATGATACATGCTCTTCTCGTTGTTCTTTGAGGATTGGGAATATGGAGAACATTCTTTAGAGAGGATGAGGACAACTATTGGTCGCCGCAACTACAAAAGTGAATGTTGACAGGATCGAACTAGGCTTGTGTGAATCGCGAAGTGCTTTCTCAAAAGACATCGGGCAGGCGAAGTTCGTGGCTCATTATTACTCAGAATAAAGCATCGTGGCTACTTTACATCAAAAAGAATGGTTACATCGGGTTGGGGATAGCCGCATGATTTTGCTGCATAATCAGTGGGTGGACACAATTTTGCCTCGGAGCAGTCATCTGACGTCGATGATGTGGGACAAACCTAGCCGATCTCCGTCCGCTTTTGTTTCTAAACATGGAAATGATATCTAGATGATAGATAGCCCAAATCATACAAGATTGCTTCACAGCGTTGCCATCACCATCATGATCAAAATTACGTGTATGCCGGTTGTGAAATATCACTCATGCTTATAGTAGTTTGTCATCAAATACCTTACCGATTATCATAGACATTTTCGCTTCGCAACTCTCATCTAATAATTTGTGATTATCATTGTTACGCTTTGTAATTCTGGAAGCGGCAGATGGAGATGACCGATATGGAAACGACATCTACTGGATGCTTTGATCTAATCTTTGCAAATATAAGGAGAAGGCAATCATCCAATCTTGAAACTTGCATCCATTTTCTACACCACAAATCATACGCACAACCACCATAATGTCCCCTCCTCGCGATTTTGCTTCTGCTGATGCAACAGCTACCGATGATGTGAACCGCCCTCGTGTTCCTATTGCCTCACCTTATACACCTCGTTATCAAGATCCAATGTCCAATATCTCTAATTTCAAGATTATCGAGACTACCTTGCGAGGTATGCTTATGCTTCCCTTTTCTCATATGGACGTATGCTAATTGAACAATATAGAGGGTGAACAATTTGCCAATGCCTTCTTTGACACAAAAACCAAGGTTGAGATTGCCAAGGCACTTGATAACCTTGGAGCCGATTATATCGAATTGACCTCGCCAGCTGCTTCGGAACAATCACGTAACGACTGTACAGTTATTGCTGGTCTTGGTTTGAAGGCCAAGGTGCTTACCCATGTGCGTTGCCACCTTGATGATGTTAAACTTGCTATTGATACTGGCGTTGATGGTGTCAATGTTGTCATGGGCACATCAAGTTATTTGCGTGAATTTTCTCATGGCAAAAGCATGGAATACATTACCAAGAAGGCCATTGAAGTCATTGACTATGTCAAAAGCAAAGGCTTGGAGGTTCGCTTTTCTACCGAGGACTCTTTCCGTTCTGATCTTGTCGACTTGCTTGCCATCTACCGTGCCGTTGACAAAGCAGGTGTTCATCGCGTTGGTATTGCCGATACCGTTGGCTGTGCAAATCCTCGCCAAGTCTATGAGTTTGTGCGTACACTACGTAGCGTGGTGAATTGCGATATCGAATGTCATTTCCACAATGATACTGGCTGTGCTATTGCAAATGCTTATACTGGTAAGGATATATCACTTCTCTCAATTTGCATCTTGTGTACTTAAATTTTTGATAACAATAGCTCTTGAAGCTGGTGCCACTCATATCGATACCACAGTTCTTGGCATTGGAGAACGTAATGGTATCACACCTCTTGGTGGCTTACTCGCAAGAATGTATACAGCAGACCGCGCCTATGTCATGGACAAGTACACTTTGCCCGATATTCGACACGTCGAGAACATTGTTGCCGAAGCTGTTCAGGTCACTGTGCCTTTTGACAACTACATTACTGGTTTTTGTGCATTTACGCACAAAGCTGGTATCCATGCCAAAGCTATTTTGAACAACCCATCCACATATGAAATCTTGAAACCCGAGGATTTCGGTGTGTCTCGCTATGTTAGCATAGGTCATCGTCTCACTGGTTGGAATGCTGTGATGAACCGAATTGAGCAACTTCAACTTAGTAATATGAATGACGATGATGCCAAGGCCATCACACAGAAGATCAAGCAGCTTGCAGATATCCGACCTTTAGGTCTTGATAATGTTGATGTTCTCATTCGGCAATACCATACTGGCAAACAAACTTCTGAACACATCAAAGTGCTGAATAGCATCGAATCACCGGATCAGCTCACAACCACTGGCAACCGCTAAACCCGAAATTATGATTCCCTCTTCCCCACACCCATTCTCATGATCATGTTTGTGTATGCATTTCCTTCATCCATCTTTTAGCAACCTAAATCCTTTACCATCCCAACATGTATTCGCACATTTTTTTGCATTGTTTGCACATCAAAAGTATATAAAACTATCTCTTGTACAAAAACTAGTAAATACAATAGCCTTGTTTCTTAAAACAAACCAACGACCTTGCCATCTTCATCCAAATCAACATCAAAGAAGCATGGGCGAGTAGGAAGACCAGGCATTGTTTGCATTGAGCCAACAAGTGGATACAAGAAACCAGCACCAACAGAGGCCCTAAGCAATGACCATATGTTATTACGCTGTCTTTTTGCGTGCTTGTATAAATTTACCTGATGTCGCGAATAGGGACTGTAAATCCAGTAGGAACACCCTTGAGAGCGGGATCATGGCTAAAGCTGTATTGGGTCTTGGCCATACAGATTGGCAAGGAACCAAAACCTTGCTGGGTATAGGTCTCAATTTGCTTCTTGGCAGCATCGCTCAATTCAATGCCATCAGCACCATAGATTTCTTTGCAAATGATTTCAATCTTCTTCTCGATAGGCAAATCCAAATCATAAAGGAACTTGAACTTCTTGTCCTTTTCGCAAGCATTGATGACTGATTTTCCAAGGTCCACAGCACCCAAACCGCCACGGGCCCAATGATCACAAGCAACAGCGTCGTCAGCACCAGCGCTCAGGGACAACTTTCGGATCAACTCCATTTCAGCATCAGTATCCGATCTAATAATCGAGTGTGAGTTACATGCATCCAATTACCAACAAAGCCACTTACGTGAATCGATTGATAGCAACAATGACCGAAATGCCGAATTTCTTTGCATTTTCAATGTGCTTGACAAGGTTGCTGCATCCCTTTTCAAGGAATTCGAGATTCTCTTCGGTATAAGCATCAGGAAGAGGCTTGCCAGCCACGACTTCAGGAGCACCACCATGCATCTTGAGGGCACGAACGGTAGCAACAATGACAACAGCATCAGGCACAAGACCAGAGACACGACACTTGATATCAAAGAACTTCTCCATACCCATATCGGCACCAAAACCAGCTTCGGTAATAACGTAGCCAGGCTCCATACCCTCTTCTGTACCAGCAAGCTTGAGGGCCACCTTATCAGCAAGAATAGAGGAGTTGCCATGAGCAATATTGGCAAATGGACCAGCATGAACCAACACGGGTGTGCCTTCGATCGTTTGCATAAGGTTTGGCTTGATAGCATCCTTCATAAGCACTGTCAATGCACCACCAATGCCAATATCATCAGCCGTCACGGGCTGTCCACTCTTTGAGCTTGCCACCACCATGTTGCCAAGACGTTGACGCATATCCTTCAAATCGGTTGCAAGGGCAAGTACAGCCATGACTTCACTTGCCACAGAGATATCAAATCCGGTAACACGCTCTTGGCCCTTTTCGGTAGGGTTCTGGCCGACAGTGATTTTGCGCAAGAAACGATCATTGATATCCATAACACGTTGCCAGGTAATGGTATCGGGATCAATATCAAGACGTGCAAAACGATGGATCTCCTCTTCAGTCAAGTCTTCAGGGTTGGTCTTGTTGATGCCCAATTTCTATTCAAATCATGTTGTAAATAACCACATCCAATAGCATTGAAGAATAAAAATACATACCTCAAGGCGTTTAAGCATGACAGGGGCAAATTTGCGCACACCCTTCTTTGCAGGGCAAAGACGATTGAACAAGGCCTTTAAAAAAGTAAATGAGCTTCACATGTCATCACCAATTGTAATCCTTATACTCTACCTTGTCCGTTTGTGTGTTTTCGTGGAACATGCGAGCATCAATTGCGGCAGCTGTAATACATCATCCATCAATGATCGGCGTCTTTTTTGTGGATAATAATGACTTACCCAAAAGGTTGTTGGCAGCAGTGACAGCATGAATATCGCCAGTCAAATGCAAATTGAATTCATCCATGGGAATCACTTGCGAGTAACCACCACCAGCAGCACCACCCTTGATACCAAATGTAGGACCTTGCGATGGTTGACGCACACAAGCAAATGCAACCTTGTTCAAATGAGCACCGAGAGCTTGCACAAGACCAATGGTGGTAGTAGACTTTCCTTCACCGAGAGGAGTGGGGGTAATACTAAATGTCAAAAGAAGCATTCAGTATTTGAGCAGATCCCTTGTACCTCATTCAATATTTACCCTGTGACAACAATGTAACGACCATCCTTGCGATGACCAAGTCGTTCCAAAACGTTCAAGTTGACCTTGGCCTTGGTGTTTCCATAGAGCTCGTACTTTTGGAAAGATAAACTTATCAATACGCATTCAAACCATGATGATCATAGTGCCTAACTTACCTCACTAGCACTCATTCCCAATTCCTTGCAAAGAATTTCAATATCCTTAGGAGTTTGCTCGCGAGCGATTTCGATATCACTGGGGACGGGAGTCTTGAGATCAAGAGGGAGAGGAGAAATGTTGCGGGAGCGGCTCAAATCAAACCAACGCTTAGCACTGGTAAAAGTGTTCTCCATAAGCATAGCCACAGTCATTGGACCTACACCTCCAGGCACAGGAGTGATGGCATGTGCAACTTCGGCAGCCTTGGCATACTCGACATCACCAACCCAACGCATACCGGACTTTTTGGTAGAGTCTAAACATCATCCCACATCAGGATCCTGCTCTTTGATGCTTTTCTACTAATAAGATCTTACCAGGGACACCGTTAGTGCCAACATCAATGACAACAGCACCAGGCTTGATCCATTCGCCTTTAACAAATTCAGTCTTGCCAATAGCGACCACAAGGATATCGGCTTCCTTGACCTATACAAGATGTTAGATTCCATCAATCCCATACATGAAGCATGTCCATATCTACGTACGATGCTTTCGATATTCTCGGTCTTGGAGTGGCAAAGGGTGACAGTTGCATTTTCACCGGTAAGCAATGTGGCCACAGGAGCACCCTGAGAATTACAATGATTAGATACTCATTATCTTGCCAAATGTTCGATGTTACATACCACAATGTCACTACGACCAAGCACCACGGCACGTTTGCCATTCATATCAATACCTAGCAAAAAGCGAGAACCACTTGTCAATCCATGTAAACAACGAGGACGAAAGTATGATCACTTACCAGTGGAGCGAAGGAGTGTAAGGATGCCTTTGGGAGTGCAAGGAAGAAACAAGGGTTCAGCGGTCTTTTTGGCCATATTGCCGACATTGACAGCGTGAAAACTGTGGGGTAAAGAAGATCCGATATCAATAATCCGACAAGCTCATCTTTGACAACCAACATTACCCATCCACATCCTTTTGATAATCGATAGCCTCCACTACTGCAGCCTCATCAATGTGGGAAGGAAGACTAAAAGATCATATCAGCGTCCATGTACAAAGATCCTTTTGTAGAGCGTATACTTACGGCATTTGAACAAGGATGCCATGGATACGGTAATCATCGTTGAGCTCTTTGACTTTTTGGAGTAATTCAGATTGAGAAACGCTCTCGGGAAGCTTTTGCAAACTGAACTCGATGCCAGCCTACATACAAGAACACGAAACTCGAGTGAGTGATAACGTTGTGCAACACGTTCAAGAACAACAACTCTCACTGACCTCTTTGGCTGCACGCTCCTTCATGCGAATGTACAAGGACGAGTCGTCTCGGTTACCAACTTGGACAATGGCAAGGTGAGGGTTGAAGTGAGGATACTGAGCTTTGGTGTTTGCAATGTTCTCCTTGACCTTGGCACGCACAGATCTAGAGAACGGGACATGCAAGGTTAGTCGATTGAATTTCCGATGCCATGAGGCATGACACTTACTGTGCAATGGCTTTGCCGTCAATAATGGAAGCAGGCATGGTAGTCAATGGACGTGGAAAAGAGAAACGAGGTGCTACAAGAGGTCTGTGCCGTACAAGGAGCGTGGAAACTCTGTGCAGGGCACCGAAAGGCATATGTTTATATCTTAGATCGCGTCGGGAGATGCTTGTCCTTTTGAGTCACGTCAAAAAAGTCTCAAACAAAAAAAGAAGCCATGGTTAGCGGAGGATTAGATGCAGGAATAGAACAACCATACCCCGTTGCTTAATTTGTATGGATCATTTCCAATGCTTCTTGTATTCATGATGATGTTCCTTATATAAAATGACATTCTGGCAGCTTGCTTGAGCGGGGTGACAACGCATCAATGACATCTCAACATCTATCTTCAATCTCTTACCACCTATCGCACGTAGCTTGATATCGTGGATGAGATGGCTTATTCATCCCATATACACATATACATTGTTATAAACACCTCCTTGATTTAGTGATGATATTGAACAATGAACAAGCAGCGCTTCGATTAGACTACCTACGTTTGTGTAACACCATCATCCCTTTCCGACAAATTCTTATCTGTTGCTGACTCAAAACATCAGGAATACGGCCCTATGATGTCCTGTACTATGCCCCTGTTAATGACCATGGCAACATTTTATTTTGTCAAAATAAGATTGTTATAGTTGGGATACATATCTCTGTTGGCTCTATTAAATAGATGAAAGACCGGAAAAAGTCATTGAATCGGGGGGGGGTGTTCCATATGGGGAGATGCTGACAGAGGAAAATGACAAAGGCGGTTCATTGTTCATGATGGGAAGCAGCTGCGAGAGCTACCTACCTATCACAAAGTATCCATCAAGGAACACTGCCAAATGTCATCAGGCAGTAATGAGCACATCAGTGATAAAGCAATCAAGTGCAGGGCTCCTACTAGTACATTGATGAAAAGAAAATTCATTTTGGGAGTCATAAAGATGCCAATGATGATTATATGAACACAAGTAGAAAGGGCGTATGATAGTGTTGGTGACAGTAGCCTTGTTTATATGTGAGTGAGTGTGCTAATTGTTGTCATGATGGTCAAGCATCTTGGAGTACGGAGTCTAAGTGATGGAAATCAACACCTGATAAATCCACATGCCACCTGAAAGGTGAATTTTCGTAGGTGACATAAGTAAGCCCTATCGTCTCTTCTGATTGCGTGACAACATCCCATTGGAAATGGTTTTCAAACCTGCTTGCAACCTGTCAAGCGTGGTTCTAATTGCAACCACGTGTGCATTGCTCGCTGATTGTCACTTGTAGGTTTTGTTGTTCTTCTAATAATGGTTGAAGATGATTGACAACACCTTCTCTAGGAGTATTTTGTGTATATAAGACCATGACCTTGAGTGGACTTTTTCTCTTTACACAGGAACCTCCATCATCATACATACATTCGATGATTCTTAACGCACGTGGAGTTTTCTAATGGTGCTTGAGGTATGTATGGTAGATTGATGTGTGTGTAGCAGAAGACATGATAAGAGTAAATGATACTCGGTGAGGGTTGTTTATGTTGAAGAAGAACAAGGAGACTAAGATTGAATAGTAACCTAGGATGTAACCATAATAAACGAGCCGAGTCTGGATGATGGATACACGTGATTATCCTTGGACATGGTAGTGCTGACATCTTTGGCATACCTTTTTTTTGGCGGCGGCTACGGTGACAACACGCAAGAACTGTTGTCCTGGTCGCCACTCTCGCACCAGCCCCTAAACTTTGCCAAGGTCCCCTTATCTGTGGTCAAGCTTGTCTCAAAGCTGCCACATTAGGCTCATGGTAGACCCATGGGCAGGGCTTTACAGCCCGTCATATACATGTAAGTCGATTACTTTCATTATGATCGTGGATCGTTTTCCTAACAACCCATTTCTGTTGCATCATCCTGATCTTGATAACTTTCCTCCTTGCGGCTGCTCTTAACATTTCATTGATGATACCTGATTTGTGCCTTACCCTTTATTACATCATTTTATATACACTACAATACATTATAAAGATGTACTTCAATTGCTCATATGGATGGCTACTTGGCAAAGAAAAGAGTGGGGTCGTGCGTTTCTGTGACACGTTGAGAGTAATGCAAGATAAGATTTGATCTAATTACATCGTTTTTTTATTGCTTTGTAATGAAACGATCCCAAAACTATAGTAGGTATCATATCTACTAGGGCAATAAGCTCCTGAATCCATTACACGGATTGCTGATCCATGCTCGCTTGAGAGGTCCAATACATTGCTGCGGCTGACCATTGCGGAGCACCAATCAAAATGGCCTAAATCTCTGCACACAAACGCGTGAGTACATTTATCCACCGCTTTCTCCTCTTTTCTTGCTTTCTTTGTTTCTCCTATCACCCTACTACTTCTACTATTGAAGCATGTATCACAATCACCAAGCCATAGTTAATCTCTTTGGAGGAAACGGTCCTCTTTGTCTCTCATTCGAACCACACGATGATCACACTGTTTCCGATTTGAAGCGTCGACTTGCTTCCATGACCCATATTGATACGACCGATCAACGCATAAGCACTCTTGGTGGTCGACCTCTCTCAGATGACGATTTGCTATTCAATGATCCTCAAGGCCCTGTTACGTTCAACCTTTCCTTGCGTCTCTTGGGTGGAAAGGGTGGTTTTGGATCTATGCTTCGTGCTCAAGGTGGCCGCATGAACGCTCAAAAGACAACCAACTTTGAAGCATGCCGTGATCTTCAAGGAAGACGTATTCGTACCGTTAATGAAGAGCGCAGGTAAAGTAAACCTAATGTATTTGTTTTCATTGTCCCTTGCAACTGATGATGGGTCTTTTATTAGACTTCAAGATGCATTGGCAGCTCAACCAGAGATTGAACGTGCGAGACAAGAAGCAATCAAAAAGAAGATTGAAGATGGCCTCAAGGAACGTGAACCAAAGAAGTTTCGATTCGATGATACGCAGTTTTTGGAGGATCGTGAACAAGCAATGGAAGGTGTTAAGAGTGCAGTCAGCAGCATCTTGAAGAAGCAAACCAAGAAACCTAAACAACAGGTCGTTGCTATGTCACTTCTCTTTGACGATGAAATGGATGACGATGATGACGAAGACGACGAAGAAGATGATGACGAACAACCCAATGACGCTGAAGGTGACTCTGAATCGCAGCAACAACAAGACACCCAAAAGTCATCCTCAGAGAAGGAGTCAACAAAAGATAAAGGAAAAGGCAAAATGTCCACGACCTCATCCAAAGGAAAGCAATCAGCATCATCTTCCGGCAACGATGACAATGAAGAGGATGACAATGAAAACAACAACAACAACAAAAACCTTCTTTCTGATTTCATGGAAGCCAACTATGACGAAGAATACGACAGCGAAGAAGATGAGGATTTTGAAGAGAACGATGAAGATGAGGGATCAAGCTCGGATGAAGACTTGGAAGAGGAGGATTTTGAAGCCGAAGAGGAGGAGGATGAACCAACCGACACAGCAGCAGCAACCAAGGCCTCATCATCAGGATCATCCAAGGAGGACAAAGGAAAAGGAAAGGTGACTCGAAAGCGCAAAGAAAGAGACGAGTAGATCCCATTGTATATATACATATATCTTTACGTCTGTCATTACATTACAAATATCCCCATTGAAATCATTTTGATAAAGGCGTAGTAGTAATAACAAGTTGGCTTTGTATAACAATTTATGGATTAAGGAGACGGCGAGGAATAGCTGCACAACCGGAATGGAATCCTCCAAAACCAATCGCGAATACAAACATGTCTTGTAACTTTTCCACAATCTCTGGGGAAGTTTCCCTTTGTTCATCATCTTCGTATCCGCGTCCCAATGCCCCTGAGCTATATAATCCCCATGTGAGAAGCCTTCCTTCAGTGGTTAACGCACCATAATGAAAGCTACTTTTTATCCTCATTAATAACCTTGTGCATCATTTTCATTGTTCCCTTCTCTTACTTTCCAAATGTCACTTTTTGAATATCGTGGCCAGCTGTGTCCAATATTTGTGGTTCATCATCAGCCTCACTATTCTCATGACCCAACAATGCTTTCCCTTGACTGCATATGGCAAATTGCTGTGCCTGAGCTGACAGTATTGCTCGTCGGTAATCAAACGATGTTCCATCTCCGGGATGTTGCAAGAAATGAGAAAATCGTTTCAGCTCAGTAACATCGCAACGAGCTGAATCATTGTTTTGTGAATGTAATGACGCAAAGTGCAGCTTGAATACTTGGCCTGTTCTTGTTAATGCAATCGATGCATCATCTAAGCCAGCGACCTTGATGAATTGATCATTCTTGTGGATAGGCTCACTCGTCACAATCATGGATTTTGGTGATACAGGAAATGGAATGAGGAATACTTGTCCTGTAGCTGTAAGAGCTGTGGAATAATTCCAATGGGCTGTGATATGGGTAATTGCACCGGTAGCTTTGATGATATGCACCTCTTGTGGTTTCCAACTATTAGCCCAATGCCATAAACGGCCTTGATGATCAAGTGCTACAGCATGCAACTTGCCACTAGCAATGACTTTGATGCGTACTTGGGTTGGAAATCTAACGCACATGGGCTGTCGTACCAAATCTTGTTGAGGAGGGATGATGAGCGGATGTCGGGGTTGCATCTAAACAATGACATTGCTTGTGGTCAATGCGGGTCATTCTTTATACCCCGTGGTGATCATCCCCTTATATAAGAACGTACCCAGCCCCACATCCACACTTGCCCTCGTCGATCCAATGCATGAAACGACCAACCTCCAGCAACAATATCAACGATCCCTTTGCTTCGGAGACCACGTAACTCTCGAGGAATGGTGATTTGTCTCAAAAACCTATGATGACACACACGCTCAGCAATCCGAGTAGATGGTAATCCAAAAGTAGAACCACCCGTAAGTACTTACGCATCGCGTCCTGCATTCTCTTGGTCACCAAAGCCAAGTCGTTTATCACTATTTTCTCCCCATGTATATATCCGTTGTCCTTGATCCAATTCGATGTATAATTGCTTCCACGTATACCGCTTTGTGTTCAAAGGTAACAATAAACCAAAATCCGAAATGACTCGTCCCTTCCATACTCGGTCGTCATTGCATAAAATGTAGAATAGATGGCATGTACTTGATAAGATAGCGAGATTTGATACATCAAGACACGGTAAAGTTTGTTCAAGAAGTACATCCAAGGGAAGATTATAAAGCATTGTTGTTGACTAAAGGGAAAGAAGAGCAGTGAGAGAGAAATAGACGTTGTGTTGAATGTGGATACGATTATGCGTGAGATGACCCTGCCGTTTTCTCATGACCCCGATTTAGCCAGGCTCTCCACCATATCGCTTCACTCAAAGTCCCTGGTTTCCATTTTGCTTTCTTCCCATCCTCTACTCACAGTTGTACTGCTCGTCACACATGACGAGATTTCGACCTGGTATGGAAATACCACTATATCCCATTGTTCCGCATGAAGCAGGTTTTGCTATTCGTGCGTGTTTTTTGTTACTATCACCCACTGTGATGATCACTTCAATCATGCCATATCCATTGACATCCAAATACGTGCGTGTGGATTGAGTTAAAAAGTCCTAGAAGAAGGAAGAATGGTTTTGGTTTTGCATTAAAGTACACATAAGCGTGGGAGTGGGAAAACAATGTGAACAATATGTACAGGGGATATCATAATTGAAGGGAGGAGGATTTTGCTGATGAAGAAACGTTAAGCATCATGTACTTCAAGCGAAGGTAAAGCGTCGAATTTGGCTTGCAAATCGATTAACCTTGGTGCTAGGTCGGATTGAAGTAAGGATTGTATGGCGGGATCCATAGTTTGTTGTTGCAATTGCATAAATGTAATTGCGCATAGATCGATCGCCTCTCGAGCGGTAACACAATCCCCAGCATAATACGATGAGCCTCGTGAATCCTCAGCATACTTGATCTAGTGAATCAAACCGAGTTAATTCATTGAAATCGGTAAAATAGTATACCCTTTTTACCTCGTCCAATGCAAGATCAAGCAAGCTCTTAAGTTGCCGCATGTCCCTTTCACATGTTTCTTGCTCTTCAGTGTCAAACGAGGAGCATGATGAAGATGTGGATGTGTTTGAGCCACGTCGTCGAAACAAAGATGGGATAAGCCGTGTACGTGTGTTGCTACCATGCTTGTGCTTCTTTGTGCAGCATTCAGTATCACTCCATGCATCCTCAACAGCCGTGCTAATGGAACAGCAGCTGCTAGCGTGTGATGGCCTGCGATCATATCGGGGATTGGATGCTTCGTCATCAGTGGCGGATCGCGTGAACAAGTTTGCCCATTTGGATTTCGACATGTTTGCTTGTTGTGGTGATGATAATGGATATGGAATAAAGAGGTGGCGATTGTTTATTCCCGTCTTTATATTGTTTTCGGCAATGCATATGATTTGTGAATAAGTAGGGAGGGAGATGCGAGGAGAACAAGCTTATTTGGAAAGACAAGAGTGATCAAGGGGTACCACTTGTTGGCTATATCATTTAATCTGTGGATGGCTATAGGAAACAAACATCAGGGATAGGTTATACTTGTATCACACATTGCCTCGTCCTCATCATCATATGAATCAATCACCCTTGCCGCTCTCCCTACAAATCCACTCATCCTGTTGGTGGCTATATTTCTTCTTCATGTGTTTTCTCACTCGAAATGGTACTCTCCTTGAATTAAATTGGGTGGCGAAAAGTTGGATAGTATCTTCAAAAGATAATCAAAATGGCATAATCTTGCGAAGCGAATGTCATTCATTTGACGCCATCGAGCCGATCATTTGTTCCTCAATGACAATGCAGTAATTGGTGGCTGGTTGTATTCATATGAATCCACTTAAGTTCGTTTCAGAACTTGATGCACGTTCTTTCTCCTAGCTCTTCCCCAATAAGGCTCGGCTTGTACCGCTATCAACCCCTGATATTATCCCTGAATATCATAATCACTTTTGATCCATTGCCGCCTTGGGACATACCCATGCCGATCACACTCTTTGTCTCACTTCATCCCACGGAGCACATCCTCGAGATTTCTCATTTTGTGACTAAACACAATCCATCGAAAACAAGCAATTGATACCATGTGCGTGTGTATATGTATATATGTAAAATTTGAATTGGCGATGAAAGATGTCAAACAATGATCACAATTATCTCGATACGGCTGCTCGGTAGCAAATGATACAGTAGATGCTTGAACAAATCTATCACAAGGCATTAGTATCCTACAGCAACTAAAATCATCAAGGTCCAAACGACTTACTGTAATGATAGAAATACAGAGTTCCTTTTATGATTGCTTGCATTCAGGAGCGTTTTGTCCCTTGGCAGTAGGCTACAAAAGAAAACGCATGAGACTGCATTGTCAACAAGTTGTCCCATGTCTCAAAACGCAACACGTACCGCAGCATCATCATCGTCGTCTTCGCTATCTTCGTCTAAGTCCTCCTCTTCATCTTCATCTTCTTCATCGTAAAAGTCATCCTATGTAAAACAAAGATACCCATCAGCCATCTTATTTTGATATCCAAAAGTGGCATGTTGTGCTTACCTCAAAGTCATCATCGCCTTCGAAATCCTCATATTCCAATGCCTTTCCGGTAAAGTAGTCTACAGCATGAGGGATAATCTTGTCCTTGAATTCCTCGCCTGAAAATAGAAAGAACGTGAATATGATGCTATTCCTTGGATCCCCAAAAAGAGCTATAATACATACCCATTTCATAGTCTGCTTCAAGCTTAGCATCCAATCCTTCGGCTTCCTCCTCATCCAATTCTTCGCTTTCACCGGGGAAAACAGGTGGGCTGAAGAAGGCAAAGAATGTATCGGCAGGAACAGTACGCTTGACAACGCGAGTCTTGTTGGTGCCTGCAATCGATAAAAATAGGAGATGGTTCGTCATTGATCAATATCCCTTGCTCCCCTCATTTTCATCCCGCGAGATGACTCTATCTCTCCCATGACACTTACCCTTGTGGCGCTGCTTTTTGGTTTCAACAGTGACGGTGAGATCCTTGCCCTCCTTCCAGTTAATCTTGGATCCTTCGGCATGATCATAAACAAAGTCGCCACCTTGAGCATGGTCTTGGTAGTAGTAAGTCTTGCTCAACACCTTATCGGTAAAGTAGTCGTTTTCAGCAAATTCAAATTCGAGCTTGAAACCAGGCTTATCCATGTATGACATGCGGATATCCACCAAATGTCGCAATGCCTCCTCGTCAGCATCGGTGATACTCTCGCCAATTTGAGGATGGTTCTTGAGTGCTGTCAACCAGAATTCAGGAATGCCCTTAGCCTTGTTGTCATCCTCTTCTTCCTCAATGTCAGCTGCCTTCTTTGCATCTTGCTCCTTTTTGTCGCCTTGCTCTTCCTCATCAGCATCCACCTTTTCACCAAGAGCAACTTCCTCATCCGTGGGTTCATATTCACCAGCGACGACTTGAGCGCGTTTCTTGTACAAGGGCTTGTATAATTCAAGATACTTCTTTTCCAAAGCGAGAACTTCCTCTTGGAACTTGCCCTCGAGTTCGGCGTGTTGTGATTGCAAGTATTTGAGACCATTGATGCGACGCTTCACGGATTCAGGCAACGATTCGATATAACCGGATGGACGGCCAACAAGTGTACCCAACTTGCCTTGGAGCATGCTGATCAAAGCGGGGTTGCCAGTGAAAGCTCCACTGAGAGCACCAGCGGCACCTGCACACATAACACGGGGGTTGCGGGATTAAAGTTTCAGTCAGCATATCCCGCTTTCCCAAACGCTGCTGCTATTGAACCAAACCCACTCACCGGTTGTCGTGTTGTTGGATTCCATATTGTCTTCAGCGATACTAGAGATATTGGGGCGATAGGTTGAAGTGATAGGTGCTGGGTTGATGGGTGTGTTTTGTGGTGTAGGTGCAGTCTGTTCGGGTTTCTTGATATCCAGATTGGAAGCTACAGTTGCCAATGCAATGCCATGAATAGGTGTCATGCAGCACAATGAGTCGATGCAGCCATACGATCTTACCTGATTGCTGATCCATAAGAGAAGGAGAAGGACAAGCACAATAAAGAAAAGAATTCGAGGTGAGCTGGGGTTGTGAAAGATGCGTCGGGGCAAAAGAAAGACCAGTGACTTACTTCCCCAAAATCGACAAAGAAGTCTATCGTGCCTTGTCAAGCGATAAAATAGCAAAGATAGAAAGAGAAAAATAATAAACACGTCCTCGTTTTACTAGCTATCAAAATTCTCACCTTGTATCAACACGTCATCTCCATGTCAACCCTCTTTATCTCATCCGTGTATCGTCCTTGTCGACTAGCGCTATCCAATATTTGGGGAGTTTACCCCAAATCGACTCATGCCACTTGTCTACGCGACATCCCTTTAAGGATATTATGGTTGCATCTTGACATTTTTATCCATCGCCTAGGCATTACAATGAAAGACGATGCAACCATTTTTGCTTATGGATCGATCCTTCATCCTCGAAAAGATTAGCAACTCTAAAGCCGATAAGAGGACTACTATGGAGACTTGTGCAACCTTGGCAGATACATCTCACTTGGCGATGGCGGGGTAATTGACCCAACAAAAAAAAATCAACGACCTTCCTTCAAGAATCATCCTCATTGAAATCTCCTTTGCTCTTTCTCCTTCCCCAGCCACTTTATCCCATCATAAACCACGTTATTGGGGATGCTGATGATTATGCCACGTATGCTAGTACGTTAAACATCGATCCATATCGCTATTACCTTACATGCCAAAGTACCATTATTTATCTCCCAACGCTTGATCGGCATAAACTACGTGATCGGAGCCGGTTGTTCTAGGCCGATGGTAAATGCTCAAAGCAACCAAAACGTGGGTGTGTACGTGTGTGCCACTTGTTCAACCATAGCAACATGTATGCATTTTCGATGCCTTGTAGTATGTGAATTATCTCACACTTGGAAAAATACTTCTATTATCGCAGGGGTTGGTCATGCTTACGGCCGACATTTTGCCAATCAAACTCTTTCTGGGAAAAGACCATTTGGTCTTCTCTGCCATTGCTATCTCCATGTTGTATTACAAGAATTGGATAGGTCTCTGTGCTTTTGCTTTCCCTTTTTTTCTTTGAGATTCTGCACCTTTGTTTACATGAGGGGTTTTTAATCAGCGTCATTTTCTCGCACTCCTTGACGAAAAAGCAAAGGATAACAAGTATCAAGCTATCATATCCACACACATGGAAATGGTACCATGCATGCAAGTAAGAAAGAAAATCGCGTGCTCGATCGATTGCGATCTGAGACAATCCAGTTTTAGACATCAGCACCCAAGCCGCAGTAATAGAAAGCTGCCATCCTCTTTAATACACGCTGGGATCCATTATTCGCTGCTTGGCAATGGAGTGACGGGTTGTCTCGGATGTTTACAAAGTTTAAATCTGTTGCTCATGTGGGATGGCATTCATTGGGTGGCAAATACAAAGACTCCTTTTGTGAACTCAAGGGGATCCATAAAGGGGATATGGCAGCAAATGACCATGGTACAGCAGCAGCAGCTGAGTGTGTGTGTGCACGCTTGTGTGTGAATGAGCACAAGGGGACAACAGGTTCACAAGATGTAGTAGCAGTAGTAGTAGCGTAGCGTAGTACCCAAGAGGTGTGTGGATAAAGTAGTCATGGGAAGAGGATCATGCGTTGAAGTTGTCGAAAAAAAGAGAAAACCGGAATGTGATATCCAAATTGTGCATATTGAGCGGGAATCTGCACTTGCTTATGCAGAGGGAAACGAGAGCAAGAGGTCAAGTGAGCAGCCAATGGTTGCATACCGTTTCAGCGCCAGGTTTCCCACACGCACTGCCACAGGCTTCCCTTCCCTCACTCTTTTTTGGTTTTAGTGCCGTTTTGTCAATCCAAGAAGAAATATAAATAGACCCGCTTTTTTCTTTCTCCACCTATCTCTTCACTCAACAACAACAACATGCCTACCAAATCTATCTATGATACCAAGCAACAAATGAACGATTACTTTTTCCACAATCCATCGGTGTGGCCTCTCGATTCTATACAAGAAGCCCATCTATTAATGTCGCAATCATACGCAACCATTTCACCACCACTATCACCACCACCAGCAGCGACCACTGATTTCGAGGAAGGTGCTAAACCATCACCTACACCTTCATCCTCAGCGTCTTCAGCTTCTTCATCAAGTACGGGGTACACTATCGCTGCTGCCACCATCATGTGCACTTCACGAAAACAACGCAAGGAGGTGATCCGCTGCAAGACATGCAATCGACGTTTTCATTCCAAAGGCAACCTTGCCAATCATCATCAACTTTACCAGCATTAGCTCTTTTCCCACTTTTTTTACCCTGCATTTACCCCACTCATATCCCATCCACATCCTTGGCATCGTGTATATAATATATTATACCCGCATTCTTTCACCAAAGTTATATGAATTTTGTCTCATCTGATGTGAGCAACGTTAATAAATCCCGCATTAGCTGACTGGCCAAGCTTGATTTGTTTGTGTGGGTTGGTTACCGGTTCAGGAACGTTTCAGCATGAAGTGGGCGTGGGACCGTGTACAATTTGCATCTCCATGTTTATCCTACTATACTAGATAACGGGTTAGTGCACTCTCATACCCCATATACCTGCATGCCCATGCTTGCTATCACAAGATAAACATCGCTGCTTTGAGAGAGATTTTGCCAATTCATGGCTTTGGGCGGAACCTAATGCATGGCTTACCTTGTTTTGGCCTTTGCATCGCTGTTGTGATGGAAGGTTTGTTTCTGTCATTCATTCCTTGCAGCAATACATGTAGCACAGATGACCAAGCACAGCCGGCAAATACAACATTAGGTTAAGCATCGCCCATGTACATTCCATTATCCATCATCCAACTCAGCCCCTCCTGAATTTTGCAATTCAGCCATCATAGACGGTGTCTATGTATCTTGAATATAGTCCCTGGTTACGATAGCATGTGTTCCTGGATGCTTTCGCTTCGCTTCGTAGCATACGCGTAGCACAACATCTTCTTGACGCTAGTGGCATTGATCACACACAAGCTATTGAAACCCTGTGATAGGAAACACAAGCGAGCACTCCCATGACATTATAATGAATGAAGGCATTTAAGGCAACTTTGGTTGAATGAGCCTGATAATGGATGAGGTTCATTGATAATGTTTCCATGAAGAATATCACAATGAGCTGAAACGTGCGAAGAGTGGTTACACATAATTTCATTCTTGCAATGCGATTGATTAATCAATCCCTTAAACAAGGCAGCACAAAGTATCTGATCGACGACCAAGAACCACCATATGAACCTTTCAATTGCTACATTTTTTATCCAACAAATCTCGTTGTACACAAATTAAACATTTTACAGCAAGGGAATTGCATTCCTAGGTATGGGATATGGTATTCATCTCGTGGCATTTGTCATGTTGCACGCTTTCATAGCTATCGAAGGGATCGTTTGGTGCTGCATCGTTTCCTTTTACTACCGCTGTTGTTGTTGCTGTTGTTGTTGATTCGACTATTGCTGCTTGTTGAATCACTCATCATGCTGCGACGGCTACGCTTCCTTCGTATATCTCTGGTTGTTGCTACGCGCTCGTCGCTATTGTAAAAAGTCGCCGCAATGTAGACCATCGTGACATTGATACTCGACGTCAATAGCAGCCCGCCTGATTGAGGACATGTTGACATTTGATAGGCCGTCATAATCACTCCTGCACAGAATCGAGCACGTTCCAATAATAAAACGATTGCCTTCAAAGTAGAACAACAAGTAGCTCGTAAGATGGATCACATCTCTTCTTTTCAATCCAATCCATACCTTTAGCACCGATGCTCGCACACCAATTGATCGGCAGAAAAAGTAGACATGTCGAATCCATTGTATGAAGCAAATGATGTTTGTAGCCGTGCTATGATATTGAATTGATTGAGTTGAGCTGACAATGATGGGAGGCTGAATCATGCATCATGCCGATGAATGGGATTTACCTTCCGAAAAGGCATTTGTCTTGTAACCACGACCAGAGCAGCAGGATCACAGCCATGTTTTGATACCAATGGAAAAATGGGATTGTTTTCTATGTATGCGACATGTCATGTGAGCATGTTGTGCCTAGAATCATCATCATCTCTTACCTTTCGCAGTGCTAAAATGACCGTATCCATAAAGGTGATATAGCGTAAAAGATAATACATGTACATGCTGTAAAACATTCGCTCGTTTTCTGGTCCATCATGTCGTTGGCAGTCTGCTGTTGATAATGCCCATCCACGTTCCTTTAACCAAATGAGGGTTATGTATATGATCGATAGAGTGAGAGAGAGAGAGAAAACCTTGTTGGTGTACCTTGACTGCCACATGTAACGTTTGTACGCCTGTGACACATATCCAGCCGACAAGCACAGCCATGATTGCATTGTATATGGCAGCCCATACATGTATCCATCGATCAAAGCGTTGGCGTTGTGCCATCATCCATCGAATACCAATGATGCCTGTGAAGTAGATGATCCAGCCCAAGTACACAACCTACAACCGTGGTAAGCTTCAAAGGGGAATGGATCATTACAAACAACGATAGCAACCAAGCTTCCTTGTAACATACCCAAAGGTCCGAGAATGGCGATCTACCATACTGCCAGTGGAATCGAGATGCGATCCATGGATTGAGCTGCTCCCATTCCCAATCGATCATTGTGCTGGTAGTCTTCCAAAAGAGAAAGAGGTGAAATGCCGTAAATTCAAGCCGAGTAAGGATACATACCCGATTTTCATGCAAGCAAGAGACGCCTGACGTAAATGATCAAGCCAAAAGGTACCTTTTATGATAGACCAAATATTACTCAGCACTCGGTGTCGATTAGTAAAAGAGGCCATGCATGAGTTCAAGTGTTATGCTATAGCAGACTGGGTACCATGTCATTGATCAAAGCTGTAATAATAGAAGAACGTTCATGCTCGTCATCATATACCCTATCAGTTGTAATCGCTAGACAATGACTATAAGCCATTGTTCATTTCTTCCCATGAGAATAAAGTCCTTCTATTCACTGCTGCTCCCATCTTTTGCTATGCCAAGCCGACCATGCAATTTGATCCTTTCATGAAACGGTAGATCACGCATCCTCCTCTTTAGAGTAAACCAACAGCCCACTCCTTACGCATTCTTCTGCTAAACTCACACAGCAGCAGTAGGCGGTTCCAATGATATCTAAGGTTGCTTTTTGCTTGAATAAAGATGTTCGCGCATAGGCGTTGTGATGGATAAAACGGATTTGGGCCCCATTCAAAGCCGTTTAGCTATGACATTTCACAAGGCATCAGTAGATGGTACAAATATGGTATACAAAGTAATATAAGTGATCCAGCAGCAGCACAAGGGTAATTCCCTGAATGCACATGGTCTTAGATGCGACAGCTGATGCCCGATTTACCGAGCACATGGTACGCCATTGATGATGGTGGTGTAATGCTAAGCATGATACAACATGTCACTGCCCATGCACATGATTGATGAGAGCGATATTATGCCGTATCATCGTTAATCGCACGATAGAATGGTTGATTAGAGAACTTTTCCATTATGCATGGCAATGATGGGATAAGATGACAAGTGATCTAAAAAGGATAATACAGGTGTGGATTGTGTAAAGAAGCAAGCAAGCAATGGGCGGGGTATATGTGAGAGGAAGATAAAGAAAAGGGAGACGTCCTGCACTGTCGCTATGGAAACGTGTAACAGTGAAGCAGGTTGCACATAAGCAGGCGGACCAATTTGTCGCGGTGTGTGCAATGAATGCATGATGAAGAAGGAGGATCTCAGGGAATATTGGCTTGACTCTGTAAGGCACAATGGAATCAGTAGAATCGGCAACACAAAATCTGCTTGCACGCTTGTACCACCTTGGTCCAAGGCTCACCGATCAACATAAATATCGCATCCTGTTTCCGGCATTGGATCATTTTTCGTTTCAATTCACACTCTTTACTGCATTCTTGCAATTGCACACAATTCCTCTCCTTCGAGTGATCAACTCCCCTTTCCCTTCTTTTTACCTCCACACATTCAATATCATTATCATCGCAGCCTGGTGCTGACAGCAGCAATTTGATGTATTATCCAAAGTCATTCATCGCCACCGCCCTTGTGGCTCTCCAATTCACCACTGGATCCAATGCCTTCTTTTTCCGTAACAACTTGGAAATCGTTCATGGTGGTGCTAACATCCAGCAGCAGCCTGAACATGCCGCCAGCTACTACTCGGTCTTTGCTCGCGAAAATGACCCTGAGCCTGAGTTTGAACTTGTCCCCATGTCTGTCAAGGACAAGATCGTGTCCCTTAAACGCCGTGCCATTGCTGGATGTGAAGAAGAATATACAGGTACCATTTACTTTGACCAATTCGAATGCTATCTTCATGATATTAATTGCCATGACAACCATCGATAGTGAAACGGGGTGATACATGCCATGAAATTACCCACAAGTTTGGCATCCATCTTGAAGACTTTTACTACTGGAACCCACAAGTCAATTCCAGATGCAAGAATCTCAAGCCTGGTAGAAAGTATTGTGTCAAGAACAGCGAAGCTGGTGCTGATCCCGATTCATGCAACGTGCGACACAAAGGTATGCATGATAATTTTTGTTCTAAAACATCGGATGTTGATGATTCTTTTCATTCATGCAGTTGTTGCTGGCGATACTTGTACCTCGGTTGCCAAGCAATATGGTATCAGCCATTCCAAATTCATTGCTCTCAATGATAACATCACCAGCGGTTGCAAGAACTTGAAGATTGGCCACAGCTACTGTATTTCTACCAACAAGGAGTCTTCCTCGAACAACAATGACTCTGCTGCCAAAAAGAAGGCCGCTGAGAAGGCTGCCGTCTATGAAAAGAACGATGCCAAGGAGGATGCAAAGAAGAAAGAAGATGCTGAAAAGGCCGCAGAAGCCAAGAAGAAGGCTGAAGAAGCAGAAGCTGCCGAGAAAAAGAAGCAAGAAGAAGCTGAGAAGGCTGCTGCTGATAAGAAGGACGATAGCGACAAGATCAAGGAAAACGTTACTCATCTTGCTTCCAAGACCAAGGATGATAAAAAAGACGACAAGAAGGATGACGATGATGATGATTGGGAGAAGACCGAAGTCCCTTCAAAGGATTCCGATAAAGATGACGACGACAAGAAGAACGACAGTGATTCATCTTCATCCTCGACCGAAAAGCGTAAGGCCATCCATCACAACATCCCAATGACCTATTACTGGATCGCAATGCCTGAAGACTACAAGCAAAGCGGCAAGCAAGTTTCTATCAAGACATGTGATGGCAAGACCCTTGGCAGGACCTCTGTAGAATACGCTGATGCCCTCGTTATGGAAGGTACTGGTATTCTCGGTGACAAGGTTGTCAATCTCGGTGCTTGTTCATGCACCAACTACAACTGCTTTATGGAAGTCGACAAGAAAGAAGATCCTTATGGCTTGACATGTAAGTAACATCCTAGTAGTCGTTGCCTTTTTATATCTTATCTCACAATGTCATTCAACTTTATATAGCATACAGCACTGCCTTGAGACCTTTCATCACTGCTGCAGCAAACGATATCCCAAGAGGCTCTAAGGTCTACGTGCCTCAACTTGATGGTGTCATGTTGCCTACCAAGAAGAAGCACAATGGTTGTCTTTTGGTTGATGGTACGTTGTTTGATGTTGACAATCGGCATTTGAAATAATCGCTTACATTCATTCGCTTTATTACAGATAAGGGATGGAGCTTCTCTTCTAGACATCTTGACTTTTACGTGTACGCCATGAAGAACTACGAAACGTTGAATAGCCAGCTTGGTATCAGCAAAGTAGATGTCTATGAAGGCGGCAGCTGCAAGCTTCTCGATTACATGTAAAGCATCTACCTCCTCCCACCATACACCCCGCGTTATTATCCTTCTTCCTCCAATTCCCTCTCCTCTTTGTACCTTTAAGGCTTTGAAAATGAGTCAATGCAACATAAACACAATACAAATGTCAATTTAGCAATATATGATAATGTCAACAGCGTGATCCCATTTCTGCACCAAAAGCCAATGGCGTATCATGGAATTTGGGGAAGCTATCAATTAACGATCCAATGTTCTTAGCATTCTCCGCTGAGATCCACGCTTGGGTGCATGTGCACATCCTCTATTTTTTTCTTGTCTTTATATGGAAAGTGATGTATATTTTTGTCTCCAGAGCCCATTGCTGGCCGCGATAATCAATGTATCCGTTACCATGTAGGAGTCAACGGGGAGCGTATACCCTGATCTAGCAGCGGAGAGGATTTGAAACATCTTACAGCAAGCAAATTGGTCACATAGCCCGATATCGCATCCGATTGATATTGCTAGTCATATTCAAGTGTGATGATAGCTACAAGAAATACATGCTGGGACGATGTCTATTCTATGGTATCAAGTTCACTATCGATGTTGAACGCCTTGTTAAACTCGTCTCGAGGAATTCCATACTTGTTGGTGCAGTGGGATTGCATGGTCCAGATGTTTTCTAAAGTTACGATCATTGTAAGGTATATACACACCCTTGGTATAACCATGCACCTACCAGTCCATCTATTTACAGCCTCCTTGCACACAACAATGGCCTTCTCTGAACAATAAAAGTATCGTCAATGACATGAATGGTCATACGGCAACCCCTTTTTCTCTCACCTTTGGCTTTGTAGGTCTCGGGATCATTGTCCTTGTAAAGTTGCATCTCATTCATAAGAGCCTTGTTTTCCGCTTGCAGTTCCTTGAGCTCCGAAAGGATCTTTTCACGTTCATCCTGATATAAAATGTCAACATGCGTGCTTCTCACGTGGTCCATAATACACTGGAGGTAGCTTCTTACCGAGGGTTCACGACCTTGTTGTGCCAATTCAATCTCTCGTTTTAGCTCCTCATTCTTTTTTCGCTCCTGATCCAGCTTTGCTTGTAATTGCTCTTCTTTTGATCGCAACTAGTAACAGAGTACCATTAAGGTAAGTCGATGTCGTATTATCCTGCATCATGTCGATGATGACATACGGCGTGTTCAGCTGCAGATGGATAGGACCAATAGTAATTCGAAGGGCCAATCTTGTCTGAATGCACAAGTCCATCATCAATCAATCCTTGCACCACCTCCTTGACCGATTGTTGCACTATGCATGCAGCCATAAGGTTAATCTCCATACACTCATCCATACCGCTTTAATGCAATTTACCAACACCTAGCTTGGGACCAGCCTTTTCTAATTCCTTCAACTGAAAAAAGTCGCACTTGGATCAAGAGGTGTAAGCATACATATGTTGCAAACTGTTTTAAGGTGGACGACACGTACCGTTTCATGCAAATACTTTTCCATTCGTCGACGCTTTTCTTCAAGTGATATGCCTTTTCGTGACTATACGAATTACATGTTCATTGTGATGATCATTCTATGCGTGTAAAGGCTTACCATTGTATGATCAGTGAGAAGGGTATTGGAAAAGAAGAAAGAGACGCGTGCGGCACAAGAATGGAATTTCAAATGAGGACATCCGTGCGCATGACAGCGTTGCACAAGCATGTTTTCTTTATACACGCCCACCAAAGTTATCCGCGATGCAAGCGATCCGTTCTTTGAAGAAGGCAACATTGCTATACGTGCATACTGGCTAGAACGCGACGCTCGATCAGAACAAGACATTGCCATCATTCGAGAAGAGGCTTCTATGCTTGCCGAGTAAAGTCAATGCGCCATCCCACCTTGTACCTTGATCTCATTGGGGTTTACCTTCTTGTAGTGATCTCCATCGTCCTATCTTCTGCGAACACTCTTCATGTACCAGTGCATATGGTGGACCTATTCCTTTTCCTTCTATTGCAGCATACGAGGAACACTATGAAGCACGTCATTGTCATGTATGCTTGCCATGTGACAAGACCTTTCCCAACGCCACTTTTCTCCAGCTCCACCTCGATGAATACCATGATGCCTTCCTCAAAATAAGAAAGGAACGTGGCGAGAAGATTGTAAGTCATGGATAGGTCAAGGGATTAGAGAAGGAGGCTAGTATTCATCCATCTTTTATGTAGTATCAGTGCTTTGTCGAGGGTTGCAACAAGAAATGTTCAACTGTAAAGAGGCGTATGCAACATCTCATTGAGAAGCATCGATATCCAAGTGATTATCCTTTCGACATTGTGGCAACGGGTACATTATCCTTTGAAGAACGACAAGCTCATATGAAACGACAACGCACCAAAGAGTTACGAAAACAGCGATGGAAAGCATCATTATCATCATCATCATCTTCTCATGAAGACAACTCAACCAAGCAATATCAGTCGAATGGCAGGAGGAATCATGATGATGATATGGATGTGGATCAGTTGGCGAATTCAATGGCTGCTCTATCAATACCCGAAACTATCTCCTTTGGACGAGGTAGGCCAGCATTTGCACGTCGACCACAACAGCAGCAGCATCATCATCGTCAACAACCTTCTCGAAAGAGTAAAAGAAAGGTAAGAAAGAGAATCCACTACTTTAATGACTTTTAACGGATGATTCAATAACAGGAACAGCAACAACAACAGCAAGACATGATGGATGAGGATGTCGATGGCACACAAGGGGATCATAAGAAAGGGTCAGGACAAGAGGAACAAGACAAGGAATCAACCTCTGGACGACGACGACGACGACGACGACCAAGAGACAAGGGAACGAATGACATGGCTGTAGAAGTGATGGATGATGGTACCTCGCAATAAACATCTTTTTATTTCTGCTCTATGTGATGCTACTATACGACGCGCCGTTGATCTTGATTACCATTGATGACACGCAACATACTCCTCATTGCAGCCTCATCACCTGTGCCATTGCGTTTATCCAACCAAAACCGATTCTGTGGCAGATCCTTGGGCGCCGTTTTGCGATTGACAGTCCAGGTTAAGAGTAAACCAGAGGATGGCATCAAATCTCGGAGGGCGAGTGTGCTTTGACGTTTACGTGCCAATAAATCGAGCGTTTCAATCGTTACTTTGGTATTGGGTGAAATGCGTTGCTGCTCTTGATGTTGCTTGGTATGCAAGTAGATGTTGTTGACAAAAGGGGATAGGAGGTAATGGATGGCACCGGTTGAGCATGCACTTGCCGCAAGAGCTGCCATAAGATGATAGAGAATGACATAGCGCAACGTGGATTCTTGTACTTTAGTTTTGTGTGTGTCCCAATACGTAGATCCTCCTACAACTGCTACTTACCACCAAGGAACATAGTTGAACTTATTCCACTTGCTTGTACTTGAAAAATGTTGTCGAATAAATAAATACCTCTTGTTTGTTGATACTCGTCCACACCAACTCTTACCTGCTGGACTCTCCCAAAAGTACATTACAGCTGGTGTCGACACGGATGAGATCTGCAGGGCAATGAGACTTAGTGATTGTACATAACTTGTGTCATTGGAAACATACCCCAAAAGTAGACAATGAGAAGAGTTTGGCAAGCTTGACAAGGGATACATTGGGTGTCGTGTAAATGAGCTTCTTTGAGTCATCGTTGGGTTGAGCCGAGTAATAGCGTCGTAGTCGAGTGTTGCGACAAAGAGCAGCACGTGTAAGTGTTGAAGAGACAACAAACATTGGGACAATGGACGTGTGGCTGGAAACAAAAGCAAGGGAAATGAATTTATTGGAGGTATAGGAGAGAGAGAGAGTCTATATATACAAAATGGTCGGCGATAAGAGTAGGGATGAAAGGATGTTGTTGTTTGACATGCATGGAAAGAAATCATAGATGACTCTAGTCATCGAATACAGTGTTGACAACAGGGCTGAAAGAAGAAGAAGCATCTTCATCATGATACGTACTGCCCTGAGCAGTGTAAACAGTGGTATCCGTTAGAGGCATGGTTTGAGGATGATGTGTAGCAGATTCCTTGAATTGTACAGGACCAGATAAAACCGAGGAGTACATCCGAGAACTTGTAGCAATAAGTGGACGGCCCAACATGTTGATCTTGGGGATAGCAGCACAGCGAGAGATGGTAGCGGTAGTGAGCATGATGATGTTTGATATAAAAATGTGTTTGTTTGAGTGTAATGAGAAACGATGCGATCATGGATGCCAGCTTTTATACATGATTCATTCCGCGGATGATGCTTCGGGGATTGGAGGATGTCAAAGTGCACTTACATGTGAGCCGCATGAAGATCATGCTCTTGAGCAAGCATGTCAGTGTGAAAGTGTTGCGGGGAGAGCCAATCAGAAGAGCGTTTAGCTGTTGTAATCGTTACACATGGCACAAAACGCATTACAAAATCTCCTTGTGAAATCAAATCTATTGGTTCTCATGGCCTACACGCCTTTTAGTTTAGGCATTCGTTGCCCCCACATCACTACCAAAGATGAGCGAGAGTGAAATTTTGCTTGGTAATCCCTACTTCACCAACGTGGTGTGTTGAGCGGGGTTGCTTTTGTTCATACATACGTCATCTCCCTCACCACCACCTTTATGAGATAACGACATTCATATGTCGTGACTCATTCTTATCATTTATCTGAAAATGTTCTAGCTTCACAGAGCGGTGTCATTTGCTTGTATGGTGCTGGAGAATGTTGCATTGCAAGCCATTGTTCACCTCCACTACTCCTTCGTTGCCGTGCGAACACCCCACCACTACCAATTTACAATAACACACCTTAAGCCAACGAGATAGCCTTATCATTTACTGAACGATGCACTTTTTTATCCATTGCAGTGATCACAAAGAGCAAGCTGCTATCCTAGTGCTCGTTTAGTCAAAAACATTAAAGAAAGCAAACGTACCAGCGATGACATACAACAACCTGGCTGATGGCTGGCAGCACCGTACCAGCTATTGTTGCTGCTGCTAAAGGTGAGTATCGTGTAACGGCTACCATTTTTGGGACACAACAACAGCTTCCTTCAATGTGCGTGTTGAGCTGTCGGATCTTGACCCGAGTATCTATTTTCAATCGTTGTGCGTGGTTCTCTTAAAAGTACCAAGCCCATTCTCAAGCCATGCTATGGATAAGCTCTGTGACATAATACGTATCGAAATAGTACCCGTTTTTGCTTCTATTTAGTACATACCCATGTCGTTTTTCTTCAGGGGAAGTTACCTCATATGAATAATAATAGCAGACAGGGCCTTTGTTTGGAGGCTTATTGTTGTTGATGATGGCTTTGACGACAACATAGTACCGAAGACAATAGCAACCACAAAATTTTGAATGCACAGGGCAAGCGTTTCGTTGACATCTTGTGACAAATGGAAAAAGAGGAGGGTGCACAAAATCCGACACCATGGGCCTGTGATCGAACTTTACTTTTTTTATCCACGATTGTGTCTGATACCTTCGAACGAGCCTTTTGTTTTCGGCGATACAAGATGTATTCCAATTCCACAATAAACCCATAAAGAAACTCAACACATTTACCCGACAATGACAATGATAAAGCTGCTTGATGGATGACTAGGTCATAACGTACAGCATGCAGCATGCAGCTAGGAGGAAAACGTGGTAGTGGTGTCGGCATTACGATTATCATTTTGTGTTCCCAATCGATGATCCGATTTCGGAAGCGCCATTGTTGACAAAAAAACATTGCTCGATACACAAATGTCAGTATGCGGCTATGACACAACAATGCATTTTTGCTATAAGCACTTTTTAGAGGTACCCGATGCTCGATAAATAGCTCGTTTCATCTAAATTTACTGTAACTGGAACAGACGAACATGGCTTATACAATCCTCATGATCGGATGATGCATCATGCAAACACATCCAGCTCCAAAAATGGGTATTCTATCGTCAGCACACCACCCTGCAACGAAAGAGGAGTTCAGCGTGGCTGAAAGATGGTGAGAAAAAAGGCAGCTGTTGACACGCATGACCGACACCTTTCTATTTTAACCCTTTGTTATTCACCTTTTCGATGCTATCGAGTGCTTTTTTTACCAGAACGGGTAAATACATACGCTTTAGTATCAATATAGATCTGCTAATCGTGACGCCTATGGGTAAGCCAAGACACTGTGTGAGAGTGCGACGAGTGCACGTACGTACTTGATGCTCGAAGGATCTATTCCTAGTCTCGCGTACTATTATTGGGTATGTCGTGCTTGTCGTCATATCCACAACAAGCAAGGCGGGTTAATGCCATCATTTTTCTTATAAATACAGCGCGTCAGAAACACATCGACACCCTCATCCTCATCACATCCATCTTCTCTTATCATATCTTCTCATCCATAACAATGTCTCGATTCATTACCCTTATCATTGCAACTCTTCTCTCTGCTGCTCTCTTGGTCAATGCCTTGCCTTTGAACCGACGTGGCAGTCCTGTCAACATTAAGGTCGACTCTACACAAGAGTTTTGCACATACCTTCCTCCTAAGCCTGGAATGCCAATTGGTGAAGCTGAAGGCAATGCTGTTCCCTTTTGCACAAAGACCCAAGCATCTGGCACTCGCCAACTCCCATCAGGTTTCATCGTATCGGCTCATTTCAAGCAAACCTCATCCTATACCCAGGTGACCGGTCGCATTGATCGTTCAAAGTACAGCCTTTCCGCTTCTGATGGTGGTGGACAATATGATAACAAGGTAAGCATCCTATCTACAATAGACCCCATCTTTCAATTGCTCATGGAAATGTATGTTGTATAGAACGAAATTGGCAGCACTTGCAATGGATGGAGCCACTGGGTCAATCTTGTCGAGCCTGATACTGAAAAATTCTGTATCCGCTGCTGCAAGAACTCTTCTGATTGCAACCTTGGTGCCTCGGAATACGGCTGTGATCGCGTTATCCCTGGTGATTACAGCTAAAGGATTTTTTCCCCATAACATCTTTTCAACTCTCTTTCATCATTGTATCATTATTCCTTTGTCATCTAACATTGTAGTTATACAAATGTACAATCCATTCTCTTCTTGCACACATTTCTTCAAATAAACTTCGTACATTTCAGGCCGTATCCAAGTTTGCCCATATGACCGGTTTGTGTGAGAAGAAGATCTCTTGGCATTGCCACTATTGTTATTGTTTGAACGTAAGCATAGGTACTTGTGTGAACGCGTCGACATCAGCACCATGCGCTCAAAGTTTGATTTTCCGAATTCCTGAAACGAGTTGGTCCGTGCCACCAGTGATTTCCCACGGATCACATCCATCGATCTACAAGTAAAGATGCTGCATGAAAGATAACCCTTGTCACTAAATATTGATGATTGATCTAGCATTAACTCTTTTTGGATACTAGCACAAGCAATGTTTATCGATGAAATTGATTTTGGTGATCAACCATTTTTACATTGAGGATGGGCAAACTATCACTGGTAAGAGAGGCATGGTAAAAGGTGGAAAGTGGGGAATCAAATGATGGCATGGGATTGAGAAGCATCAGTAGCATCATCGGTAGGTGAATCATCGTCATCAGAAGAAGGTTGTTCGTATGTCTTATCGTAAAAATGCCGTATAAACGTTATGTTGCCCAAGCTTGACATGATCTCTTGATGGTGTAGCTTTTCACAAGAAGTTGCCGCAATCGTTCCAATTGACATTGTGTTCCCCCTCAATAAAGCTGAAATCCATCTTCAGCAGCACAGCGATTTCTCCTTAGTGATGACTCGTGCATGATGATAAACCAAGCTGTTGTATAGCAATCTGATCGTGGGATCGATATGGTATGGCGAGCTGCTGGGGGATCAATCTTGTCGTGCCAAGATGACAGGACTGTGGATGGGATTGATGGCTGCTGTTACGGATCCTCCGAGACATCTTTGTCAACAATATGGCATGATTGGGTTCATGGCTGACAGGATAATAAAGATGTAAAGGATGAGGCTTGGAATAACTAGTAGGATGCTGCATGAATTTGGTATCCACTTTGGCACTAAGATGCCGTCCTGATATGTGGCAACTCACCAACAACCCCACAGTTTCCTTTCAACCAATTCACGGCACCCCATCGAGGGCAAATCTCTTGTTGGGTGTTGAGGTATTCATATGGTGCTGAACTTTCAAAGTCAGGATGTGAGTGTGTCCAAGTGCTGTGGTGATGTCGTCGCTTTTGAAAGAATAAGTTCGTGAACGAAAACAAGGCTATCAAATGCTTTCACACGTACCATCTTGTTCCTCATCTTCGCGATAGTAGATTAAAAGTTGGGCAGTGCCTGTTTCCTTATAAGAAAGAGTATGTTAATGCGTACGTCAAAACAAAAAAGCCGGCCTACACGTGAAGTTTTACCTGCGATCCAGTTTGAGTCGATCCATGCTGAGTTCCCTTGCATAACGCCTATGCTATACATCGAGCAGGTCCTTGCCCACAGTAATGGAGTAATCCAGCGACCATTCAACAATGCTTTATACCGCAAGCAGAACCACCACGAGATTCAAAATGTCCATCTTCTTGGGTCTTGGTATTTGCATCATTCTCTGTTGAAGCCGAGCCTGAATCATCCAAATGCGAGATACTTTGTAGAAGCCAACAAGAACGCTCTCAACTCCTCAAATCCAGTTTGCCTTCAGAGGTACAATGTATGCATATCGCCCACATAGCCTTATTGGCGAATGAATCACTACCCAAAGACATATCAATACGGATGCTAATATACCAAGGATAATCACACATACCACAAAGGATCCAGCAAGGAATAAGATTGAAGATCGCAATGACAACAATGAACACCAGTAATAATGAAACGGTAAAGAACTACAGGGATGATCAATGTTGGATGATCATCTTCCTATTGGACAACCAAAGAAGATGTCATTGACACATACCAAGCGACATAGTTCTTGGAGATGAAATATGCAATCAACAGACGAAAGAGATGCGTGATGACAATGCTCGGCGACAACAGCCTTGTTTATATGAGCATGAGCGTGGAATTTGTTGTCCATTGGAAGTCATGGTGGATTGAAGTTGATATAATGGTCAACCAGCTGCAACATGAACGCTGACGAATCCACCTAATGGAAAGTAAAAGATGATATAAGCATATGAGAATTGAAACACGCGTTATCGGGTGAAGGTCGTACCGTTAATGCAAGTCGCTGCCATCATAAAGTATCACTCTAACGCGTTCGAAGACCATGAGAGTGTTGGTGTTGTGAGCTAACGCCGTAGTTGATATCGGTCTACTGCAACGTCGACGAGAAGAGGGGAAATGGCGATCAAGAAGCTGTGTAGATTGCAATGCTATTCGTTGCTGTAAAACGATGGCGATTTTGAACACTGGAGTGAAAATAAACGTGTTGGAAGGGAGAGGTTCAGAAGGATAGGTCTTGTCGTGTCAAATAAATAGGCAGGGTAGCTAATGGGACCCATGGCTGCTGTGGATCAATGTACGTCGAAGAAGAGCGGGTTGAAGAGTAATGCCGAAAGAAGGCTCCCCTTGAGGATTTCGAGCTCAGAGTGGCACCACTACGAGATGTAGCTGTTACATCAGGTGACATGTGATCACAAGGCACCGTATCACAATGACATTCTCGACAAGGAGAGTAGGATAACAATGAAACTCTAATAAAGATGACCACACAAAGAGCGAGTACGTGTGTCAGCTGGTAACCAGGAATATGGATGAAGAGCCTGTAGTAGATGTGATCATTGGACATGCATAAATCGAAAATAGATAGCATTATTAAGGAAGCTGGCAATACCGATCATCAAACAATGACATCAAAAGTCACTCGTTGTGCTCTTATCTATATGACCATTACAATGAAACCTGTCATTGTCAGCTACTAAGTTGGCAACCGTATACCTTATCATTCGACTGTTGAGAAGCAATCGAAAATCACCTATCACTGACAACGTGATGCGCCATCCGCTTGGATAAAGCATGCTGTAAGGGACATGATTCAAGTAGCGGAACCCTCTTGTATTTGCTCCATCTACATGTTGTCGTTGTAATATTGCTTGTAGACATTCCTCAGAGATGGTAAAGTGACCTGCTCATTGAGGAAAAAGGGGCATCCTTCATTCACTAGGTGAGCTGACCTTGACCAAAAACTTTTCCATTGTTGCCCGCTAATCCCTGTAACGCTACCCACTGATCCCCATTACGCTCAACGTGTATTGCCATATATAATGTATTGATGTTGCATAAAGGTGTTGAGATCTAATAGAAGGGACATAGAAAGAATATGGATCCATATTGATGTGAGAGAGAGAAGAAAGAATCATGCACTCCATAAAGTTGATGAGAAGAAAACGAGGGTAAGCAAGATTGTGTAGACCAATTGGAGGGAGGGGGAGGATTATGTCAATGATAGATGATTGACAGCATAAGGGTTGTTGTTGTTGTTGTTGTCTTTCTTGAACAATTTTTTTCACCGGCATTTTCACTGGTGATGTTGATGATGGGGACACATCACCGGTGGACGCTCCTGCATCAACTCTGCTATACGTCCTTCATTCTTCTCCATGACTAAAGCCTTGAGCCACTTGATTTCACGTTCCAAATCTTTGATGTGAGCTTCGAGACGATTCGATTTCTCGGTCATCTCTAATGCTGTCCTCTGTAGCGCTTGCTCGCGCATCTTTTTCTTGACCCTGAATCGTGCACTTGCAGCTGTGTTGCGTTTACGCTTTTCGTCTTTGGAAAGCTTCTGAGGGCGATTGTGGGTCGTGCTACTTGATGTGCTGGTCGAAGGTTCAAGTGCATCATCCAATTGTTCAAACATGAACTGCTCCTCTGGTGATGCTTGATGGTCATCAAAGAACGGTCGATGGTCATCCTCACACGATGGCGTCGTCACTGCTGATGATGTCGGCCATTTTTCATGAGTATAGAGAGCTGCTGTAGGTGGAATGTCATAGGAAAATTGGGCGTTTGCAAAGAAATCCAGGTCCTGTTGCATATCCGATTCTGTCAAGAACGACACGGGATCCATCAGTTGATTGAGCGATTCAATGGATTTGTCGCCGCCGCCACTACCACTCTCACCGTGAATAGGTGAAGAAGGTGACGACGATGGATGAAACGATTGGGAATGTAATGCCATAGGGATGAAACGTACAAATGTAACGTGCTATATTGTATATACCGTAAATCAATTTCGCTTTTCGCTTTTATAACGCGTCTGGGGTTTTTGTTAGGTCGCGGAGCCTTGCTTTGGCACTGTGTATGTAATGTGTGTGACTCTTGCAAACACACACAGACCAACGCATTCTCTGGACCTCTTTATGTACCTTGTTGGATATTTATATGAGTTGCAACTTTATAGATGATTGTATTCAAAAAAGAAAAAATATATAGTACAACTGCTCGTAGTCGTGGTGGGGAGGTGCTAAAGGAGAGAAGGGTTTAAAGTAATAGGAAACTAAATAGGAATATATAGCGTCATATGGAGTACACACGTACATACACATACACGACGATCCGTTGTTGGTCAAGCAAAAAGGATATCCAATCGATTTGAATGTCGCAATAGCTGCGACATTCACCATGGCAATCACGTCATGTCGGGTTCCCAATCCCAGTTCCCTTCTTCGTAGATAACAGGACACCTTGGCATGACAATCGGATAACCATGATAGTCTATTATGGTGTCAATGCATCTTGGCTCTTTTTTCATTCGCCAACGCATGCGGAATAAAAAAAAACGATCCTCGGCAACGGCGTTTAATAATGCTAAATCGCATACATGATACCACCCTTCATCAATGCTGTCGGAAGATACATACTAGGAGGGGTGCATTATTATGCACCGGTTCCCTTTTTCATGCAACTATGGGATGATAACACCTATACTACATACCTTGATATTGGAAAGACATCGCATTGGGGACGACTAATTATGTTGCCATGGAAACCTTTGAAATTAGTATCCATGGAGTTGCGTGGTATGAGCTCATTTTGTTGTTTTCGCCAAAGAAAAAAGCAGCAAACATCAACAACACGACGCACTGTGATACCGTGAGCATGTCGTGTTGTCCAAATTAAGCAGAGATGTGGGGCTGGCGATCTCTAATACTACTGCATCAGCGTCCTATAGTGCATGCTTAGATTGACGATGAGCCAGTAAACGTTAGGATTTGGCATGCAAGAAATAAAACGCGTAAATGGTGTGATTGGTTGAGCCACTTGAAAATGCTCCTGCACGAATCAAAGCAACGTATCAGCACGCCACCTGTGTGCTACCTTCTTGACTAAAGGCTTATACACCCCATCAATAGGACGATGTTACTGCTCCTCGTTGCTCCCTTTTTTCCGGATCCTGTTGTATGTAGATCGTGAATGCGGTACACAAGATCTTTAGTAAAGTATTACAGTCACCACGCGTTTTACCAACAACGCCACAATACATCTATCACGGTTGTGCCTAAAGGACTGGGCACTAGTTATTGTCATAGAAGGTAGTATAGCTGAGATGGTTACATGCATGATGACAATGCTTCAATTATTCAATGTAGGATACAGGCACAAATTTGCTTTCTCTATGGCTGATGTTTATTGTCATTAATAAAGCGCACCTCTTCCTTCAAAGGATCAACATGCCCTATATTGCCTCGACCCAGAACTTCGGCTCGAGCACTACCGGAAAGTAGCGGATCGTCAAATCATAGGCTGCACGGCCTCTTCTTTGTGTTACCTGGGGAATAAATAGAGAGGTGCCGATGACACATTCAATATTTTCGCCTGTCGCCGACCATAACTTCAATGATAACTGTGATAATGGCTACGACCAGTAGCATTGGGTATAGATTGAACTTTGATCATATATCAGGTCTCTAAAAGAATCATTCCTTCGACTGGATTTTTCATGCAAAGGACCTATGGCCCTCCGATCCCATGTGCACGTGCCAACTGAGTGCGAAATCCGACCGTTTGGCATAGTGAGGTTTTTTGCCATAAACGTTGCCAAAAAAACCTTTACACGTTTTGCATTGATGGGTCATATGCAGCAAGGTGTGCATCATTCATTGTTTCCAACCACAAAGAATCCTCTGATAGGACAATGAAAACACCTCCTCATAAACTAAATCAACTACCACGCGATGTCTTGTCGGGTCACCATGTCATCCATGTTGCTTACTGTTATTGCTGGAGCACGTGAAAGTCATAATTGGAACTTAAAGGCAAACTCAATTGCGAGTTTCTGGAACATGAAAGAGCCCCATTACCAAATAACATGTTCATTTTAGGCCTAAAAGCCTCTTTGTTCCTAGAAATCTTAAGGGGGAACAGCTCTTTGTTGAATGAATTTGCCAAAGCATCTTTATACTACTATACAGGAACCAAAGGTTTGATACGCAAAATGCCATCAACGACACATCTTTATCTTCAAAAGCCAGGTATTTGTTTGATCAGAGACGTGTAGCCAGGGCTATTATTACAACCTTGAAATGGTAAGCATTTTCCTTGGTCCTCATGGAACGCCAATACCCCTTCCTAATATCATTTGGAAGGCTAATTGAGCAAGCAACGCACACACCAAACGCGAGAAAAGAGTATGCCAGTGTTGCCGTAACACCCTTAAGCACATTTTATTTAGCAGATGAGACGCTCAGATGAGTAAAATTGCTATTCATTCCACTACCTTAGCTACTAAATACAGGATAGCGAATCAAGCTCCAAAGAATAGAGGAAAGTCGTGCCATCCGGATGGTGTCAAAAGTGTATGCTGATAGCCTAAAACAGGGATGTAATTTGAGTGGCGCGCTATCAATGCCTGAATGCCGTTCTCTCATGCTCTTCATGGCGCAACCCCACAGCCTCGAATGCGTTATTTGCTACAGCACGATTGGTCTTAATTGTCATCGTTGTCTTCGTCGTCTACATTGCGTCGCCATTGGGAGTCACCGTAAGAATCGAAGCATCTTGTAATTGTACGGTCTCCAAGAGCTTTGGATATCAGAACCCTTCTTACCTGAACGAATCTGGATATTGCCACCTTTCCACTTTACTGCTCGCTTCAGGAGGAGAATAACAAGGGATGGTAAATAGTCATTGTCATGCTGATACAGGGTCTACATAGGTTACCAATGCGCAAGTTATCAAGCATTACGAAGAAGCAGAGGATCATTGGCAAGCATCGTTGTTGGGCTATGGATGGATCATGGAATACGCGAAGGTAGTCGAGCTGTCAATCTCTTAGAATTCTACATGCTTTGGTCATACATAAAGATCACGTTTATGCCTTGGTAATCTCGCTGTTCATGTGCTGGTCGGGAGATGCTGGATTATGAATGGGAATTGTGGGATTGGACGTGTGGATTAAAGAATGCAAATCGTAATTGGGGGCTATCAATCAGCTGATTTCATCTAACTTTGATCAATGGTAAGCATAGTAATCCATCTTGCTGTTTTACAAACATAAAAGCCATCTTACAACCTATGTAGGCATCTTGCCACAAACACCTGCCATACCCATTCACAACCATCATCACCATATCAGAACAATAAATGTCTGTGACCCATAGAAAATGAAATGAATGTATCGATTAATCTAGTTATCATCTGTTCAATAAGAGATTGTGCCTGCGTTGGGGTAAAGGTAATGATAAAAGAGGAATAAGAAAAAGAAAAAAGAGAATCGTAGACAAGATACGGATTGCTGCTGGAACTAAAGAAGAAACGGGGAAAAAAGAGACTATCAAAGAGAGAGAGGATTGTACGTAAACGTGAGGGAGGAAGGGGAAGGAGGTAAAGAGAGAGATAGAGAGAAAGAGAAAGAGAGAGAAAAGTATGGTCCATCCAGCAAATTACAAGATAAGGCATCCCTTTTTCTTCTTTGGTCGAGCGGGCGGCGACAAGACGACACGGATAGCTTCATCAAACACGTTCTTGAGACCCTTTTGTGTGAGTGCCGAGCATTCCAAATACTTTGCCGAGCCAATATCCTTTGCTAATTGCACTGCTTGTGTATAGCTGATGGGAGCCATACGCTTTTCACGAAGACGGTCAATGGTCTGCTTGTCCTCACGAAGATCAAGCTTGGTACCCACAAGAATGATGGGTGTATTGGGTGCATGATGACTGATCTCGGGGAACCACTATAATAAAAACCATTCAATACACACATACTCTTTTTCTCTCTTTCTCACTCTTTTTTTTCCTCATTTGTAATTTTACCTTTGTGCGGATGTTTTCAAAAGAGGGAGGGCTGACGAGGGAGAAACAAGCCAAAAAGACATCGGTTTGAGGATAGGAGAGCGGACGAAGGCGATCATAATCTTCTTGACCAGCAGTATCCCATAATCCCAAGTTGATAGGCTTGCCATCGACCATTACATTAGCAGAATAGTTATCGAAACTAAAAGAAGAGAGATAAAGAGATAGACATGTTAATGGAATGCCTATTTCATGCTGTGTATGATCTTGATGATAATAGAAAAAAAGACACGACACGTACACTGTAGGGATGTATTCTCCAGGAAAGGCGTTGGTCGTGTATGAGATAAGAAGACATGTCTTTCCAACGGCACTGGATAGAGAAGAAGAAGCGTCAATGATCTCGAGATGATGACAGGGACCCCTGGGAATGCCTTGTCTCCCAAGAAAGGCATTGGCTGATGAGGTCGAGAAAGAACGGCGACAGTGATTATCTTGAAACCGTTTGGTAGCAACCACACTGCACAAGCCTTTGTCTCCAGAAGCAACGACAGCAAGAGTATAGAAAGAAAGAATACAACAACTTACCCATCGCCGACAACAACGCATTTGATGGACTGCATGGCTCGTTTTTAACTTGGTGTGTGCAAGGAGAGGAAGAGGAACTGGTTGCCTATAGAGGCTTTGGATTCTGTGTCACGCCTCTTTGTCGTACAGTGACCTATCCACCAAATGATTGCTTGCAGCTCAGAACCAAAGCTAATAAATGCAGCTCTCTTTTTCTGGCATGTGAGGATAAAGCTAATGATATTCATCTATTCTTCATAATAAAAATTGGTTCTCTTACCTTCAACATCAATCGCTTGTACTTGTTTACATTATGGGGTGGGGGGCTCATATAATAAAACTCCAACACAACACAACACAACACATGTTTTTCGTGCGATGTGATACCATCATCATTGTTACTATCTACAACACTTATCGCAGTGAGAGAGAGAGTGAGAGAGGGAGATAGAATCTAGCCATTGTGTAAAATCCTGTTGCTTAACTTGTATGTAAGCTCTATTCCCATTCTCACACTCATGATACACTTACGATCATGACTGCGAATGGTGATTCTTTTACAAGGAGAAGGATTCCTTAGCACATGCCAACCAAATATGCCCTTGAGCCAACATTATTAGTAATTGACCCTACACCTTTACATGCCTTCTTATCCGCATTCTTCAAGACGTTAAACAACACCTTTGTTAGCATGGGAGAAACGCGAGGCACCAATATCACTCGTGAGCTCCTTGTGTCACTGTTGCTTCCAAGCCTTTGGGTGTGCTACGCTTGTGTTGCTTGTGTGTATGTATTGCTGCTATGAAAACAAGAGGCCAACGAGGGAGCATGATAAGCGGATACTATTGGTGGTATGGGACACCAAGGATTAGAGCTTTATACAAAAGTTGCTTTGTAATGACAAGTGGTGGTGGATGGATTTGGTTTAGAGGCTAACAAGTATGCTGTTCATTGTTGCGTGGCACACACGACCTGGTTTTTGGATATGGTAAAATGGGAGCTAATGGTTGTTTATTATTGCATGTATGCATCGTAAGGGGGGGTGTACATCGGTCTTCAGCTGCATGACCAATGAATGATAATGATGGTGATGATGATTGATGATCCATCGGCAATTGATAACGGCAAGAAGATGTTCACGTGCATAAATCGTAGGCGACTACGTATACGTAACAACATGCAAGCATATCTTACTGTTTTGCTTGTTATCCACCTTTTGTTTATATTCAGGGGCCAAGAGGCGGGAGTGTGTGTACCTGAATGACGACCGGAAGAGTGATCAAACGTCTTGCTGCAGCGGCAGCAGTCATTTGTCAACCTATCAAAAATGGACAAATGCAGACTATCCATGTGCACCGGCATAAAATTTTCATTTGCGATAAGCAACCAACGAGATGGAGAATGCCCTTACCGGGTGATGGGGTAAAAGTATATTTCGTGATCTGATCTGTTCTCATTGAAGGGTATGACATGGTATGGGCATTTTTGGGTAAGGTGCAGATCCCTGTGTTACCTGCAATGTGTGTGTGGGTGCCGAAAGTTTACCTTTGTTTTCTCTTTTTACACTCTCGGAACAAAAGACACGTTACTCCCCGTGGCACAAACGGCGGGGGATGCCGACACACAAAAATCTATCGTTCAAACACCCCCTCTTGTACCACCATGGAAATCTTCTCTGTGCGTGGTTGATGATGATGCGATATGCATACATACATACATACCTTTGATCGTTTTCAGAATCAACCTGTTTCTGCAGGTATGACACGCTACAAAGTTAAGGTGATATGTGTGTATGGTAAAAAGAACAAGAGATAAAGGGCTTGTCATGTGGGTCTGGTATAGTGAAGTTATAGTTAATTTACAAAATGGTAACAAGGCTACCCGTGTAGCGTTGCAGCATTTGGAAATTGGCCAACTTGAACATCCTTGAGTCGATCTACGCATAGCACAAATGCTTGAGTTATTTATCCAACACAACAATTTGTTCCGAGCATGTTGTAAGCGTACGCGATGCTGCTTTTTGAGGGTACATGTGCGTGAGATGGATACAGTATTGCTGTGATTCTTTGTTCTAGCATCATCATCACCATTACCACTTGCATGATGTGCCCTCGTACTCCTTGCCCTTTTTTGTTCTCTCTCTCACACACACACCCCGCTCACCACACGTCTCCCTTCTCCCCTGCGTAAGGTGTGAGATGCATCCAGGAACGACCAACAACATTGTGTGGTTTTGAACAGGTGGGATGTTTGCATTATGTATATGCGATAGGTGTTGCCAAACAAACAACTCAAAAAGCCATCGTACCTTTTTTTCAGGAACACAATCATGGGTCGATTGGTTGTTGAGTTGCTGGTGATCTAGCCAGTGAGCCCGTTTGCTGTGGATTGTCCGACAAAACAAGCACCAGCAGTGTGGTGCAACATTTCTAAAGATTCGCACACGTAAATGGGTGTATTAGAAAAAAGATGATACATTTGTTGAGGAAGCATAGGGTGAAGATGCATGGCTTTTAGGATTTAGGATAACTGCAAAAGGTCATGTGGGCTGTCGTTTTTTGTGATAGACACGCATCAACGACAGCAGCACATCGTTGTCGTGCATGATCGAGTACACTGGATGTATGTTGTATTTGTGTGTGTGTGTGTGTGTGTGATTAGAACGGAAGATGAAATGGGGAAGAAGGGCAATCGACCAAACTGAATCGGGATCATTAAGGCAACAACAAGGAAATAGAATTGATTATCGATTACAGACTAGCGTTTATTACCAAAATGATTTGCAGATCATCAACATTCATCAATACCCCACTCGATAAAGGGAACATGATTAATCTATTACACACGTATAAGATGATGGGCCATTTATCGAGAACCAAAAGGGAGGGTGCAATGGGATGCAGTGTTACCAGGATCAAAAAGTCTGTGTTCTAGTGCAACTGGTCAAATTCCCGCTACCCCTCTAAGAACCCCCACCGTTCTTTTTTTCCCCTTTTATCAAAGAACTCGTCAATATCCTCTCTTTCTTCTTTTCTCTCCTTAATCTATTTCTTTCTCTCTCTCTCTCTCTCTCTCGCTTACAACTCTACTTGGGTAGTTTGTCCAGTCTTTCCTTCACTCCTTCAGACAAACAACCATTGCTAGAGTTAATCCCCCAAACCTCATATCTTTTCCCATCTTTCTACCTCTTTTTCTCCTCGAGGTTGATATCCGCTTTATTATATTCACCTTATCATCGATATACGTCTACTATCCACCATGCGAGATACTCTATTTGGCCTCTTGGGTTCTGTACGTCTGGTTCAAGAAGTCTCAAGGTCAGCTTCACAATCAGCAACCGCGTCTCCCAACGACAATGTCCCTCATTCATTACCTGCAACAGCGACAACTGATACCTCATCCACCGCTTCGTTTATGCCTAATGCGAACCGTTATTCACCATTGCTCAACGACGATTCCACACGCACGCATCAGGAACGATCCCACATCATGCCGACGCCGGCGTCGACGACAACGACCCATGGTAGCAATATCAATAATAACATGATGCCTTTGGCTGATAACACCAATTCGCCATGGCAACTCCCAGTATCCCTTGGTAATTACGCGCGTGGTGTGCCATTGTTTTTGCCGTCATATGCGAATCCGAGAACATTACCAAACTGGTTAATGCCGCCGTTACGCCCATCCACCGCTCCTGCTAGCACAACAACCACTACCACTACAACCTCAACAACGAATAATAACACGCGTTCGAGAAGAAAGCATGTTAGAAGGAATTCGCTCTACACCGTTAGACACCATCATCATCATCGACCCTCATCCACCACGACAAGTAAACAACAGCAACAGCTGATAACATCTGCAGGACAACAACAACAGCAACAACAGCAGCAAGTTTCACATTCCGCCGATATTCCGCTACCGTTATCATCGTCAGCTGCAGCTGCAGGAGGAGGTGTAGGAAGGGATGATGATAATATTGTTGATGATGGTGACAAGAATGTGCCCTTGCTCAACCTATCAGCATCCGTGGGCAAAGTCAAACCCAAATCCCAAAAGTTATTATGTCTTTGGCCGTTACCTGTCATCACTCGTTACATCATTGGCATTTCATTGCTGGTATCCATGCTCAATTTTATGGGCTTGTTGCATTTGAAATGCTCCTCACCATCTTACGTGATCCATCGTCTCGAGATTGCCAACTTGCTCATGTCACCTTTCCTATTCACGGCATCGTTACATGCATTTTTGCTATTTGCTTGGAACATTCTCATTCTCGGCCTATTCGAAGAATCGCTTGCTCACATGTTGGGTGGCACACGCCAATTTGTCAAGGTGTTTGCTGGCATTGTATTAGCAGTGTGCATGACGCGTCAAGCCATTGGATATCTTTTTTCCAAATCAACTGGATTTGCCGTACCAGCATTGTTTTTCAGTGATTCCTTGCATGAATGTAGCCAAGGTAAGATAATCACGTGTGTGTGCGTATTTGTATTTATACTCATCCACTCCATTTGGTAATTGAATGCAGGGCTTGCGCCGTTCTTGTTTGCTTTGTTGATTGTACAATCGCTGAGTATCGATGACAAGTACATTTTGATGTATGGTGCCGAGGAATCAAATCACATGATCACCGTGAGGAAATTCGTGTTGCAGCTGCTCATGTGCCTTGTCAATTATACCGTCAAGAACATTCTTTGGTGGTCGTTGACAGGTCTGCTGATCGGATACTTGGCCACCATTGTTATTCAAACTTTCCTTGCTCATCAAAAGACCTCTGCTTTGGCTTACACGGCGGCACCATGGTCTGCTGATCCACAATCCAAGTATGATGGACAAGGAGAAGGAGGTGAAAAAGATGATTACAGCAGCAAAGAGCAACAATACATTCGAATGGAACCCTTGAATCGACGTTTGCCACTTTGGCGTAGTTTATGGAGTGCCATCAAGAAAGGAGCTGTCGTTGTGATGATTACGATTCCAGTGTTACTCATGTGCAATGCTTATTATACACGTGAAACGCTTGTCGACCCAGCCATCTTGAACCAGTTGACTCATGATCGATACATGTTTACGTTTGTTGTCATGACAGCGCCACGTCGTGGTGATCCCGCCTACTTGTCACAGACTCTTGATTCATACTTGGCCAATTGGCCTGTTGATCCAGCACCGGGCTCTTTGTACGACCGTACCCAAGCAATTGTCTATACGCACTTTACCAATCACACTCAATTTGACACCGCTAAGCAGCGTTTCTCGTACGATCCTAAGGGACAGCATTATGTAAAGTGGATTCGTGAGCATGGCAACATGTTTGATCAACGCCTCCATGTGAGCAAAGCCTTGAGTCTTGCTGCCGACAAGTATCAAAGTACCTACATTGCTTTGCTCGAAGATGACTTTCCTATTTGTGGTGAAACGGAATGGCGTAAGATTGAAACTGTCATCCAAGCTGCCAACCAACACGTGCCTGGTCATTGTGGTGTCTTTGTTGGCACCGGTGGAAGGTAAAGAGAGGGAAAAAAAGACATGTGTTTATGATCGGGAAACGGTTAAACTAAACGATTGGATCATAGTGGATTGTTTATGAAGCCCAAGATTGCCAAGCTCGTGTCGGGTTTATTACTCAAGTATACAGAAACCCCTCCAGACATTGTGATGCAGGAATGCTTAGCGGGCAATCTCCCCGAATGCAATGAGTGTAGCAACACTTTGGTCACAAGTAAAACCTTGCTGATGTATCATATTGGGTTCAACACCTCTACCAGCGAGGATCGGGCGTACAAGAAGCATGATTTCCAATGCGGTTGGCGACATCCATTTGTAAGTGACATTATTCTAGAATGGGCTTTCAGAATGACTCATGTATTTATTTATAATCATTGTGCTATAGAATGGGGATCCCAACGTCATAACCCTTTAATCAATGTGCAGAACCACGTTATATTATTCGAACGCTTGTTCTTTTACCACCCACCATCACCCCCCCAAACTACCGCCTTACATTTTAAACAACCCCCCAAATCCCCATTTCAGCATATTGCTTACTCGCCGCAGATAGATTTCCTTATCCCTTACCCTAGCCATGGATCGTCTTTCCATTCGTTCTTGTACAATACGCTTCATCATCACATTGTGTGATTGTTGGATTCTTTTTCTGGGGATGCATATGCACACATGATATCCCTGGTGTCTACTACACTTTTTTTTGTTTCCCATCAGCAGTCCTTTGCTATCTTTACTTATTACTGATATACATCTTACCTACTGTTAATACCTACAAGCTCCCTATATTCATTGTTCTGGATTAAAGGTTTGCTTTTTCTGTCCGGGTCACGCGAGGGGCGTAAAATGCAATTATGTGCAGTAGTATACATGCAAAAAGACAATCATGCAGCATGTGGGTGCATATGAGTGGGCAAATGGTCATGGTAGCAGTAGTAGTTGTTTATCAATGGCCAGTATAGAAAGGAGGGGGTGAGAGTGTATGTGTACTTGCATTGTTGTGCATTCAACATAAGGTGTCAGTGCTATTTTGAAAAAAATAAATGTAAAGAGGGCATTGTGGACTTCTCTCGGTTTCTCAACCACTCCGATATCACGCCACTTTTTATGGGTGATCTAAAAAGGCAAAGGAGAAGACCAAAAAGGGGGGGTGGGTGGGTGGGTTGTGTGTGGATGTCTTTGCAACAAAAAAGTCCGCAAGAAAAACGATTGTACGCAAGAGCCATCTTTTGTTTCTCTTTGTTGCCCCTTCCTTCTCTCTTTCTCTCTCTCTCTCTCTTTGTCCTTGAACGCATCATTCTCACGCTTCAATGGAGGTCTTTGACAGTACAATCTTTGCAAACGACGACGACGACCCCAAGAACTTTATCAACAACTATGCATCGCTTTCACAATTCGATCTAGATCTGCAACAGCAGGCACAAGCTGCAATGCAGCAAGGTACCTGGCAAGATTTCGACATGTTCTTGCCACAGCTCGACTGTCCCAATCTCTTCTACAATGCACCCATCACACCACCTCATGCGTTCCCTACTCCTTCACCGCCACAACGCCCCGTTGAGCAGACTACGACTACGACAACCACCACCAACAACAACAATATGCCATTGTTTGATACAGCATTTATGGATGACACCACTACATTATACAGCCAAGCTTCATCACTACTTCCACCCAACAATATGATCCCTGCTGTGAGCGAAGGAGAGAACAATGGTAGCAACAGCATGATTAAGCAGCAGCAAATGCCCATTTCTCCGCCACTTGTATCGTTTGACACCACACCTGTTGTCCCATCGCAGTGGAGCGATCCGGAGCCTAAGCCCGAACCCATTGGTTCTTCTTCTCCGATTCTAAGCGAAAATGTTGCCATGTCGACATCATGTTCACTTGATAATGAGCAACGACACATTACTCCTCCACCAGATATGTCTGGACCTCCTCCTTTACCTCTTCCTCAATCGACATCATCCACATCCATTCCTACAACACAACAACAACAACAACAATGGAACACAACTGAAACAAGTGGTATGTATCCATCCTCTCATTCAATTTTTAATTAAGACCACATGCCATTAATCTTTTTATTCTTGTTCCAGCCAAAGTTCCGATTCAACGACTCAAACCACCTGTTACAGGTATCACAACAACGCCTACTTCTCCTTCTGGTGCATCATCAACAGCACCCACAGGCCGTACTCAGAAGAAGACAGCACATAATGCCATTGAACGTCGCTATCGCAACAATATCAATGATCGTATCACCGAACTCAAGAATGCGGTCCCAGCTCTTGTCCATGCTAAGCTAAAGGATTCTCGTACTACCGGTGGGGCTGGTGCATCCAATAAGCGATCCCATCGCTCTGTTGAAGATGACGATGAAGAAGCTGAGGATGGTGAAGAATACATGGATGGTGTCGCCGTGGCAACCAAGCTCAACAAGGCAACCATTTTGCGCAAGGCAACCGAATACATCACCCATTTGAAAAAGACGGGCGAAGATATGCGTCGTGAGAATGCTTTATTGCAGCAATTACTTGCTCAATTACCAGGTGGACATGAGGTGCTTGGTCGATATCAGATGCAAAAAGTACAACGTGAACAAGAGATGCAACGTCAACGAATGGAAGAAAAGCAAATGATGATGAAACAGCAGCAACAGCAACGAAAGTCTCGCAAGCGCACACGCACTCAAGAAGAGTATCCAAGCAGCTCATCATCACCAGCATCCTCTGCACACAGTGATCCACTCACACCACCAGCAGGTGCCAATGTTGGAAATCGTGTGTTTATGGCCATTTTTGCATGCTTGACATTCTTTTCATCATCGCCATTGACTACGGGTCCTTCAAGTGCGGAGCAATTCCAGAATCATCAACACGCCGCTCGTACTACAAGTGCTGATTCGGCTACCGTCAATACAACAACCCACTCCAAGAGCATGACGCTGGATTCGTTTTTGCCTTTTGAAGATGGATGGTAAGTCTTTTGACATGAAACATGATAATCATCAACATGCGCTAATTCATTTAAAAAAGGTCAACATTGCGAACAGCTGTATTTGTGTTATTTTTGGCACACTTGTTACTTCCATTGATTGGTACATGGTTATGGCCATTTTCACTCAATGTGCGCCGTGTATCACGATCCAAGCGTTTAGCATCACATAAACGTACATCCACACTCAAGTCTTCTCATATCGCATCTACACCAGCATTCACACCAGGCGATCAGAAATGTTTTCGTATCTATGACATTATTGTCAAAATGCTCGAATCCAATGAAGATGGTCCTCCACGCACCACCACTGGCTATGTCACTCAAACTCTCAAAGAAGCAAGTCGATTCATTGCACGACACACATTTGGATACGAGATCTTGTACAACGAAGAAGAAGAACGATTGATTCCTGAAGACGAATGGGAACAAGCTTGCCGGTGGATCAAATTGAATGAAATTGAATGCTTGGGTGGCAATCCAGAAGCTACACGTTGGACAATGTTACATTCATGCTTGCGTATGCTCAACTTGGTCGAAGTCATGGAAGATGAAGAACATCCAGAGCTCTCACAAATGCGTGCTCGTGTCTATGCAACAGCTGCTATGCAATTTTCAGTCGCCAATTTGCCATTGATCCCTACCAAACGTTTGGTGCGTTATTTGCTTGGTATGGCAGTCTATGAACCCTTCTCTGATAACACCGATGGTGATGTACATATGCGATCTTTGGTATCTCAACAAGAGCAGCAGCATGATTTGGTCGACAGCATCCTCAACTCTCAAGCATGGAGCGAAGCATTGGATGTGATGCGTCATCAAATGGGTCAATTTTCTACCATGTCACTTTCTCTCGCAGCACCTGTGGTGGTTCCCGTAGCCGTCTTATCCACCTTACAACACCTCAACCACTTGCAAAAGCAATTTGATCACTTGATTGTCGGCATGGCTTCCAACAACAATGAAAAAGATGAAAAGACGTTGGCAGCACAACATGAAACCTCGTTCTTTGATCCATCACCTTTGGCTGACAGCGAGCAACAGCAACTGGCGTTTTGGCTTGCAGCTGTGGGCATGACGGTTGAATCTTTATGGCGTAATGATGATGATATGACAGCCATTGAGCAATGGATGGAGATTGTTGTCAAACGTGTACCAAGATCCCTTACAAGCACGCATGGCGGTTTCCAAGACAACGTAGCAGCTTTAAAGAAGCGCAACAACATGTTGGATGAAATGATCAAAAAGAGCATTGTCCTTGTATTGGTTGGTGCTGTATTGATCAAACGTGGTGGTACCGATCATGTTGAACAAGGCATTGAGCAATTGGAACGTGCTGAGCGTTTACGTGGATCGATCAAGAAATTACTTCAGAACAAAAAGGATGTATCGCCAGCGGCTGTGGTGTCCCTTGAAACGGTTGTACTTGCACAAGCTGAGTTTGCCGTAGCCATGGTGGGATTAGAAGCTTGGATCACAGCATGGAAACACAAGGGTGGTGAAATGCGTGCAAGAGTGCGTCAAGCAGAACTTGATTTGAGAAGAATGATTCGACGTCCACCTCTCCTTGATGATGCCCTTACAGCCAACCAGATCATTGTAGCTCGACTTGTTCGCTTGGGCCAATTTGTCTCACGACAACCCGATGATGTCGATTCAGCCAGTGACGCATCCGATATCGAAGATGATGCAAACACTGGTTCCCTCTCTTACAACATGACAGCAACTTCTGATGAAGATGATTCTTCTATCGTCAAGCAAGCTGATCGCGCACTTGATATCCTCCATGGCATTATTGCTTAAATCACTACTATCCTCATTCGCTCCACTCATCCACAGCCAAATGTCATCATATTAGCTAAGAAAAGAAAATATCTCATATATCATCGCAATTCACAAACATGTATCTATCCAATATCTTGTATACGACCTCCCCCCCATTTGATTTTCCAATACAAATTAGTGTTTTTCCTCTCTTTTTTTTTCAATACTCACTCTCGTGTTGTTGTATATCCTCTTCGCTGGTACCCTCCATGTATAATGCTCGGCTGATAACAAAAAGAATGCCTTAATAACTTTCTCTCGTGTCTTTAAGATAAAGAAATGGTCCTTTATGTATTGGTTACATTGTCTTAAAGATGGCTACGTTGCCTATATGTCCACGGAGGATGGAAGCTGTAATAGGGCCTGGTGGTGATCCAGGATACCGGGAACATTTATGCGTACCCGCAATGTCTAGGATCAATGATGAAGACGCCATCGACTTTTCTCTCTGAAACGTAGACTCGTCTTACTTCGTGGAACTTGAACATAGTGTAGAAAGTGGTCTGTGATAGTAAACGGATGATCTCAGATCCTGAATTATGCATGGACAAGCAAGCACACCAAGACTTTTTTTGTGACGGATCCATCAGCTCATCACCACTTCCTACAAGCAATTGTCACTCTTTCCTCCTGTTTGTACCTGCGCATCTCTTTTTTTCATCATATTACCCTTTGATTGCCTATACCGCCGTAGCCCATGTTGATGTGAGTGTATAATGGCTGGATGATCTTGCTCTGTGAGGAATCCATGTACTAATATTGATGATGATCATTATTAGCGTTTCATTGTTATCCTCCCACTTTCATTGTCATTGTTGTCATTGTAATGTATTCCTTATTTCACCCTCTTCCAATACAAAAAGCAACCAAGCCAGCCACATTTACCATATGACCTGATAGTATGATACCCCAAATATTACGTTGAATACAATTTTCATTTAATGACGAAGAGGATAGCACATGGTAGTGTGGATATACTAATAGATATGATAAACGAAGAGCATTGCATGATAAGATACGGCTGAATCACAAAGGGTCGCAGGGATAATTGCGTCATTCTATCCTTGGTTGCTGCCTTCACGCGCATCCTCCATCCATAGATGCAAAATAGCTGCTTCGTGCATTGAATTGAACATCAATCGCTGTAAACACCTTCTTCCGTCAAAGATTAAAGCCCTCCCGACAGTCCCATCCAATCCATCATCATCCTCAGCCGCTTCCATGTGGCATGATCCTTCCTTCCTGCTGACGGCGTTCCAAGTATCCAAAGCAACAGTCCTCGTTGCACCTGATTGCATCCATCCATCCATATGTAACCATTGCAAGTCCAACATTGGTCGTAAAGAATCCCTGCAGTAATCGCTGCTGACATGCTTGAATCTTTTTGGGTCATTTTCTATCACAGCTCAACCAGATGAAGACTACTTGTATTGTGATGTACTTGATAGCTGATATGGTATCATCCAAAGCAATCCGTTTGTATTCAAGCAAGTTGTACACGTAAATAAAGCTGCTCCTGTACAATGGCTATCTGCTGTCTCCGCATACAAGGCTGTAAGGCAAGCTGCTGCAAGCAAAGAACGCTGTTGGAGACAATGAAGTAAAGACGTAGCTGATAGCAATTGCTGAAATGAATGCTGTTACCATTGGTCGTGATAGATGAGCGTACAAGAGAAGGTGTAGCGTCAAGAGAATCGTGTGTTGTAGTAGAATGACAAGAAGGCTGTGGTGTACACGACAGGCATTTGCCCTTCATTCAAAGACAATCGGATCAAGACAGTTGGAGCGTTGACATGATGAGTTGACGCAGGGCAATCGTTTGCAGGTGGTAATTGTACTTGGATGGGGCCAAGAGTAGAGAATGGGAGGAAGAGGGAAGAAGTGGAAATTTAAGTAGGCTGAGCTGTTGGACACCTCTTGTATAAATCCATGCATACTGTAATTGATCCATGACCTTGAGATTGCCCATCTCGAACGTGAAACTTTCACACAAGGTGGCCTTGGAGATACTGATCACGTTGTTCTAAAAAAGACCTTATGTTTCATTTGAAAATTTGGAATGGGAGGGTGCAGTGTGGGTTTACTATGTAAATCAGAAATGGAGGACAGCGCCGATTCATGATTTATCGAAATAGTATGTATTAGCTTGGGATTCCCCATTTCGAACTTGAAACTTTGTCAGAAGGTTCGCTGGAACATGCTGATCAACTTCATTCAATTCAAATCTGCAGACTTCATTGTGAAGATTTAAAATGCGGGGGCGGTCCAAATGGTGGATGACATGAACAAAAGAGCGGACGGTCCACCGCCCTGAAGTTGCCCACCTCCAACTTGAAAATTGTTCAGAAGGGTGCTCTTGGGCATGCTGATCAATTTGTTCCAATAAAGACTCCATGTTCATTATCACGATTTTGAATGGGAGCGACCCAAAGTTGGAGAGACAGGGACATTCGCAAGGCCTGCGATTCAAGAATTGACATGTTCGCTGTTCGAGCGTAGCTCAGCCAAATCAGCTCGGATCAAGAAACTTGAATGATGGAAATGCTGGGCAGGAATAGGAGAATCGTTCCCATGCACTGGATTTGGCAACAAAGACGAATTGGATGAAGGGGCTGTTAGCGGGCAATGATGAGCTATTACTGAAAAGTATACGTTGACCCTTCCAATCATGCATAATGAGCTGAGTTACACGAAGAGATCCTTCTGCATCTTTGGCTCTCCAGCGTCTAGCTACTTTGCATTAAACAAAGACCACTTCTCATATAGCATCACGCTTACAAACATAAAGGTGCCTGTATCTCCGAACTTTACAATCAAACGTGTGGTTTTTATTAGAGCAATGTGCACGGCTTGGCCAACAGCACCTTGTGTGAAAGTTTCACGTTCAATGTCGCAACTAGCCCAAAAAATATTTTTTTGGTCGTCGTCGTCGAAGAGGTCGACCCCAGATCTAGTTTGGCTGGTGGCGACATTGCGAAATCTGGGATTGGCCACGATGAACGTAAAACTTACACACAAGGTGCTGTTGGCCAAGCCGAGCCCATTGCTCTAATAAAAACCCCACGTTTCATTGTAAAGTTCGGAGATACAGGCACCTTTATGTTTGTAAGCGCGATGCTATATGAGAAGTGGTCTTTGTTCATTGTCAAGTAGGTGGACCCTGGCAGAGCAAAAGATGCAGAAGGACCTCTTTGGGTAACTCAGCTAAAAAGTCAGGACTTCAGGGACAATGCATGAAAGGTACGCAACCCTCACTTTTATGTCATACGTTGGCAGCTAATAGCCACTTTGTGCATTCCCAACTTTTGTGCATTCTATTGTAGGTGGACGATGCTCCTGCTCTAGACATTCATTTCCATGATTAAAGTAGGTTGATCCGAGCTGATTTGGTTGAGTTACGCTCACACAAGGTTACATCGGTTGAGCTACATCGAGCGTGCTTTATGTCCAGAGTGATGTGATCTCTCTTTGACCACAGCTCAGTCAAATCAGCTCGGATCAACCTACTTTAATCATGGAAATGAATGTCTGGAGCAGGGGCATCGTTCCCATGCAGTGGATCTCGCAACAATGATGACTGGATAAAAGTGGCCGTTAGCTAGCAATGCATGCCTGTTCCTAGATGATCCATAAAGTAATTATACATTGACCCTTTCATTCATGCAAACGTAGCTGTGTTACACAACACGACCCTCTGCATCTTTTGCTCTGTCAGGGTCCACCTACTTGACAATGAACAAAGACCACTTCTCATATAGCATCACGCTTACAAACATAAAGGTGCATGTATCTCCAAACTTTACAATGAAACGTGGGGTTTTTATTAGAGCAATGTGCTCGGCGTGGTCAACATCACCTTGTGTGCAAGTTTTACGTTCATCGTGGCCAATCCGAGATTTCGCAATGTCGCCACCAGCCAAACTGGATCCGGGGGTCGACCTCTCGAAACTTTTTTCGACGACCAAAAATATTTTTTGGGCTGTTTGCGACATTGAACGTGAAACTTGCACACAAGGTGCTGTTGACCAAGCCGAGCACATTGCTCTAATAAAAACCCAACGTTTCATTGTAAAGTTTGGAGATACAGGCACGTTTATGGTTTACCTATGCTGTAAGCTTGATGGAGCTGCTTTCTCCTAAAGGATGGTGTGGGCTGCATTAAGAGCTGAGTGAAATGCACGTAGTGGTTACACAAACACGTCCTTGACAGGTTGCTACACAAATGGATGATGATGATGATTGCCTTAGGTGAAGGTACGTAAGTAAACAACATCCAATCATGAAGGTGTGTCAAGGTATGTATCACATTTGGATGTAGGAGAAGGACGATCTGCATACGTAAACCAATTTGTATATGTAAAAAGATAGACTCAATGGAGGGATCACTTCACTTTTTCTCTTCTCAAGGTCATCCCACTCCTCCTTATTGTATCACAAAAGCCATATACACTTCTTCCATGACCGATAACAGGAGCATCTTTATTATCTATCTTCGAAGCAACAGTATGTAATCCACAAGCTAGCAAACTCCAACAAGCGTGTAATAAATAAACAGTGCTTTATTTCATCTAGCTATCTTGCTACATTGCCACCACCATCCTCGTAGTCGTCGTCCGTCATCGTTTGTACTCGTACTCGTGCTCGTCAGTAGGCGTCAATCTCATCATCACCCTCCAATATCCAGAAAGCACAAGTTAAAAAGAATGGGATCTTGCAGGCTTCCTCTTGAATCTCTTCCTTCTGACAATGCGGCAAATAGTCACCATGATTCTCATCACCGTATTAATTGAGTCCATTCACCATGACCATGCCAAATCCGTTGGTGAAAAAAGATCCAGAGATCGCTGCTGTATATGCTTCCTTTCCATCCATCCCTTGGTCTCTCTCTTTGTGGGTCAATTTCCATCGAGCAGGGTCGCTTTCGATCCTAGCTCAACCAGTTGATTAAGGTGTCATCCAAACTTGAGAGATCACTTCCTAAATGGACCAAGGGAGCCAAAGCCATCAATAGATCCATTCCTTCCATCTCATATACCAAAGTAATGCAATATTCAGATCCATACCCGTATCCAAATTCGATTGTATTGAAACAAGTTGCTACACGTAAATAAAGCTGCTTCTATACAATGGCTATCTGCTGCCCACGTGAAAAGGCTGTAAGACACGTTGCTGCAAGTAAAGAACGCTGTTGGATACGTAGGAGTAAATAGCTTGCTCATAGCAACTGCTGCATTGAATGCTGTTACGATTGGTTGTGGCAGAGGAGTGTCCAAGAGAGAAGAGGCTCGTGTGCTGTGGAAGAGTGACAAGAAGATTGTGTACACGCCATGCACTTGCCATTCAGTCAAAGGCAATCGGATCAAGGCAAATGTAGAATTGACATGATGGGCTGAAGCAGGACAATCGTTTGCATGTGGTAGTTGTATACTTGAATGGGGGCAACGGTTGAGAATGGGAGGAGAGACAAGATGCTGGGAGTGGAAGAAATGGAAATTAAATAGGTGCCCTGAGCATTGTTTCAGGCCAGCTTATTACACGGAGGTGGTCGCTTTTTGTAAATATGGATGGCAAAGGGTTGCAGGTTACTGTAAAGACGAATACTATGAGATTGCAATGTGGCCGCGTAAATGTGTAAGATCATCACTCATACATACGCAGTGTCAAGTCTATATAAATGATACAATGGTATGCTAATCATTGACGCCTGTTGTCGCGTTCCTCCTTGGAGTGATCTCGATTTCCATTTTGTGAGTGGGACAATATTGTGCTATCATCAGTGCATAAGCAGCCAATCGGTTCACAATGTGTGTGATGTGGGTGCGGATGTGAGTGCGATATAGACTAGAGCAAGCTCGGATCATGATCCCGTCAAATATTAAGCTGTGTGTAATCTCAACTCGATTTATTTGTTTAGCCACCATTTGCTGCTCCCTTTTTTCACTCCTTTTCCGATTTCTTTTTCTTTCTCTTCTTGCACGCGTCTCTTTTATCATGTCGCCTACTGCCACGACTACCATCACACCGCCAGCTGATACAACCACAAGCAGCCAATGCAGTGATTGTAATGGATCAGCCATTGTCGGATCACAGGGCAAGAGAAAGAAGCAGCTGGGTCCCTATCTACTTTTGGATACACTTTCCTTGAGCGATGAATATAGCAAGACCAAGCGTGCCGTGCATGTTCACACTGGTAAAGAGGTATGAACCCTACTACTCATTCCTTGTTGTACAGGATGAAAATTCACGTGCAAGCATTAGGTCGCTGTGAAGCTCATTAATAAAGCCCGAGTGGAAGAATTCAATCTACGAGACAAGGTGGACTTGGAAATCTCTATTCTCAAGGTAATGCACTTGTCCACATCGGAGAGAGAGAGAGAGAGAGAGAGGATGAGGGGTGTGCGTGTTTGTGTACATACAAGTATTATTAAACGCACTTTCACGTAATAGCGATTGATCCATCCATCGATTGTCAAACTCTTTGATGTCATTGAAACCCAAACTCATGTTGGCTTGGTGATGGAGTATGCACCCGAAGGCGAGCTTTTCGAATACGTGGTGAAGAATGACTATGTTGAAGAATCCAAGGCCCAGGTGTTTTTCGCCCAATTGATCAGCAGCGTTCATTACATGCATCGTAAGCAAGTTGTGCATCGAGATCTTAAGCTGGTAAAACAAGGGGAAAATGATGATCATCCTCTACACTCTTTAGCTGATACCAAGTTGCCATGGTTACATAGGAAAATCTAGTACTCGTGGATGATCAACACTTACTTGTCACGGGATTTGGATTTGCCAATCGCTGTGAGGGAGATTTGTTATCGACATGTTGTGGGTCGCCGTGTTATGCAGCCCCAGAGCTGTTGTTGCGTACCGAGTATGTAGGCCCAGCTGTTGATATTTGGTCATGTGGCGTTGTGCTATATACAATGTTATGCGGATACTTGCCATTTGAAGATCGTGGCTTTACAGCACTCAAAAATGAAGGCAACGTGAATCTATTGTATCAAGACATGCTTGAAGCAGCTTTGACATTTCCACCTCGTGTCAGTGAAGATGCACGCGATCTTTTGCGCCAAATGTTGGAGCCGGATCCTGCATTCCGATGCAGCATTGATGTGGTGATAGCGCATCCTTGGTTGGCAGCCCATCGTGCTTTTTTGGAAAAGCCCATGCATATACTTGAAGAAGAAGCTACAAAAACGATTGCAGATAATCGTCAGGCGACCACAACTTCTGCTACTGTCACTACACCCACGAATGGTCATAATGGTATTAATTCACCTGTGCCAACTGAACCCGATGAAGATTCAATGGCTGCACAAGCTGCAGTTTCCACTACCCAAACTACCGATGCTGCTCCTAAAGCTTCCCGAGTCACCATTACTGCTCCACCTACACCACCATCTCCTTCGCCTACACCTTCGCCTACACGACAACAAGCTGCAGCATCAACACCTGTATTGACGTACTATTCTAATAAGCAGCAAAACGCTACTATTGAGAAAGAAGATCATCATCACAATATGCGTCTTTTTGGCAGCCTGCGAAGATTTATCCGGAGGAGAAGTAAAAAAGGCAAGTGAGACGAGTTGTATGATACACATAGGGATGTTGTGTATGTGTATGTGTGTATCCCAAGTTGTGCACTGATCACTTATTGACTCGGAGTTACCATTTCCAGCAGGTAGAAAGGGCGTGCTTTCTTTTATTCATCATTCCAGTAATGACAATAATGAACCGTGCACGCGTGTGCAATACGAGTCATTGCTGATTTTCCGAAAGATGACTGAGACTCAATTGGAATCCTACTTGACACAAGTCCTTGGTGTACTTGGTATCAATGCCACAACACACAATCTCAAGTTTGAGTGTACTCGACCTGCTGCCCCTCACTCTGGTGCTATTTACGGCGACAATGAGAGCCGAAGGAATGTGACGTTCATGGTAGAAATTTGTGTTGCAGCAGCAGCATCGCATGGATTACGCATGATCGATGTGCGTCGTATCGATGGCGAAGAAACAGCGTACGAGTTTTTGTGTGGCAAGGTCTTGGATACCTTGGAAATGTTGATCAGGGCAACCACAGCCTAAGTGAGTCGGCATTGAAATACACCACCCTTATGCAGCTCAGATACCCGTACTCGACAAAATACCATTATTCAGACAAATAAATATTTATTATGATTGAAGCAAGCAGTAATACATCCTTGATCATTAGAAGAGGAAACGAACACGCTTATTATACTCACGAAAGGTTACATAGTAAATGGTACAAGATCATCCATCATAGCTAGCAGCTTAACTTTAGCACTTTGAGGTCTCATAGGATGGTGCAAGTATATACATGGTAATGGGATCGGTTGCCTTGTTACGATAGTACGATATCAAACACCGAGCATGGAGCAACACAATTCATGGCCACCACGTTGACGGTCATTCTGGAAGCTCGTGAAATTTTTAAAGCGGTCCTCCGCTTCCCACAGCTACGCATGATCGATGTGCAACAACAGCAAGGTATGAATGTTGCATGATGTATTTGTAGTAGCCAATCTTACGAATAAGTGGGACATGATGTTGCTCAAACCAGATCATTTGACATGAACATGGTACCATGTCAAACCGATCACGGCCCACATGGGTGAATCCACAATCGATCTATTATCCCGCTTTTCCACGGCCAATTAAGCAGGCCATCTTATAAGAGTGATGATGATAATGAGATTACTAATTGATGCTATCATTGGTGATGGGAAAGCACAGGGACGTTCATCGTTTTGATTGGGCTGCAAATTGGCACTTGCATCATAATCCAATTATAAGCTACATGTTTTGGGGAAATCTGATTCCGTTGTTGACCTGTGTAACAAATAAAGAGCATGGATAATGATCTAAGGTACAAACAACAGGCACCATTGATGCGTGGGCTGATATCAGAACTGAGCTGCAATGAACGGCAAAGCGGATATGAAATGAGCAACTGAGACCGAGCCACCCAAAAGACGTGCGCCTTCCCAGTGTGGGGTACTTGAGTAAAACAACGCTTTGCTTTACAGCTCTTGCTTTGCTTGTGTTACACGTTCCTTCCCTTTTATGGAGATTATCCCTTGCTTGATTCTTTTTTCTTTTTTTCGTTCTTTTGCCTTGCATTGCGGAGCCAAATAGGTGTAACTCAAAGACGACGCCGCCGCACGAAGATTAAAACCAAACAAGCGTTGATCTCTACAAGATTGAGAGAAAAGTAGATGTGGATAAGACATATCTTTTTCCATATGCATAATAATGAAGCCGTTTATTAAAGGCATATCCCACAACCGAAAAAGTGGACCTGGGTCACACAGCAGAAAGGATCATGCTACCGTGGAGAAAAGAAATATCCAGTCCCGTTTCCTTGAAACCTACTAGTACACCCCACATAACATGATCCCTCTTCTCTATTCAATGCCATTGCTTTCTTCCTTGTCAATATAGAGATCAATGCCTATGTCTAATGTCTATTTATACAATTCATAATAGAATTGTATGGATACAAGATGGATGATTGCAATGTGGTTGCCAAGCAACCCACGTCTTCCCGCGGCCAATGGATAGATCCAGTACACCAGTTTGTGTTACTGTCTCGGATCGGAGTCCATAGATCGAGTGAGTGAGAGAGGGGTTCTCACGTCTCTTTGAGCTTCTCTCTCCCTTTGCTTTCTCTTTTCCCGAACGTGTTGCGTAGGTGTGTTGCCGTGTGCTGTGTCTGTTCATCCAGCACAGTCTCCCTCCTTTATACAACATGTCACAAGAACAACGTCCATCTGGAGCAGCTGCATCAAAGAAAATCCGAATGACAATGGCCTGTGAGCGATGCAGGTAAGCCGATCAAGTACATCTTATAGTCCATCTTAGTAATCAACCCCACCATTCTCTCTCCTTGTTGCAGATCAAAGAAAGGTATGCATTGCTATATCATTTATCTTATTTTATCTAATGCTTTATTATAGTCAAGTGTGATTTTGCTCATCCTGCATGTTCTCGCTGTCAGCAAGCTAAAGGTAAGCTGTCAAATCTTCTTTATCCTTCATTTGGATCAGCTGACACGAAAACAAATAGCAACATGCTCTTACAATGGATCAGCAACACAAGTCGATCTCTTCAACCTTGTCAAGCTCAATGAGACGGTTGATATGCTTCAACGCCGTGTGCAATCGATCGAGAGTGATATGAAAGATGTATCGACCAACACTCGCTACGTAGCCGATGAATTCCGAATGACTCGATCGAATGATACTCCTCATCGTCTCTTTACATCATCTGCCACTGCTACCAATTCATCATCATGTGTATTACCATCCTCGTCATCATCATCATCATTATCATCATCAGCCTTATCTTCCTCGTCACATCCACAATGGACACTTTCTCTCACGCCCAATGGTTTACGTATTGATACGAATGTCATTTCGATTCATGCATTGTATGATATGCTCCTTGGTTGTATCTCTCCTCAACTTCAACAACAACAACAACAGCAGCAGCAACAACAACAACAACCGCCAGCATCATCATCTACACCCATCGACAGCAAAACCAGTATTCATAGTGCATGCAGCCATGATTCACCAGAGGTCTCTTCACCCACATCTTCGTCATCGAGTAATGCGGTACCATTGGATGCATCAACGACGACGCTTGTACGAAAAAAGAATTTATGGAAGACGAGACTCAAGACGTTTCCATTGTACAGCACTTGGGAAGCACAATCGAATGATGACAAACAACAACAGCACATAACATCGGGGCTTGACAATCAAGGAGATCTTTATGATTTGATGTCGGATGAGATGTTTTCGATATTGATTGAGATTTACGACGAATGCATGTTGATGCTCCCATGTGTTGATCCAGCAAACTCAGTCGTTGAGCGATACAAGCGGGGTTCACTTGATCCATTACTTTTGAATGCTGTCATGTGTTGGACAGCTCGACATGCGGCTGTACATCACAATCTATTCCCGGGTCAAGATCCAAACAAAGTGGGTGAACCTTACTTTGCCAAGGCCAAAGAATTGCTCAAGGAACGCTTTGCAGTGACGGATGTGGATACGATGCATAGTCTCTTGATCATGTATGTTTATGCCATTGGTCGTCGTGGTTGTGAATCAGAAGCATACATGTACCTTGGCTTGGCTATTCGCATGTGTCTTGATATGAAAATGTACCGTGAACCTGAACCAACATCAGAGATTGATCCACTGATTCGTGAAAGAGATCGACGTTTCTTTTGGGCTATTTACTTTTTGGAAACATTATGCAGCATTCATTCCGATCGACCCTTTTCATTGCCACCCGAGGATGTTGTGACAGTGTCATTCCCAGATGCTATGGATCATGAACAAGGTGAAAGACGATGGCGTGTGATGTTCATCAATCAACGTTTCCGGATCACTCGCATTTATCGCAACATCATTCATACGACGGCTCAAGATAGTCCATTGCTAGCATCTATATCAAGCCTCGATAGGGAATTACAAGATTGGTATGATCAGCTGCCAACAGAGTTCAAGTATGTTCCAGGACAAGATCTTCATCGTCGTGATTGGAGCAGCACTTCTTTTCGGGAACAAGCTTGTCTCAAGTTGAATTGGGAATTTCATTTCCAGATCTCTCAGCTTTATAGTCTCTTTGCTTCACGATCTTCATCATCATCGTCATCTTCCTCATCCGCCGTGGGTGGTGCTGATATTCCAACAAGCGCCTCTTCAGCTATCGATTTGCTTGCACAAAAACGATGTTTACAAGCCGCTGATGTAATGGTCGAGTTACTTGAATGCTTTGGTCGATTGAATCAACGTTGGTGCCATTTCTCGCTTGAAACTATCATGGTCCCTGCTATGATCTATCGGCTCTTCCTCAGCCGCATTGGCAACGATGAAAGGAGTGAAGAAAGCAGGCAATGGTTTAAGCAGCAACTAGAACGTATCGTGCGCATCCTTACATCATCACCAGTGAGACAACACAAATACGTCGTAGCCTTTGTCAACAAAGTCGAGCGATTATTGACTGAGCAACAAGTTGAAGATCTCGATCTTAGTGAGGAACACGAAGCGGCAACAAAAGCATCATCTTTAGACAACCAAACATCAACACCAACGCATCAAGATGTGATGACTACAGCAACCACAGAGTCAGTGACCACAACCACAACCACAACCGCCACAGCATCAATAGCAGCACCTTCGACGAGTGAAATGTTTAGCAACATGATCAAGGAACCAGCTGCAGCACCCTTAGGAGGAATGATGTTTAGTGATTTCTTTGGTACTGGTCCACCTGGCACGCTTCAAGACATGCTACAAACCACACCTCCACCTGTAGCACCTTCCGTTGCTTCAGTGGTGAGCGGATTTGGTACTGTTATGGATGAGAGTCAATTTGCACACATGACAACGCCTATGGATTATTATTCAGCCTCGCCATTCCCAGTAACAGCAGCAGCAGGTGGAAGTGCAAGGTGGAGTAACCATAACACCCCATCACCAATGCAACATCACCAACAACAACAACAACAACCACATCAACCACAGCCACATCATCAACAATCGCCACCCACTGTGACACCATTTGCCCAACCGAATTATCATCACCATCATCATCCATTAACTTCGTCATCCTCGTATCCTGCGACGATACCATTACAACCGCCCAATGCAGGTCATAAACGACTTCATGACGAGCAAATCAAGGGTCCATTCCAGTTCTTCGGCTAATGAACCTTCCATCCGACAACTTTCCTCACTCAATATTCATATCTATACATAATACAACCACATCCCGCGATATACAACTTAGCAACATTTCACACATTACATTCTGCCTTTCTCCTTCTTTTCGACCATCATTTTGATATTGTACAGTTTCCATGACGACTTTACCATAATAGTGTACATTTATTCCGTTTCTTTCATCGTGTTTGCCATTGGTCTCATGTGTGTTGTGCATTTGGCGTTGATTACAATTCAACCTTGGAACCAATCATCCCACCTCCAGGCGCCATTTCTTTATGCGCATGGTTACCGTTTCCACCCCAACACCTCCTTTTTTGTCATGTCAGCCATAATCAAGTATGAGCTTACTATCGTGCATGATGCAAATACCCACCAACTCTATAGTTTGCCAATTGTTTGTGTCGATCATGGGATGGATATTAATTACAGGACAAGGTTTCTTCACGACGCCTTTGCTTTTAGTGTGGGCTTAACATTTGACAGGCTCTAGGTTTCCTCAATGGAAATTATAGTTAAACTTGTTGTTAAGGTATAGCATCGGATTTTCCTTCAATAAACTTTCCAAACACTAATGTAATGTAATCAATATACTTTTGACTGGATTTGTTTAAATAGTATCCATGTCGAGTGCATATTATTGTTTGGTTCATGTAGGACACATGTGCGTGAAAAGCCTCGTACGTTTTGGTTTTCATCAACAATGATGGGTAGCATTCGAATTGTTAAAGCATCACATAGCAAAAGAGATCAAGTAAAATGCGAGAGATACACAGACATTGAATATGCATTGATCCCAGGGTCAAGGGGTTTATACTGTGCGAGGCATTTATACACGACAACATGAAAGTCATCGTCATTCCTTTATCCTACATATACACATACGTTACAAAGTAAGGGCTTATCGGGCTTATCGGCGCCTATACGAGCGCGCGTCAAGCTGCCGTAATCTTTTCGTCATTACGATGACGATCTTGCATCAAATGTGTGACCCGGTGCCTTTTTGTTTTCATAGCCGTGATGTTGTATGTGTATGTGCGCTTCTCCTTTTTTCATCACTCTTGTTCGCAATTTCTCACTTCCATCTCCCAATTATCGTCTCCTTCACTGCTTTCCTCCCCCCAAACTACGTATGACTTTGAGTTTGTTTACCTTCTCAGAATAGAAAACGACCAAGCGTTATACCGTTTTACTCCTGAACCATGTGTGCATTCCGAGCAAGTGAGCGCATCATCTTGTGTACCTTCATCAAGTGACACTATGGGTAGGATCACACACATCCACGCATACCATTCCGCACAATAACTCTATCAATAGGATCACATACATACCATACCCGATATACCTTTTAACGTTACGAATGATGATAAAGTAAGGATTGATCAAGAGTAGAAAAGCTGATTACCAGAGATGAGGGATGTTGATGATGATGATGTTTTACTGCACACCACGTTGAGGAAAGGGGAAGGGGAAAGACGACATTGCATGGTGATTTGCGATTATGGCAGCAAATTTGGGATGTGTTGGGTATGCGAGGGCCGTGTATTTTACCGAGGATGGATGGTGTTGTGAATCATGCAGCAGCTGCTGCATCTGCTACGTAGCTGTCATGGCGCGGAGATAAACGGCCAGGGGTAAAGTGAATAACAGGGAGAGCACATCCGCACCACCACCATTATCATCATCAGGGGGTACGGGTTGATGACAAGGAGCGATCCAATGTACGTCTGAATATCACACACGCGTGGTGCATGATTTCTTTGTAAGAATTCATACCACGTATGTGCACACAATGGCTCATTCATTCAACAATGATTCCATTCTCACTCCCTTTTGTCGCCACGACAAGAAACAAATTGTCAATTTCCACAGCTATTTTTGCTGTTGCGCTCACACACACCTCCGTAATGTATACAATATCGGGAAATATTTGTTGTTCTTTGTCAATGATGCTCTCTGCAGATCCCCTGTTCCCTTTTACAGCCATCAATGGTACACACAATACCAGCGAAACTCCCACGCACATCACCATCTCCTTTCCTTTCCTATGATCTGGAACCCTTGCCTTTGTTCTTGATATACACTATTCTGGTACCTTTATTGCCATTAAAATAATCAACATACACATAAAAAAACTTTAGCTGTGTCAAAAATAGAGACAAGTGGACGTGCGCACATTCTCTGTGTACAAACGTACCAGCAACTTAGAAATGAAGGGTCTACGGGAAAGGCTATAATGATCACACATTAAACGCGGTGCAACAAATATGCATCTTGCATATCTCAAATGTTGCAATCAAGATCGTTGATGCGTATTTGTTATCGCCCATGGTAGACATACATAGGTCATCTCTCATTCGCATCAACGCGCAGCATCAAGGAGATAATAAGAAGGCCAATGTGACCAAGCCACGGATAATAGCAAGTGGGTGAACGCATTTATACATATGCAACACAGATATAGTGTCATTATTGTTACGGCGTATGAATGAGCGGTAAGACATGTAGGGGAACGGGAGCCTCATTGCACCACGTTGTGGTAGGAAAATGAAAATGTAAGGAAATAGCATGCAGAATCAAGATACAGGTTCCCCCTTATGGAACTGCCTTACCAGAGAACAGACAGCATCATTGGCTATTGTATGCAACTATCTTTAAGACACATATCATCATCAATTTATGCCATGTTATGCGATGCATATACGCCAACAACAGCATTGGAGAACAATTTTAGTAACAATGTGGGGAGAGCAACATCATTGGGGTCGATGGCACCTTTTTTCTTTTTCTTTAAGCAATGCAGATGCAATGTTTTTTCTCTCATTGCCGTTTACGGATATCAGACGGCTCGTGGCGAGAGTGTTGGGTAGATGATGGATCAGGGGCGATGTTCAAATGGGCGATCTTGCAAGCAAAAGCATGCAAACTTTGTCTCTTTCCCCTCTTTTTTTTGCTCTCTAACGGTTGTTGACCCCCCATTCCTTACTTGCTATTGCTCTCTCCCGATTCGCTTGTGCGTGGATGCTGCTACCCTGATACCACTAACATCATTTCCACGCTTTTACATCTCCTGTCAGCGCCAAATCGCAAATTGGCTGTGTAAATGGCACACATCCACTCGTTCAATACCCCTTGTCTCCTTGCCCTTCTCACTTTTGTTGCATTGCGTAGCATTGTAGCATGATGGTAATTGCTATTTCGAGGTCAATACGTTCTGAAAGGTTGCCCAAAAGTAGGTCCAACCACTATGCCGGCCCATGGCAAAAAAAGGGAACCTCCATTCAGGGTCAAAATGATACTATACAAAGCATCTCACGCGACATGCAAGGCGAATATTCGAGCGAAACGACCATTTGGGACGATGGTGAAGGTAAGGGTGGATGAATTGCATCGTCGTCCATGCCGCTTTAGGCTTATCCTATACACACATCACCCTCACCTTCTTTTTATCTCTGGCATCCCCTCGTCCCCCATCCCCCAAGCAACTCTTGTTAGCCATCATTATATCACCCCTTCCACACTTTCTCCCAACTCTCCTATTCCCACTCTTCTTTTTTTAAGCTCGACTTTTCTCGTTTCTTTCTTTCTTGACACGCCACTCACTTTTCTTTTTTGCTTTGCGTTTCTTACCCACAGCACACATAAACAGCCGATCACTTGTACACACACTCATACTTATAGTACAGCATCAACAATAATCTTACACGAATGCCTGCAACTGAAACCTTCCACGGATTTATCGAAACTACAACTGACACCCTGCTGATCTTTGAAGCATGTCGCAGAGGTATCCTACCAAAGATCAATCGCCGACTCCAAGAACGTGAACGAGGTGCTGTCAAATCAGGCACTGTATATGTTTTTGACGAACGTGAATCAGGTATGTGTACTCTTATGCGTGTATTTTATCATTGCAAAATGTGGTATTGATAATGGTACTTTAGGTATTAAACGTTGGACCGATGGTTATGTATGGAGCCCATCCCGCATTCTTGGCAACTTTTTGATTTATCGTGAATTGGATGGGCGTGATTCTGTACAAGATCGCCGACGGCCTATGAACTATAATAGCTTCAATGGTGGATATCGTCAACAACAACATCATCAGCCTTATCCTCCTCCACCACAGCTACTCAATGATGCAGATCCCACTGAAGAGCTTGATGGCGTTGATCGAAACCGTGAACGCGCATTAGTAGGATCATTGACTACTTCCTACAACTTTAAGAAGGGAGGTCTTATCAAGAAGACCATGAGCGTGGTGGTGAATGGATCCGCTCAGCATTTGATCAGCTATTATACCAAGGAAGATGTATTGAACCACCGCTTATCAACACCATCCTCAATTCCTGAACTTGCATCACTCGAGATCTCACCCGAATTGTTAATGCGACAAAGCTTTCGTGTGCCACCTATGGCAGAGCATGTTGAGGTGCTGGATCACCCATATCACCAAACAACCAAGAAATTTGCAGGCGCGTTGCCATCCCCAGCTCCTTACTCCCTTATTCCATCGTCCCGTATGTTGATGAAAACAATGAAAATTAAGGGGAACGTGTCATACTTATTATAATTTTTGATCATATGTAGAAAGACGACGTGCTTCAGAAGCGTTTCCAGTCTCGAGACCAAAAACATCACGCACTGGGAGTTTGGATAGCCCTGCAACCACGGCACGACATCACATGTACATGGAACCTTTTGGCCATCCTGGTTATGCACAACATCATCAATCACCACCTGTGCACCCGCATCATGAACAACAACAGCATGATGGTACTATGAATCATGCAGCAGCTGTCACTGCAACTACTACAGCTGCTAACAATACTCCTCGAAGTGTGCATGACATGTCAACATCGCCACCTTGTACAGCTGCTGGTGGCATGATGAAGTATAGCAATGCTCCTATGGTACCGTTTCATGCAACCATGTCACCACCACCATTCATGGAATCTAGACCACCCATATCCACGGGTATGGCTCGACATGATATTGTTACTGAATCACCACCACCATCTCCATTCTATGGTCGACCTAGAAAATCATCCATGGAAGGATCACCAATTATGTGGCAACAACAGCAACACCAACAATATCAGCATCCAGCTGCAGCAGCAACAAGGTCAATGAATACCAATCCCACTAAGCCTGTTGTTGAGCAATACCGATCGCCTCTTTCCATGTCAACGACACACAGCGGGTATTATCCTACACCCCTACCAACAGGTGCAAATAAATACAATATGGAGCAACATCATCAGCTACAGCCTATCACTTCCCCAGCTGGTCCTCCACCAAATGAAGCCAACATACCAAGTGCTTTTCCCATGATGGCGTCTACTACTACAAAGAACCATTACCATCATTCAATGATGCCCGCACATCATCAACCACCGCCACCACCACCACCAGCTCCACAACACCATCAAGCTGAGGTGCAGTACTATTAAGACAACTGCGACGTTATTACCCATAACCCAATGCTATCGTTGTGCCTTATTATCTTGTTGTTCTCTTCCATCTTTCATCTTTTCCATACACTTTCTCACACGCCTTTCTAATCATACGTGCATTATTCATCAAACACCCACACAACACACATTCAAAACCTTATTATTGCCCATATCACGCATTCCATACTTGATTCTCCTATTGCTTTATGCACTTCATGCAATGTTTTTCTCTTTCTCTTTAAGCTTTCTTTTACTTTTGCATTGTAAAAACTTTTCTCCCTTTTGAATTCGCGCTCACCACCGATTACTCGTTATTTACACACACCACACACACACACGCACATACACATAGCGTTAGGAGGTCTGGCAAGGTTGGCATTTATAGTTATGAACCCAAAAAAAGGACATTTATATATATAACAAATAAAAAAATGGCTAATAGACCTGTAGTTGGGTACAATTGCTGGGTAACAAAGTTGCATCTCTCGCAGATGGTTCGTAAACGTCGCTATCGAAAAAAAAATAAAGCAGGGATAGGTGCATATGCAGCTGATAGATTATGCATGCAGCAGTGCGGTTGATCCATCATGATTCCTGTACCCTATAGATACCCATATCGACTTGGCACACCTGATGTCTGTCAAGGGTGATGCCCAAACACGGAGGCATTAAGCCTAATGCTTACTGGCCTGTGTGTTCGATCATGTTAAACTTTAGCAACGATAGGTACGAGTCCGTGCACAAACACGGTTTCTTGGATCAATCCATCGATCATCAAAATAATACAATGCAAATGCCATTTGCCATACCTTTCATCATCATCATCATTTTTACATGAGTAAAGATGAGGGGAGTTGTACATGAATGCGTTAGGGATAGTGTCTCATGCGATCTTGTTCCGATGACCTTTATGCAACAGCTGTGGTTGTTGTGTAAATGGTGCCACGTTCTAACCTGAAAAGATCAATCATCGCGTGCATTGCTTCTCTCTCTTGTTTTAGTTACCGGTCCCCTTAGCCGTGTTTTCCCTTATCCACGTCTTTGCATGTGGCCAATGCGCCGATGGATGGATGATGTAAGGTTGAGGAGGAAGAAAAAGAGGAGGTCAGCAATCAGGGGATAAAGCATGAAGGGGTCTACATCACATTGGAGTTGTCTCCACGCGCTTCTAAACATGTGCTCCCCTTTGTATGGACGACAAGTCCTTTCCCCCTGAGACGAACAAAAAGATCGGGTGCATGACGTGCTTCAATGCCATACATAAGATGATGTGGTCCGGTCTACAGTGACGTGATGATGACTTTGTCGCAAACACGTGCCTGTTGTTTTCCCTTCTCCTCGAACAAGTGGGTGATGTTTTACTACCACTACTACTGCTACTTGCTGCAGGGACATCATTTATTACGTGCATGATCAATTGCTGCAAGCGCATTGCTATCGATAACAGGATGACACGTGAATCGTTGTTATTGCTATGTGTGCATGTGATCGAATATCGATATATTATACTGCTTGTGTCAAAAAAGTACAATTGGTATCCATGTGTGCTAAGCATCCCCGTGTTTTAATCCCTCTAGCTAGCTAGGCAACGTACGTATCCATGGTAACCATGTTGATTGTGTACAGCGTATCTAAAAGGATATTCTCCTAAGAAACGGTCGATAATGACAATGGATTACTCACTTTTTTATTGGGTATTCTCGCATTGACATTGACGTTTATGCTGGAGGAGCGCTGATTTCATTCACATAGCCCACTGAATCGGATGAAGGTGTTCTTGTACTTGTTTATCTCAGCTTGATACATTATGACTTTGGCTATTACTACATCGTACACCTCCCCCTCCGAAAACAAATCGTGGAATGTCCCGGTGTCAACAGAATCCAATGGCGATAATACACAACTCCAGCAGCTAACGGATGCGATCAAGAGCATGCAAGACAACTTGAATCAATACTTGACAGAACGCATGGCTGCCGACAACGAGCCTGCCACCGATCTAGCGCAGGATGAGGAAGAACACGATGAAGAGCAAGGTGACGACGAGGATACTGGTGCGGGTGCCTTACAACGTCGACCTGATGCACCCGTTACCACCAACAATAAGAAGCAAAAGACTGTTTGAGTCGATCCATTTATTATCAGATTACCATTTCATATCCACAACAACACGCATTAAAGAGACCAAAGTCATGTTTATATGTCAATGTTTGTTATCTGTGGCAGATACGCACTTGCACTAAGTTCGAGGATATGCACGTCATCAAAGACATCTTTGCCATCGTATCCAACTAATACATACATTCGTGAATCATGCAACACTGCAGTGTGATGTCCCCTGGCAACAATTGGATTTCCGTATACGGCACTTGTTTCGTTCCCAAGCCATGACAAAAGCCGCTATCTCACCTGCATGGGAGGGAGGATTTATGTATTGATTAAGATGCCAATGACTCTCAGTTTTTCTGAAGCGAGAACTCGCACAAACATCCTCAAAGAGACCCTCTAGCGCGGCAAGTGATTTGTGATAGCAGATGGATGATGACCGATATTGCACCTTACTTATCTCAGATCCTGGTTTATGCATCGACAATCAATCACACCAAAACTCTTTTTTTATGAAGGCGCCCCAACGATCCATCAGCTCATCATCACTCCTTCCTCCTATTCGTGATCGAGTCCAACATGTATACATAATCACCTTGACATGTGCTGTACATTATCCCTCATACCTTCCACCATCAAAGTATAGCTATTAGAGTACTGTTAGTGATGCTTATGAATACGTAATAAATATATAAATGATAAGGTGGCAAATTAGCTTCCATGGAAACCCATGTACTGACAAGGATGGCCACGCGAAGGCTTTGCCGTCACCCTCTCCCCTACGGTGCACCAAGCCGGATAACGGGGGCTGCCATTGCATCTCCTATGGCATCTTCTATAGGTGCTGCTCGAGCCAACGTGTTCGGTCTGATAAAAGGACAAAATAGCTTCCCACGCCCACAGAGGCCGACCCATAAGAGCGAAAAGCAATACATGATCCCATATCTACCACAAGGCCACTGAATAACAGTCTAACTTCCAACGGCTAAGGCAGTAATCCTCAAATGCAATTGATAGGGCCATGATAGGGCTGACCACACTGTCGCAAATGAATCATAGCTGCCAACAATGCTTTACACAAAAGAGTAAGGCATCATCCCGTTCTACCCATAGCAAATAAACATCCGCCATATCAGTAGTAGCTGCCATCAAGCGACCTTCTTGGGTAGGCGTCATGAGAGACACATCATGCACTGCAACAAATAAATCCGGTCTTGATGAAATATAGCACACACGAGAATATTGAGTTGTTGAGAGAACGTCCAAGGTACCCATACAAGTACTTGAGGATTGAGATCCGCCATGACACCGATGAAAACATTGCTCTGAAGATCCACCGATAAAGAGACGACTTGCAGGTAGCTGATTTCCAAAACCATGGAAACGGTATCCTTGACAACCACAACTATAAGATAGAGATCGTTTGCTTGCTTCTGAGAAACCCACCCAAATTTAAATGTTGATCTTCGTCTTTCAAAGCAATAGAACTCGCCACTGACAACTGTTGTAAGAAGACCAAATGGACTTTGATGACACCAAAGAGAATGTGAAAAGATAGCTTGATGGAATGATGGACCTATAAAAATGCATGTCACTAATTTATCTCTGAGGTAATGGTAACAACACTTAGCCTGTGTCATATGAGAATCCACGACGCCCGTTGCCCCCAGCAACCAAAACCAATTCCCTTGCTTCAACGTTGTTGATACAATACCAATGCTGATACGTAACCTTTTCTCCAGGGAAAGGAGCGATACTTGATGTGGAATGCCTCGAGCGATGAATAAACCTTGATAGCGCCAAAAAGACACGCATGTAATATTGTTGCTTGTTGCTGATGCGATACATCCATAAGAGACTTGCACTGCAGAGGGCTGTTGAAATCAATTGGCCAAATAACGAGAACCACCAGATGATCGAGTAAATGCTGTTGACAATAAAGATAGGAACTTTGTTGCTTGTGCTGATATGGTACACCGACAACAGGCATGCGTATAGTGGGATATCCATCGAAAGGATTGTCGACAACTAGAACCAAAATGAGACGAGATCAACCTTGGCGACACCAAAAGATATACAAGTTGTTGCTTGTTGTTGCAGATGCAAATAAAAGGAAGTATCCAATAGGTGGTAACGAGAACCATCGAACGATGTAATAAAGCCAGCTGATACTGGACGATGCTATACTGTAGACGTCGCTCCTTGACCCTGACATGATTCACCTATAAAAGATGCACGGTAAACAGTCTTCCAAATCCATAGAACAATATTTAGGAATGATAGCTGCATCCGTCAAGAATCCAAAGGGCACATGACAAATAGCTTGCTGAATAGCCCACATGCTATGATAAAAGCGGAGGTTGGCAGGCGTTGTAGAAACGAATGGATCATCAATTACCAATGGTAGCCATGTAATGAAACCCTGTCGACATCCAAAAATAGCTGCATCCATCAAGAATCCAAAGGGCACAAGACAAGTAGCTCGCTGAATAACCCACATGAAAGATGGTGTTAGTAGGCGTTGAAGGAAAGAATGGATCACTATTTACCAATGACAGCTTCATCCATGATAATCCCAATGCACCAGAAGACAAGTAGCTTGCTGAATATCCCACATACTATAATAAAAGAGGAGGTTAGCAGGCGTTGAAGAAGAGAACGGATCATCATTTACCAATGATAGCCATATGCAGATATCCAATGACAGCTGCACCCATGATAATCCCAATGCTCCAGAAGACAAGTAGCTTGCTGAATAGCCCACATACTATAATAGAAGAGGAGGTTAGCAGGCGTTGAAGAAGTCAGCGGGTCACTATTTACCAATGATAACCATACGCACGAAAACATGTCGACATCCAATGACAGCTGCATCCATGATAACCCAAAGAACCAGAAGACAAGTGGCTTGCTGAATACACCACATACTATAATAGAAGAGAGGTTGATTAAGATCGGAGCCAAAACACGGATCATCCACTATTTACCAATGATAGCCATACGAACGAAAACATGTTGGCATCCAATGACAGCTGCATCCATAAAAATCCCAATGCACCAGAAGACAAGTACTGTAGATTGCTGAATAGTCCGCACACTATAATAAAAGAGGATGTTGGTTGGGATTGGAGCCAAAAAACGGATCATCCTCTATTTACCAATGATAGCCATATGCACGAAATCCTGCTGATATCCAAATCAAGCCGATTCTTTGCAATCGTCCGCTTGTTGATAAGGCCCGCTACGGTGGTACTCGGCTTGAAAGCCATGGAACGATACTTTATGGGCATATGCAGTGAGAAGGTTGAGTAATACTTATACCACCAAAGAGAGCATACTTACATGATGCCGAAGAGCCCTTACAAAGAGAGACAATGAGACAATCCTTGCTGCCCAAGACCACATGCAAATCGAGAAAGCATTGTGCATCGAAAAGCCCAAACCAGATCCTAGCTGCGGAGTGACGTACATATGGCTAAAGAGCGATGTGAATGGCAATCGTTTTTCATTGGAAATCGAATGCAGCTTGACGATGAATGCCTTGAGGAGATGCATAAATGACCTTGGTAACACCAAAGATGTCAACGCGGACTCTCATTGCTTGTTGATGACATTATCCATCCATAAAACGCGTATAGTTGTAGAGATCCATCAAAGGAATTGCCGATAATCAGAACCACGAGATGATCGAAAGCTTGCTGACGCCAAAGGTATAAACCTGCTCCTTGTTGCTGACATGATCGATCGATAAGGGACCTTTGTTTCAGGAGGTTCACCAAATTGCAGGTAATGGGAAGCACCAGATGGATGATGGGATGAGGGTTGATATGGCACCAAAGATATGCATGCTGTTGTTTGTTGCTGATACAATCCACTCACAAGACGACAAGAGACTTGCATTGGCGGACACTCTTCAGAGAAATCGCCCGTTGCTTGGTAACCAACCACCCGAGACGCAATAAAGGTTGACACCACCAAAAGACATAAACGCTTCCCAATGGCTGACATGATTCACCTATAAAAGATGCACCATAAACAATTGTCCCAACTCATCCAACAATACTTAGCAATTCATAGCTGTGATCTTGTAAACGTCAAAGCACCAAAAGACAAGCAGCTCTCTGCAATGGTCCCTCTAAATAATGGTAGGCGTTTCAGCAAAGGTCTCTAAAAAGCATGAGAGTCATACATACCTGAATCACGAAATCATCACCCGCAGACTTGGAACCAAATAGGCCACCAGGATGTAAAGTGATAATAAAAGCGCACAGCCAAAGAAACATCATAGTACCAGTACTCTCCTGTGGATCGACGCGATGAAGTGCATCAATAGAGATACCCATCTTCTCTCTAAAGGCAAGGAGATCAATAGCCGTAAAACGATGGAGCCGTGCGAACAGAGGATGCATTTTTAAATCCCTGAGACCGCAACATGAGTCGCACTGTCCCCGGGCACAACATGTAGAGCTCCACAGGAAAGTGTAGTACAATGACGTCCTTGACGTGCAGCCTTGATAATAATAGTATTGCCGAAAGAGGCTCTGTCACTGTATGGTGTTTGGTAAGTCCACTTGAATCCAACCAATCCCATCATAATGAACACTCTTACCTTGTGGTATTTCTCAATAGCATCTTTGCCTCAAATAGAACCGTATCTCCATGTCATCCATATTGCCTTGCTGCTGTTTCACTTTAAGGCTCGTTAATTAACGGATTTTGCTTTGTAGATCCAATACCATGCATACCATTGAGCCAACCATACAGCATTCTTGCTTTGAGATCCGTATCCTGTTGCTGCCAGAGGTACCATCATCCAACATGTTCATCTACCATAAACGCAATGTGAGATAAGAAGCCAACCCAATCCACACGCTTTTGTTGTCCGCATACCCAAAAGAGGCAATGTGAAGACGTCTTGAGAACTCGCATTGTGGACAACTCGGTAAGGAAGGCACACGACGCCCTGAACCATGGTGATCACAAGGAATTGCAACCAAATACACCATCCGAAGGCAATACAATAATCAACCTGCAACGCCATGGTATGCCACCATATGTACCATACTCTCATTGGATCCTGAAATTGGCATCATAAGAGATATCCACCTTCTCTCTGTAGGCAAGGAAATCAATAGCCGTACTTGGATGGAGGCCGTGTGCACAGCGGATGCATTTTTAAATCCCTGAGGCCGCATCTTGAGTCACACTGTTTCCGGGCCAAAATTCCCCAGGAGAGCACAATACTATACAATGACATCCTCGACGTGCTGATTGATCAAAATAATCGCCCAACCAGAGCCTGACCTAATATTTCTTTCGTAAGCACGCTTGAAGGGACAAATTCCATAATGAACATTTTACCTTGTGGTATTTCTCAATAGCATCTTTGCCTCAAATAAAACCGTATCTCCATGTCATCCATATTGTCTTGCTGCTGTTTCATTGTAAGGCTCGTTAATTCACAGGTTTCGCTTTGTAGATCCAATACCACGCATACCATTGAGCCAACCATACAGCATTCTTGCTTTGAGGTCCGTATCCTGTTGCTGCCAGAGGTACCATCATCCAACTTGTCCAAGCTACAGTAAGTGAAGTGTAAGGTAACAATAACATTCGCTTTTCATGTCGACATACCCATAGTAACAATAGGTTGCGACCCTCCTTGATGACCACCATGGAAAGCATACACACGACACACGATGCCCCCTTTGGATCTTGTATAAACGAGAGAACAGCAAACTACACGTAAACTTTAGTATCTCAATGTCCAACTTGAATAATAAAGTAATGCAGCGATGGAACGTACATGTTGTATTGCAATGGAAGCTTGAGTCATGGGCAGATCACGCGCGTGCTTGTTGTTGAATGTCTGCAACGGGAAAGTGTCGCCATTGACCACATGTTCACCCCAATGAACGCTGTACATTGTAAGGAATGCCAGCAATTAACGCGTTGTAGTTTGTAAATGGAGACAAGCTTACTTTTTTGTGAAGTGGAAGTGAAGAAGAGTGGTCTCTTTGTTCCTCCTGTTCTCTCCAATTCTTGCACTCCATACCACCCCGCTTGCTACAGCTATTACTGTTTATACGTAACCTCCACAATATCCTATGCGCTTGGCTCAATAAGAATGATCACTGCTCAAGACTTCAATTGAGAACAGCCCTCGTAATTAAGCTATTAGGTCTGTGCTCATCACATCGATCGATTAGTTATGCATCTCCACTCCTGAACCGACTTGTGTAACCTACTGTGTAACTCCCTACCAAATATGATATCTCGCTTTCCACCCTTCAATTTGCTGCCCCCCTTTCAATGCAGAAAACAACCAAGTGATCCCCCCTTGCACATCTGAGCTAATAGTAGGATACCCAAAGTATTATGTTGGATCCAATTTTCATTTAATAAAAAGTCGAAGAACACGTAGCACACTGTACTGTGGATGTTTATCAAGTAGATACATGATGCATAAGGAAACAATATAGCCAAGAACAGGGCATGGGCGAAGCATCTAGAGTCATCGGGGATAATTGCGTCGTCCTTTTCGTGATTGCTGTCGCCATAATCACCTTTCATCCATGGTTGTAAAGTAGGTGCTGTATGCTTTGGCTCCAGTATCCCAATATCTTCCATTGCTGTGAAACACCTCCTTTCGTCAAAGATATAAGCCCTTTTCTCAATTCCATCCAATCCATCACCATCCTCAGCCGTATTCACGTGAAACGATCGATCGTTCCTGCTGATGACGCGCCAAGTAACCAAAGCAACATTCCAGGACTTCTCATCACTGCACTTGATCGCATCCTTCCATCCATAACCATTGCAAACTAATATCGCTGCTGATGCGCTCCCTTTCCCATCGATCCTTGGTCCCTCTCTTCTTGAGTCACTTTCCATCGCAGCTCAACCAGTTGAAGACTGCTTGTATTGTGGCGTAGTTGATGGCTGATAGTGCGTCATTCAAACTAGATATCCCGTTCTAAATGGGCACTTCCTTCCATCACATGTACCAAAGCATTGCATCATTCAGATCCATATCCATTGTAATTCGTATGTATTGAAGCAAGTTGCTACATGTAAATAAAGCTGTTTCGATACAATGGCTATCTGCTGTTCATGGGAAAAGGCTGTAAGGCGCGTTGCTGCAAGTAAAGAACGCTGTGGGATACGATGGAGTAAAGAGCTTGTTAATAGCAACTGGTGCATTGAATGCTGTTACATTGGATTGCGGCAGGGAAGCGCGTCAGAGCGTGTGTTGTAGAAGAGTGACAAGAAGGCTGTGTGTGTACACGCCATGGACTTGCCATTCGGTCAAAAGCAATCGGATGAAGACATTCGTAGGATGGACATGATGGGTTGAAGCAGGACAATTGTTCGCAGGTGGTAGTTGTACTTAAATGGGGCAACAGTTGAGGATGGGAGGAAGTGGGAGGAAGCTTGCAGTGGAAGAGCTGCAAATTAATTAGATTCTTCTGGTGCTTGGATGATGTCTCTGTGCTTGAGCGTTGCTCAATCAAATCCTCTCGGATCAAGAAAGTTGAATGATGGGTATGCTGGGCTGGAGCAGGACAATCGTTTTTATGCATTGGATTGGGAAACAAAGGTGAATGGGAGGAATGGGCTATCAACCAGCAGTTTACAAATAACTTTGCAAAATGATTTTTGTGAAATTGGATGATGTTTTGTGTTTGAGCGTTTTTCAGTCAAATCCTCTCGCATGAAGAAAGTTAAATGATGGAAATGATGGGCTGGAGCAGGACAATTGTTCGTGTGCTTTGGATTGGACAACAAAGGTGAATGGAAGGAATGGGCTATTAGCCGGCAGTTTACGAATAACTTACCAATTTGATTCTTCTGATATTGGATGATGTTTCTGTGTTTGAGCATTTTTCAGTCAAATCTCATCGGATCAAGAAAGTTGAATGATGGGCATGCTGGGCTGGAGCAAGACAATCGTTCGTATGCATTGGATTGGACAACAATGGAGAATGGGAGGACTAAGGTTATTAGCTGGCATTTTGGACTATTCCTAAATAGTGTACAAGAATCATGCATCGACTGTGCTGAATGACTCAAGTTACATAAACACGCCCTCTGCATCTTTTGCTCTATTGTAGCCATACTACTTTACATTAAACAAAGACCACTCTCATATAGCATCACGCTTACAACACAGTAAAAACATAAAGACGCCTGTATCTCTAAACTTTACAATCAAACGTGGGCTCTTTAATAGATCAACGTGCTTGTCGGGGTCAAAGGAATCTTGTGTCAAAGTATGAAGTTCATCGTGGCCAATCCCAGATTTCGCAATGTCGCTACCAGCCAAACTGGATCTGGTGGTCGACCTCTTTCGACGACGACGACCAAAAAAATATTTTTTGAGCTGTTTGCGACATTGAACGCGAAACTTTCACACAATGTGCTGTTGGCCAAGCCGAGCGCATTGCTCTAATAAAAACCCCACGTTTGATTGTAAAGTTTAGAGATACAGGCGTCTTTATGTTTTTACTATGCTGTAAGCGTGGTCGAGTTGCTTTCTCCTAGTGGATGGTGTCGGCTGCATTAACGGAAAGATGAAGAGCTGAGTGAAATGTCACATGGTGGTTACACAGACACGTCCTTGACAGGTAGCTGCACAAATGGATGATGATGATGATGATTGCCTTTTGTGAAGGTACGTAAGTAAACAGCATCCAATAATGAAGGTGTGTCAAGGTATGCATCACATTTGCATGTAGAAGAAAGTCGAGCTGCATAAACCAATCTGTACACTAAAAAGATGCGTATACAAACATATTGAATGCATCACTCACCCTGAAACTCAATGCAGGGATCACTTCACTTTTTTCTTTTCTCAAGGTCATCCCACTTCCCACTCCTCCTTATTGTATCACAAAAGCCATGTACTTCTTGCATGACCGATAACCGGACCACCTTTATTATTCCATCTTCGAACCAATAGTATGTAATCCACAAGCTAGCAACCTTCAACAAGCGTGTAATAAATAAACAACGCTTTATTTCATCTAGCTATTATCTTGCTACATTGCCACCACCATCCTCGTAGTCGTCGTCCGTCATCATTCGTACTCGTACTCGTCACCAGTCGTCAATCTCATCCGTCACACCAACATCCAAAAATACACAAGTTGAAAAGAATGGGATCTTGCAGGCTTCCTTTTGAATCTCGTTGTCGTCATCATTGTCATTGTTGTAGATGGGGTGATCATCGTAATCGTCATTGTGGTGAATGTGGTAATCATCGTAATCGTCGTCTCTACAAATATGAAAGCAGGCAAGTTAGACCATCTGATACCGGGAATGATGACGATTTGGTATACCGTTAGGCGATCCTCTCTAAGGAAGAAAGCAAATCAGAAGGAATTCACAAACCAAATCACCACCATACGAGCAACGTCGGGCGATCCCTTGTTCTTGAGAAGGCACTGCACGAATCACGCAAGGCCAGTTCGATCCATGGCAAGGAAGGACATCACTTACGTACAGTCCAGGCTCATACTTGTCCTCATTCATCCTCCCCAAAGAAAGAATGATCCCCAATCCTTCCAATCATTTTCCACCTCATGGAAAGAAATCCTCAAGGGGAAGAACGAGCCTATCACGAGAAGAGTGTGTTGGTTTAACACATTCACGAGCTGTTGCAAATGCCCTTTTACCTCAACAACGGTGACCATCCTCTTCCAAAAACCCATCGTCATCGACCCATCCTCAACTCAACGCAGGCCTATAGAGCCCTGGACACGCTCCAAGAAGCTTTTCCAGCACACTTGGCTAGTGCAGAGCGACGCAGCGGCCACTTGATACAGACTGGGACTTGAACCCAAAGGGATGATTATGATGCCCCAAGTCGCATTCCCTGACCAAAGAAACCTATTCAATTCATTATTAGCAAACACAAAATAAACACCCTTTTCATTGTTTGTTTCATTGTACTTGCCTTTTCCATATACACAAGAACCCCTTTGTTGTTGGTTACTGGAAACCGAAAACCATGGCGTAGTAGTGTAGTTGAGCCGAAACAAAACGCCAAACCAGCCAACGTCTTGAAACCAAACTTGCCCTCTATACAAGCTGACGCGTCAATGGAACCAATTCGGCTGCAACATTGGACTCTGAATGTACCTGTTGACACCAAGCGTAGAGCGGGAATAGCAACGAGCAAAAGGAAGCAACCATATCGCCATGGCAACCACCAACCACCAACCACGCTCATTCCTCAGCATTTGGACACACACTCACTCCCTGACAATGCATGTTCAGAACTACATTAGTACCTCACAACCAACAAGAGCACTCTTTTATAATACATTACCTTGATTGGGATGTCGTGATTGGGATAAAAAGGAAAGGTGGGAGAAAAAGAAGAGAAGCGTTGTCTCAAGTCGTGAAGCAACCGTTCCCAAGTTTAAATCCCCTACTGCTATTACACTGAGGCCACTCAATGACCCCACACACCCCATCCACCCATCATCATCATCCCCCTCACGATAGACAATAGGTACACGTAAATAAAAAAAAATGATCCTCATGTATAGCAAAAAGGGAGTGTGTCATTTTGCACTTTACATGACAATGATGACCCAACAACAGCCATTGCCTTACTATGTACCAGGTTAGCTCGAATCAAAAAAGTTTAAGTATGGATATGATGCAATAGTAGAATCGTTCACATGCATTGGATTTCGCAACAGCTGGAAATGGGAGGAAGGGACAAAAGGTGATTTTTATATGTCAAAGTTTGTTATCTGTGGCAAATACGCACATGCACTAAGTTCAAGAATGTGCACATCATCAAAGACATCTTTGCCATCGTATCCTCCTAACACGTATATCCGTGAATCATGCAACACTGCAGTGTGATATCCTCTGGCAACAATTGGACTTCCGTATACGGTACGTGTTTCCCATGCCATGGACACTGATATCGTCCCTTGGTTAGTTGCATTGGTCATTTTCGTTAAACAAGCCTGAACTTACCGAGATTCAACATAAGCACTTGATTGGAATACCGGCTTCCATCATGCCCACCGATAACGAAAACATAGGATCCCACTTGTAAGGCAGCATGGGCAAGACGCGGGATGATACGATCAAGGACATCCACTTGAGACCAAACATTTCCCACTAGAATAGTAACCATATATAAATAAACATTGATCATCTTCTTAAATGATTGAATCCTTTTACCTAAATCCAGAATATATACATCACCAAAGCATGTCTTGCCATCACTACCTCCATATACGACCAACTTGTCCTTGACGAGTGTTGTAGTATGGTATCCACGTTGAGGAGGACGAGTTCCTGTAGGATCAAGTTGTTTCCATTGAGGTGGATCTTGAGCAAGATCAAGCGTATGAACATCATTGAGAGCGTGTCCACCATCACCACCACCAAAGATCACTAGCTTGTTACCCCACAAACTAGCTGTATGAGCACGTCGTGGGATAGGAGGCTTGCCTACAGTTTCCACCTTGGACCAATATGAGGTTCCTTTTTTGCCAAAGATGAGTATCACAATGTAATTAAAAGCCATGTACTACGTTACCAATGTCAAACTTGTATACATCATTGAAATAATGTGGGCCATCACCACCACCAAAGACGTAGAGATCACGTTGCATACGGCCATCAAGTCGACGTTCTACTAGCGTCATACTGTGTGCTCTTGAGGGAGGAGGCGGTTTGCCTGATACGGATGGTTTGGACCAAGTCATTGTTTCTAACATCCTGTATTTAGTATACCTCGAATACCCAGGTATCTTTTGAACCTACCCATATCGAGAACATGCAATGTGTTGAAGCATCGCTTTGCATCCGATCCACCAAATACGTATAAATGATCTTGAACCACACAAGATGAATGAGCACGAAGCGCTGGGGCGTCTTTGCTACGTGCACTAAATGTCACTGCTCTTGACCAATACATTCCTGCTGCTGGCGCAGGTGGTACTTGAGGATTGGTGCGTGTCAATTCTAATGCTGCTGCCACGTGGTCAGCCACAACACATTTCGAGGTTGTTCCATTTGTAGATTTGGCGGTCGAGTGCTTCTTTTTCCTAACGTTGAATGAAGAAGGACTTTGGTGCTCATGTTGTTGTTGTTGTTGTTGTTGCTGATGATGATGATGATGATGATGATGGTGGTCTTGATTTAAAGTTGGGAGCGTCGAACCATGATGAGCAGTATCCACTGATGTAGCAGGCGTTGAAGTGACTGTAGCAAAACTCGATGTTGGTGGGCTGTTTGTAGCTATATAGGTTACATTAGGTAATCGAGATCTTGGATGGGTGACTATTCAATACTTACTGAAAGAGGAAGATGGTGATAATGGAAGGTTTCGAGGAGATGTTGGAAGGTTAAGAGCAGAAGTTTTGCTTGGATTATAGCCAAGAGGTGGTGGTGGAGCTCGTGCTTTGGATCGGGCGATACCATTGTATTGAGCCATGGGTAACTGTAGATCATGGATACTATCCTCACCACCTCGACCATCCGGTGGCAATGTTGGTGATTCAGATGGAGCTGGTGCACTAGATAAGAATAAAGAACATGGTGGATCAATGCTAATAGCTCGTATAATAATTATATATCCCCTCCGCCATCATCATCCATGCATGAATAATAGGCCCCACGTGATAGAGTTGACTTACCTTGCACTATGGTTACTAGTCACCTGGACCATGTAGCAAACAAGTAAAGTGGGGAAGAGGGGAAAAAAGAAAAGAGGGAAAGAGGAAGAGGGAAGACAATGAAAAAGAGCAAAAGAAAATGTGGTGTGTATTGGCTGACATTAGATTGGAAGAGAGAAAAAGGCTTTAAACCACATGGAAATATGGGGTCGGGGTGTTACAATGTCCAACGATACATGATCTCTGCAAACTCTTCATCGTCGATCGGTTCCTCTCCACTCAACAAATCAAGGGCATCCACCAATGCAACGGCTAGGATATGGCGACACTACCATTCAATTGGTTCCATATTAGTGGCTCGATTCAATCACCCATCCTCTTCCTTGTTACCATCACTGTCGACCGATCACAGAGGGTCGCGTTTCGGAATTCAGCACAAGAACAATAGCGAGGATCGAGAAAACACGTGTACCAAGTATTCGGTCGGTCATCTTTCTGGAAACATGCATCGGATACTCGATATATAACGCGTCCTGCTTGACATATAGCTCGCTCCACTAATAGAGATATACACGTACATATCAACTTGTTGTTGTCACTCGCTACCATTGCTAGTTACCCTACCTGCGTTATTGTCAATCAAATAAAACGATTCCTGCAACTTGGTTTCGAATACTTCATGGAGTCGATGGGCGTGTTCGATCGTCACTGTTGGCAAAGGGAACATTAGTATAGCAACCAAGCAACCAAGCTAATGGGAAGACACTTGCATTCCTTTGACGCGGCCAATTCTTCAAAAAGGGTATCGACAAATTGAAGTGCATAGTGAGTCTCTTCAGCCATTCAGCCTGAGTACACGAGAGGTGGGGAGAAGGAGGTGTATAAAGTCAAACAAAGGAAGAAGAAAATGGTTGGTTCATAACGTCCCCATGCATTGTTGTGATCCATAACAACAACAGCTGCTGCTGCTTGTTTTGTTTATGTTTTATGGCCTTGGCACATGCCCATATCGCTCTCTCCCTCTCCCTCACTCTCTCCCTTTGAGGCGCAGGAGCCCCACATCTCTCAGTATCTCGACCATCGTATCGGTCACATTGTTGTTTTCGGATCCTCCTGATTCAGAAATCCGCCCTGGCATGTGACACCCTGTATGCAATGCAAAATGTGAAAAAAATAGATCACTTGCTCTTCGGATGGTTTTTCATTCTAATCCATGAGACAAAGTTTACAACTATAAGCATTACAATATACAATACAAAGGAGGAACATGGGTAACAGATGATGGGGTTTAAGGGGGGGAACATTGGTTGCAAAATAAACAATAGAACTGAGGATGGTGTGTGTGTGTGTGTGTGTGTGGAGCGTATCAAATATGGTAGGCCTCTTGTTGTTGTTGTTGTTTTTCTTCATCACTTAAGCGGCAGGTGCTTCCTTATTGCTCCAGATACGACGATTAGGAGCAAAACAGCATGTAACGCAATACCAGAAAGAAGAAAGCAATAAAGCAACCATGGCACCCAATGTCATCCACATGGATGGACCAAGATGACCAGTAGCATCGATACCGGCACCCTTGGCATTGTTGACTCCACGAAGACCAACGACCATCAGGATAACAAATACAACAATCATCACCAATGCCGCTACAAAGGTAAGGAAGGATGCCAAAAAGTCGCTACCTCGACGAAAACCAGACATACAAGTGACGACCATGGCTGCCAGTGTGAGACCTAATGCGATCCAATATAGAATAAAGTTGGCGAGAAAGACGCGATCATAACTATCGAGTCCTATAGCATCTCGAATAGGTGCAAGATCACTGCCACCTGCCGTTGCTAAACAACCAATGCATAGATGAATTAGTATCCTATGACTACAATAAAGGATCGTCTTGATAATAACTTACTCCAGTCAAAAGCGGGCTCTGGTTGGCTGCATTGTGTCACCTCGCCATCTCGTCCTGTGCAATAATTCCTAAAGAGCAACCAATGTCAACAATGATTTGAACATGTCGAGAGAAACCAAAGCAATTACCATAAACCGAAATCAATAAATTGCCTGCTAATCTCGAGACGTGCAAAGTAGAGCTCTTTCAAAAAAGGTCGATTGTAGGTGTTGCCTAGCAACGTGAAGATTTGCAATACAAGGGCTGCAAAATCAAAGAATGTGGCGAGAAATGGAAGCAATGACATGAAATAGGATTGAATTCAGCGATAAAAGGGAAAGAGAAAAAAATACAGAAAAGAAGTGGGTGTAAAAAGATCGAAACCCAAAGGAGTCTCTTTTTATGCAAGAGAATCGTCTGACAGCCACCGGATTATGACGAAATGCAAAAAAGGTCTAATCCAAAAATAGAGTGCTGAAATGGCCCTGCACCACACAACTATTTTGTTCAAAGCATCATCAATGAAAGCTTCGCATACACTCCGCCACTACTGCCAAGAAGCCGCACCCGATAACTTTTGATGCATTACGACGCACAAACGATTTTTCCACCCGTTTCGGTGTGTGCTGCTGTGCATGACATTCTTGATGGCAGCACACCTTACTTTTTTATGGTATAGTCTTTGGCACTGACTCGTTCGGATGACCCACCATAGGAGCTTCTTCTTTTTTGCTTTCCGGGGATGATTGGGTTTATGCATGTCTTTTATCATCCATTGCTTTACCTGGTTATATGATTCGAGGTTGCAGAAGAATACACAAACGGGACGACAGATCGGATCGCTTGGCATTTTCTAAAGAGACGATCTTCAGCTGGATTTATAAAAAGAACTGGACGACGAGGTCATGCTGTGCAACCCTATTTTCCATCCTGAGCAACCTATGTCTCATCCACTGACACAGATCAAAGCCCAAGTATTTGGTTTCGTGCCACAATGGGGGAGATGTACATAATCTTTTATGATCCCCGTCAAAATTAAAAAAGATCCTTTCCCGCATAAGAGTGCGCGGGGAGAAGAAAAACATCATCATCATCATCACCACCATCAAACCCCAGCTTATTGTTACACTGATACGCCATGCATGGAAACAAACGATGCAGCACTTTCTTGGCTGCTGACACCTTTTGATCCCTCACATGTTCACCAAAGAAACGACATGCGTGACTCATACTATGATATTCAATATTACAAGAAGGGGAAGAAGCTATACTTGATATACAATCTATGCTATACAAAGTGTGGAGGGGGGTATGTATTAAGAAGCGTAACGACACCAAACGCCTAAGCCAACAAGAACACAAGTAAGAATAAGGCTGAGAACACTCATCCAGCAATTGAGCTGGCCAACGATACGGGCGTTGATAAGAGATGTGGATTGTTTTTGTGTTTCCAGATCGGTGGGTAAACGGCGCCGTTGTTGGCGTACATAGATCCACGCGCCGATCCACCACAATGGGAAAAATAAAAAGCCAAACAGAAACATCGAAGATTGCATTGTATAAGTAGCACGTTCACAATGGCTGCTGTTGGTGCCATCACAACAACAACTCTTTGGTGCAAAAGATATATGACCCTTGTCGTCAACATGCACTTGTTGTTTGCCGGATCTTCCATGCGTATCAATCCAAAAGGCTGAGAAGCGACGAGGTGCAGCTGTAGTGGTAGTGGTGGTGTTAAGCGTCCCGTGATAAGGAGGATGGATCAATGAATCGAGCTTGTTGGATAAGGAGGATCCACTTGATATAGTGGGTGGTCGAATAAACTTTTCAGTGGTCGTCGTAGTGGCTGTTGTTTTTTGTGATGGCTGTTGTTGTATACGTTGTTTACTTTTTCGACGTGGATGATGTTGTACCCAACTATAAAGCCAATTGCCACCATCCGATGTACCTGAAGAACGCTGTTGCTGACGATGCGAATTATGGTGTCTTGTACGATGGGGACAACCACCACCACCACCTGATGACTCACTGCTGGGGTTGCTGATGTTCATGCAATACTGGCAGCTGGTAGATGCACTATGCAAGCTTAAATGATCGTGATCATCATCATCATCCTCGTCGTACAACACCTCAGGCACATGTCCTGCAGCTGCCATGTCCTCATCCGATAAATGCAACACCATCGATGAGCGCACAGAGGAGTATTTATCATGATAATAGGAGGATCGATGAAGACGACTGCTACTACCACCACTATGACTGCCAGCAGGGTATAAAGTAAATGTGCCCAAGATGGCACCCAAACTATGCCGCCTTTTCATTCGTAAGGATTTTTTGTTTTTGCTGCTGTTGCCATGAAAGTGACGTGTTGACTTTGTAGATGAAGCAGGATGCATGAATCGTTGTTTTTCCTTTTTCAAGATACGCGATGAAGCGGGTGGAAATGTCCGCCGTTTATGCAAGAATAAAGCTGATAAGGCTGCGCTGCTACGTCTCCGTGTTTGTCTCCATGATGCAGACCATCGACTACTACTGCTACTATCACCCCCACTACCCTCTGGTAATGATGACGAATGTGATGATTTGGGTGCGATAGTGGGTCTTCTTTTACGTCTCCAGGAAGGGAATCCCAAAGAGGATGAAGATGTATTGGTATCGGTTGATAGGGGTACGGGTGATTCATCAGCAGCCACGTCGTGGTTGCTAGTAGTCGTGGCGGCTGATCTTCGATGATCGTTGTTGTATGATGAAGGCTGGTATGGATCGGTTGAACATGTAATAGCAGAGCCACTCTCATTTGGAGATTCCTGTACACCATCATTGTCGATACGATTTTTTCGGGAGGAAGGCATTAGGTGGTGTTGATTATAATAAAGTAAAGAAAAAAGGTGTATGTACACGAAAAAGAATGTATGGGATGGCTAAACGTAGATCTGGAAGGACTCATCTTTTTCTTTGCCAGGGGGTGGTGGTAAGAAGGGGGGTTGTAAAGAAAGAGTGTGATGCCTCTCCTTAACGCATTGGCAACAGCCCAATTCGATTGCTCCTTTATGTGCTGTGTGTGTATTTGTGTATGAGTACATGTATATATGGTGGCACATGCACTCCGCTGTAAGAGTATCAATATGATTGTGCTGCTTGCTATGTATGCTTGCTCATATGCTGCTGCTGTTATGTTTTGGTGTATACATGTTGATCATCTCCCAACCCCTCATCTTGGTAACTGCATATTGCATAGCACTACAAATAGCGCATTCCATTGTTGATGTTGTTGCTGGATAAGATAATAATGCTTGTCGATCTACATAACAAGCTCATTTCAGCTGCTCCTCCTGACACCAACGACCCATCCATAAAAAGTAAAAAGACGTCGTTGTCTGATTGTGTGGGTGTGTGTCTCATTCTCTAGGATTCGATAATGAAGGTGGGAAATCTCCTATTTTTGCTGCTATTGTAATAACGTTATCCCCCCTTGTACGCAGTGTTCCGTGTCGTCAGCAGCATGTCACGTTGAAAAAGCTCATATATCGCTATATTTGTCGATTCAGGGTGTATCTTTATGTAGGCAGAATTTGAAAGTGAATGATCCCAAGACATCTTATCTAATATTGCTGATGGGGAGGTTGATGCACTTCATATTATGATCCTTGTTACTATAACACATTATGCGCATCAATCATCCTCGTGTCAAAACATCATCTCCTTCCCTACGCTGAGGATTACCTAAAATAGAGCAAAATTGCTTGCCACCGCTAATGCAGACCCTTGTCCTTCACCCAACATGTCGCGCCTATTCCGAATCGCCATCGATGGCCCTGCTGCATCCGGCAAAAGTAAGCCCCATGGACACCTTCTTTTCGCCTCAATGAACGCTCAAATGCCGTATCGGTCCTAGGTACAACAGCCAAACTACTTGCAAAGAAGCTCGGTTTCGGTTATATCGACTCTGGTGCAATGTATCGTGCAGTAAGCTTACCCCATGCCATGTCACAGTACTTCATTGTCGATTGAACGAACGGTTACTATTAGGTCACGCTCAAATGCCTTGATCAAGGGGTGAATGTCAACCATGCTTCCGAGGTAGAACAAGTGGCAAAGTCGGCCAAGATTCGGTTTCCTGCTCTTGGAAAGGTGGAGCTTGACGACAAGGATGTCAGCGATGCTATTCGGGAATCGAGAATTGTACAAAGTATCAGCCCTATTGCATCCAACAAGAATGTACGAGAGACGCTTGCCGAGCAACAACGGTCGCTTGCAAGAGGTGATGTGGATCAAGGATGGCCTGGGTTTTCATGGAATGACAAGCAAATTCATGGTGTTGTGATGGATGGCAGAGATATCGGCACCGTCATTTTACCCGATGCTGAACTCAAGGTCTTTATCATTGCGGATCCAAAAGTACGAGCACAACGTCGCTACGATGAATTGGCTGGTAAAAATGCATTGGCGTCGGGTGAAACGGTTGAAAGTATTGCAAAGGATCTGGCAGAGCGTGATGAAGCTGATCGTACTCGCAAAGTGTCTCCTTTGAAGAAAGCGGATGATGCAGAGGAATTGGATACCAGTCATAAGACAATTGATGAACAAGTGGTTGATATTGAGAATATGGTGCATAAACGTTTGAATCACATGTAGATTACTACTCCCTCCAAATGATAATAGACTAGAACCACCAAATAGATTATATAAAAAAAGTACACACATAAAATGTTATTTTATTTTATACTACACGTTTGACTTCAAAGAAACGCTTGAGATAGACAACTTGAAGGAAGCAAACGGCGGCTAACAATGCCAACTGCCCCAAAGACCACCACTTGACACGAGCATTAGTGCTTTCAGCAGCTATGAAACAAGGAATTAAATCATCATCATCATCATCATCATTACCATCCCCTTTAAGTCACTTACTGTTGCGATGTTGACGTTCACGGAGAACAATGTATTCTTGCTCAGCCTTGATACCATGGATACTATCAGCCAATTCCCGGATCTCACGTTCAAGAGGATCGATTTTCTCTAATAAGGACATTAGCTATCCAATCCAATCGTATGATATGACCACTCACCTGTAGCTGTAGACTTGATCTTTTGCATATCATGCACATTGAAGCTGACAGACTTGGCGGTAACGGATGACATTTGGTTTCCAAAGCAGTAGGTATGTTTGCCAGCAATCGATGCTTCAATCACGTGGACGCCTGATGATTCTCTCGAGGCACTCTTCATAATATGATCTTGGGGATCCGAGACCTATCAAGGACAACACCCACCCTTCCTGTATGAGATGACCCCAAACGTACACGATCGGCTCACGTCATTTGACTTACCCAAAAGTCGATATCAAGGTTACCTCCCTCACCAACCTAGAATAGACCCATGTCAGGACATTGAACGCGATAATAGTACAATCTGGAATGGACTTACCTGGAAGGTCACCGTCATCTTGTCACCCACTGTAAGGTCTTCGTAAAAGCATTGGACACCATGAGCAGGAATATCAACACTGAGAGCCCTTACAGAGCTAATGAAGCAAACGATGGCGAAGGTAGCAGTGAACCACAACCGCGTTGGGAGCAGTGAGACCATGTTGGGAGAACAAGCTGTGTGTTATGTAAAGAGAGAGAGGAACGCGCTGAGTCTGGAGAATAAAGTCGTGGCAACACCAGGATTGGCTACCATCCATTATCCGAATGCATTGGTAAACAGCTTGTGAGCCACATTTATGGGTGCACACATTTAACATTGGTGAAAACATTTGAAAAGTGGGTCATCTCTAAGTGAGCTATACCTCGTAACAAGGTCCATATTACATACATTCTACACGTTACTCGTTGCCCTGGAAACGCCGCTCCATTCATCATGTTGTAAATAACACACACACACCCTAACCCATCACCCACACTACCATGCCCCGATCCTTTTCATCCATTCATAAACATTGATCATTAGTGATATGCGGTTGTATTAGCCTATGCGAATAATGCATGATATTAAGGGGAGATGGCGAACCTAATAATCTACTCGACAAACATCAATCACCAATGTTGACTCTCTATTTCTCCAACCTACCTGCAGCCCATCCATTTTCTTTGAGGAAATCTTCAATAGCTTCCTTGAGAGATCTATTTGGTACCAAGTCGCTTTCCTTGCAGGGTCGTCCAGTAATAGGGTCAACATGTCCATTTCGTGCAAAATGATCCAGCAGTGATTGACGCTCATACGTGAACCCATCTACAACAGATATCGCTATAAGCATCCCATTACCTCCTTGTTCTTCAATAAAGACTTACCTGGGGTAAATACGGGATCATGCATGATGTTGAACGAAATCTTATCCAAGTAGGCATCGGGAATCTCACGTCGCTTTAAATACAATCATGAGTCATATACGTACATTTCCAAACAATGCGCATCCTTACCATTAGGTTTTCTTTGGATTGTTCAAATACTTTTTGGATCTTAGCTTCTTGCTCGTCCTGGGGGACATCTTAAGTTCAAATGCATGATATTCGTTGTATGGTCCTTACTGTCAAATAGTTGATCTCATCAATCTTTTCTTCGTCATCCCCTGCTTCCTCTAGTTGTCGCTTTCGTTCAGCTTCCACAAGGTTCTTGACATATTGTAACAATGATGATTCACGTACAAGGCGATCGGCCTCCTGATCATCCCATTTCTGGAAAGCACGAATTCGGCTTAGCAAGCATCATAATCACCATGTAATATCTCCACACATACCCGTTTCCTTGCAGTCAAGAGTGCTTGTAGGATATCATTCACGTATTTGACCCGCTGTTGGATTGCAAGCTCATAGGCTATGATCAAAGGAGGGTTAGCTTTTATATTGATCGACAAATCTTTACAACCTGCATACCTGTTTTAAGCTTGTTCAAGGCTACAAATAAAAAGTGTCAATACAGCGTCTACGACAATCCCCCATTTCACCATACTCACCTTCGGTATGTTGCTTCTTTTCAATCAAAGCTTGACCCAGCTGGAGAAGAGCAAAGTATTAGTCATGGGCCCTGATTTGTCATCCATCAATCTCCGGATATCGGTATCATCCTACCAGGTAGTATGCTTTCACTATTGACATATGGATAAGCATGTAAGCCATCATCTTCTTCCAATGCAAGCTATGCCGTGTCCTCCCCACCCCTTAGATACACTATCCAAATCGCCACCCAACTTGCCTGTAGTGTTATCCAAATCGATGGCTTTCCGCGTATCAGAAATCACATTGTCATATTGCTCTAACTTGAAACATACCATTGATTAAAATCAAGTTGACAATGTCATCCCATCTTGGCTGTCCTCCTATCTCTCTATCTTACCTTGGAATAACAGAGTGCTCGGTTGGTATAATAGATACGCTCGTTGGGGTCCTTGATCTAGGATGACGATAGAAGCGGGATATACGTATAAGCGTCAAAAGTGTTGTCAGCGTTTTGCGAATGACAGGTTGCTCACGATCGCAGTCGAGTATTCCTTGATGGCATCCTCGTACCGGTGCTCGGCAAATAGCTTGTTTCCTAGGCGATGGTGTTATACACATGCTTGCGTCATTGCAGTGGCAATTTACCTAGTTGCTTGTGATTCTCGGCCTCTTCCTTGCCCATTGGGTTGCTCAAGTCGAAAAGAAACGCGGAGAAGGTATCCGAAAACCCAATCTAAAGCTATGTGTGTAACCCCATTCACAAACAAAGCAATCCAAGTCCTTTCATCATATATGTATCCCATCCCGTGATTCATGCATACACTCAATGCACCGTGCCAGAATGAAAATATACAAAGAATAAATGATCACGTGATCTTCTTAATTGAATGAGGGATAACAAGGAACCGCTATCTAGTACAATGAACAGCTCTACTACCACTACGGATGTCAATTCATTATAAAAAGCTTCATTGTATGCATTGCCTTATGACCTTTCCCTTTGTGAGCAATGTTTGTCACCCGATGTATACCAGAGATATATATAGAACGTCGTTCATTGTCTTTAGTACATAGAAAGGAGCACATGCTATGTTGATATGACAAAGAGGAAAAATGAGTCAATCCCCTTTCATGTGCTCATAATGGGTACATGGCTGTTGATTTAGTATAAGCTCATTGTCGATCATGATGTTGTAGTAATTGCATCAATGACCCAACAAACCGGATTTTTTATCGCATCATGCGTGTAGTAGGAACGACAACATGAATGTATTATTTGTATACCAGCTAATCAAATTGTGGAACGTAAGCTGTTTGGAGAGAAGAGGGTGGAGGGATGAGATAAAAGCAATTGACAATGATGGCAACAACAATAAGTGGAAGATTGATTTTCCTCAAGGAGTGACACATGCATACCTATGCGTGGCATGTTGACAGAAGAGGAGATTGCTATTTTAGGTACTGTGGCCGTGAGCATGAGCCATATGCGGGTGGTGCCTCAGTAAAGACATGAGCAATAGCTTAGAGCGGCCATGTGCCGGGCTACCGGGTACGATGAAAGAAGGAAAGGGTGAATGGTATAAGCAGAATGAATAATAACATTGGAGCTATCTTTATATCCCTTCTTCTACTCCTCCTCCCCTCTTCTAGCACAATCCCCTTATTTTCTAACTAGAAAGCAGGGTTACCATATTCCGCGAAAGAACGAATGGATCAGCGCTCGTAAATCCAATCAAGTCGGACACACACACTTTCTCTCTTTGTATAGACCAGTTTTTTTGCACTTACACAACCCTCCATCTCGCTCAGCATTTGGCCCTTTCCAATCCCCTTCTTTCAATTCTATTGTGACAACTGCACACACATACCATGACCGGAAAAGGCGTTGTGAGAAGCATGTGAGTTTATCGACCTTGACCAGATTACCTTCTTCTCTCGCATGTGGACCACCACCACCACCACCCCCCATTGAAACTACGCCTGCTCACTCACTTTTATCTTGAACAGCAAAAACTACGCCAAAGGCTTCTCTGATGTGCAGCGAAAAGTACGTGAAGCAACATCGAACGATCCCTGGGGTCCCAGCGGTACCTTGATGAACGAGATTGCCCAATTGACTTATAACCAGTAAGTTCCTCTTCTCTGGTTGGCTATCTGGAAGGACAAGGACTCGTCTTGTTTCACTCCATATCCGCGACACGCCCTTTTGCATTATGTAACGAGATATTCCCCCTTCAAATAGGCACGACTTTATTGAGATCATGGATATGATTGATAAACGGCTGAATGACAAGGGTAAAAACTGGCGACACGTCTTCAAGGTATATATACAATCCATGGAAACATCATCCCGAACATCAACTCAACTCATTTATTTAGGCACTACTCTTGCTGGACTACTGTATACACGTGGGATCGGAGAATGTCGTTCTTTACGCCAAGGAAAACATCTATGTTATCAAGACATTGAAGGAATTCCAACATGTCGATGACAATGGCCGAGACGTTGGTGCTAATGGTACAATGAGCAAATGAGGGTGATTATTATTACCTTATCCATCTAATCGCATTGTATATATATAGTCCGACAGAAAGCCAAAGATATCACCAGCCTCTTGCTTGATGATGCTCGATTGAAGGATGAACGTCGCCAAAGACAACAAATGAGAGAACGCATGGCAGGTGTCAACGATTACATGAACGATGCAATGGGTATCAGAAATCCTGATATGGCTGGAGGACGTCCTTCCTATGGTCAAAACAATGAGGATCGTGAACTTCAAAGAGCACTTGAAGAGAGCAAACGTATGGCAGATGATGAAGAAAGAAAGCGACTTGGACGTCAAGAGTAAGCGGTTTCATTGTTTGAAAGGATTAACATTATACTCATTCACTCACCGCACATCGTTGTTTAGGGATGAGGATCTTCAAAAAGCAATTCGCCTTAGTGAACAAGAAGCTCAGGATAAGGAACGCAAGCAACGAGAAAAGCTTGAACGTGAGAACCAAGAAAAGTTATTCGGCAGCAACAACCAAAGCTCCAGGTACAATGAATCATTGAAGGATGGATGAAGCGTGATAATTAATATATAATTCTCTATAGCTTCAACCCATTCCCTGCTAATCAATCTTTCGATTCATCACTCAATCCTTATCAACAACAACAACAACAATGGCCCCAGAATACTGGCATGACCAATATGACATTCTCTGATCCCATCTCTGCCAACAATCAGCAGTTGGGTTTCCAAAACACTGGAATGACTAGCAACCCATACCAGCAACAACAACAAAGCAATCCTTATCAACAATTCCCTGGATTTGGACAAAATCTTCAAGCACAAATGACGGGTATGCCACAACAAATGACAGGAATGGCACCTTTCCAGACGAGCACGATGACTGGATTCCAACAACCACAAATGACTGGATTTCAACAACCACAAATGACAGGTTTTCAACAATCTCAAATGACTGGTTTCCCTCAACAACAGCAACAACCCTCCATGTCAACTGTATCAAGCAGCCCTATGGCTAGCTTCCAGCAACCACAAATCACAGCAGCCTCGAATAATCCTTTTGGCCCTCTCAACAACCAACAACAACAACCTCAATCGACTGGCATGTTTGGTCAATCACTCACCGCATCGCCTTCTCTTGCCTCCTCCTCACTTGCTCCACGTTCTCCCTCGATGTCAGTTGCTAACACCACTACTACCACCACCAATTCTTCCTCTGCTGCTGGTCAGTCTCGATCATTTACTTTCCCATCGCCATCTATGCAAGTAAGTTTGTCGGAGAAAAATCAAGCTATTGGTCCGTGCGTATCTAATTGAAAATAGCATACTGGCACACAGGGATCCTCCAGCCCCGCTGCTGACAGCCGCTATGCCAAGCTCAATTCCCTCCTTGCAAACAAAGAGTACGTATGAGGATGAAGGATGAAGGTCTTGTCATGGTATCATACTTATATATGATTATTTAGGGATGGTATGGACACATTTGGTAACACGGGCAACTTACGTGTCCCAGTGTATGTATTCTTATTATTGAAGGCTCTCTCTTTTCATTATCGGGGACGAGGTACTAAATCGAATGATGTATTATAGTGGCAGTGGATTTGCAAGTTCGCTCAATCCTCAATTGACGGGTGCACCCAACGGCAATGGCACATCAAGCGTGCCTAGTCTTGTCAATGTTGGTACCGCTGACACTGGTGCCCAATCCAATTCCTTTAGCGATGTAAGTGTTTTATCCTTTAAATAGCTTTATGTACTCATGATCATTGTTTTCTAGTCCTTTGGCCAGCCAAGCCGTAACCCTTTTGGACAAGCAACCAGCAGCCCCTGGAAGTAAAGCAGCATTACTCGAATTACAATTAAACAAGAAACTCCGCTCATCTATATTGATATCTACAAATCTAATGAAGAAATCCCACGGGTTTGCCGATGATCAGCAGTAATACACGTTTGATCTATTTGTGTGGAGGTCTTGTGATGTATGATATGGCTTTGTGTGTGGGACACCTATCAGCTCTGTTCGTCTCTTTGATATGTTGGGTCTTTGTTTTTATACTTCCCAGCTGACAGGTTATTTATTGATGGCAATTCATTCATACATCTCGCGTAAAGTCGTGAACGGGATGTTGCTATGTACACGCCTCGTTGTCTCAAAAAGGCAACATTATTATTTCCATGGCAACGAATACGACATGCGACCATTTTCATCCGCCATCGTAAAATGCAGCCTCAGCGCCAAGATCCATGAGCGATACAGGTCATTTGACAATGGGCGACTTTGATTTGAAACACTTGATCCAAACATGTCTAAATGGAATTCCCCAAAGCCATCCCAACTTAGCAAAACGACCAAAACAACAGCCCAGTGTGTTAGATATGGGTGCAGTATACCTAGACAAAGGAAACCCCAATAAAGAATCGGTATCAGTCACCAACCAGCATTGGTGTGGTGGTGGCGGTGGTTGAGAGTTGTATCGGACAAAGACACAAATAGCTTCCCGACATCGATGACTTTGTCATGGTTGCCTTTGATCTCAATAAGTTATAGCATACAAAACGCGTCGACCCACCTTGCTTTTAGTGATCGCTGAGTCTTTTAAAATACATGGATGGCAGCCTTGGGGAAAGCCGTTGCTATGCATTAATGTGTCGGGATGACGATCCATGATCCGCAAATGCTAAGATAAAGTCCTTCCAAGAACATAAAGAGGGCTGAATAGGTCGTGTCGGCAACGTTGATGCAACATGTTGTATTCAAGGTAAAATGTACTTGTGCAACACCACCAACAAGTGGATGTTTCCATGTTTCGTATTTTCCAGGTTGGATCTCTTATGACAACGTTGAACCCCTTTAAGACACCCACTCATGTAATACATTGTTGTCGAAGCTACACTGCTTGAGCAATATCAGCATCAAAGATCATCCATCTCCCACGCCTAAAACACGACCTGCTTGGTTCATCTCCAGAACATCGCATCCGGAATTCACTTCACATAGATTGAGTGCCACATGTTATCCTTGACGATGCGGTATCCCGTAATTATATGCCATTTGTGTACGTGTAACAATGGCTATTAACCTTCTTCTTTATCAAGACATTGTAATAAATGGATGCATTTGACTCAAACGACGGATCATCGAACCATGACTCATCTGTGCTCTTTGTGTGTTCTAGTTTCACCGGGTGCCATTGCAACTCAGAATAACATCACCAAACGTCAATTTGTATTGTGGGGAATGAATGAATGTATCATACAAGCTAACTTGATTTCGCCATCACGCAAAACCTTGTTGACATTAAGCTGACCTGATCTTCACATGCATACAATTATTGTGAATAAGTTATCCCCTCAGCCCCGGAAACGTGGGATGGCAAATGATGTTATTCAAGCCATTGAGCATACACGATCACAATCAATCTTGATACAAGGGCAACATCAAGCCCCATATTTAGCATCATGCTATTCGTCAACCCCTCTTTGGCTTATTCTCCACACAATGAAAATCAAGCATGTCATGTCTTCTATGTAATCTTTTTGCTTTTTTACTTTCGTTCTTTCCTGAAATGGGGCATCGGTCTCTGAAACAATGGGGATCCTTACATTTACACAATGAATCAGAGGGGGAAGGGTGATTATGCGGAGAGTTTTGGTGAGGTCAAGCGGGATGAATGCGGGTTGTGATGATGTTGTAGCTAACGTCAGTAATTAGGGGTAGCGTGATTATTGGAGTGGGAGGGGGGGAGTTGATGAACGTTATTGACATCCCATGGGAAAGATGAAAAAGAGAGAAAGCAGCATGAATCGCTTTACGGTACCCGTCGTCTTCATATAAAAAGCGATGGAACTCGTATTCTGTATGTGTTAATAAACATTACAATAAAACACGGTATCTCAATGAGGCGGGTCGGCAGTGGCCGACGATGATGATGGTTGATGTTGTTCCTCATTCTCTGGAGCAGTAGTAGTAGCTTGATGCGTTTGTGCCAGCAACATTGTTGTATCCAATTCCCGTGATGTAGTATTATTGGTCTGATTGGATGTGGATGATGATGATGATGTTGATGTCAATCCAGTGGTTGGCGGTGCAACCGAAGGACCAAAGTAAGGCTGATGTGGTGGGTATGGATAATACATGGCAACCATGGGTGCCATAGAAGGCGATGATGGCGATGATGGAGCATTATTATTTGTAGGTAGCTGTTGCTGCTGTTGCTGCTGCTGCTGTTGTAGTTGTTGTTGATGTTGTTGATGAGGTGTGGGTGGTTGCTGCTGCTGTTGCTGAGGAGGAGGGTGATAAGCATACATTGGCTGACCACCTTGGGTTGCGTTGAAATAACCAAATGCCGAAGGGTGAGGATAGGCAGCGGCAGGATACATGGCATAGCCATAAGGCGCACCTGGAATCATTCCATACACAGCATATCCTCCTGGTGCTATAAAAGATCCCTCACCATGGTAAATGATTCATGTTTTAGGTTTGTTTTTCTGTAAACTTACGGTATTGACCATCTCCCGTGATGTATTTGTTGCTGTAACCACTATTGGGAATATAAAGTTAAGCTATGGACTCTGGCGCCAAACCCCACCATCATGACATTCTCCTCTTTTTTATTCCCTTTTTTCTCCTCCGTACTTACTTTCGACGTTGTTGTTGATAAGGTCGTCGTGCATTTGGATCACCTTGTACTGGTGCTCCCCCTGGGCCTGATACATTGGCAGCTTGCATTCCTTTAGGTCCCTGGATCAAATCGTATTCGACCTATTTTTGGTTGATGTAAGCATATAAGCTCTTTATAGGGTTGTGGATTCATTGTTGTGTTCATTTACCTCCTCGCCCTGTGATGTGTATGTGCGATGGGAGAAAGAATCAGTATCCATTGTGTTCTGTGTAGATCATTTTCTGGTACTGGCTCTAAAAAAGGGAACCGTACCTCGGCAAGACTTTTGAATCCTTCACCATTGATGGCTGTGTGGTGTACAAATACTGATTGTAGAATGGACACAATGGGTGTTATATACAAAGAACCATCTTTGATGTTGGCGTTTCCTCTCTCCCTCTCTCTTTTCCTCACCTTCGACGACTGGGCTTCCTGATTCTTCCGCAGGAATGATAAATCCGTATCCCTTGGTCGAATTAAAGAACTTTACATGTCCTGATTTTCGTGGTGCTGATGATGCTGATGACGACATTGGAAGCTCTAATAGATGGATGATGTATCGATGCGTTATTATAAAAGGAAGCTGAAGGTGGATGGTGTTGGTGTGTGGTTGTGGTGAGTGACTCACAAAAGAACAAGTGTGGCGTTGAAAAAGACGTGTTGGTGTATGTGGGGCAAAAGAAGAAAAAGGAGAAAGGAAGGGAGAGAATTAAAAAAATTCAGTGGAAAGAGAGAAAGGGTGAAAAAAAAGTGCCGTGAGAGTGGGCATAAGCTTTTTAAATGGCTTGTCCTTCTTGCACCATGCGTGTGTATATGTGAATGTGCGGTTTGTGTATGTGTATGGATGCTCCCCAAAGCGGGTGTTGTCAAACCTGTCCATGCTATTCTCACGATCATCCGCCATGATAATCCAGTTTTGATTTGCTTTTTGGAATAAGCAAGAGATTGAATGATGTGTACAAGGTGTAAAAATGGGTGCCATATCCTTACATACTACACGAGCGGACTAGACAAGTTTTCACACAAGAGATGAATCTGCGTGCTTGCTGTGATAGGCCTAGTTGATGTCTAAATTTGAACATTGACAGTGTACCTTTTTTCTCATCAAATAACGTGATAAGTATGTGGGGGTTGATATGATAATGGGGATGCATGCGATGATTAATATTTGTTAGTGTATGGGTTGTGAGATGCAACAAGACCCTTGACAAGAGAAAAAAGAAAAGCATTCCTGCATGTGAAATTCTAATGCGGGAAACAAAGCCAAACAGCACAAAGAGTATTGGTGGACGGGGCTATTATACCTTCTGGTCCGTGTGTGCGTGTGTGATTTTCCACCCAATACAGCCGATCAGCCCCGCGACTACCACACATCCCCGGCAGCAGGCAGTTACACATTTTCAATCATAGATGAGATCTATTCTTTAATGTCAAAACTGCTTTTTGAGATTACTTCACCCAGTCACTTGCTACATACAATTACCACCACTATTACAATTACTATTGGATCGGTGGTGGTGGTGGTGGTCATGGTACAACAACCCATGGAATCATCACACAAACTATATGATACAAGCCATTGGGGATCTACAGCTGATCTGGTTTCATGCCTTTTTTATTGTACCTGGATCATGTCGCATCATTGATCCATTTGCATAGCTTCCTTTCTACCACCACTTGGGAAGCATTCGTTTGCTTGCACTCGTTCCCCCCGATACGAATTTTGGAGGCTCCAATTTTCTCGCAGGAGGACTTGACGTCGCTACCCTACTACTCTCTCTCAGCAACCCATCACTTTCTAATCTTGACCAAACATGCCAAAAGGTACGTAAACAAACGCGACTCTCTCTTTACTTCAATCGGTCATGTGTTACGTGTCATCTGAGATTGGAGAAGACTTTATTAATGACTTGGATTGTACTTTCTATTGTAGCATCGAGACAATCGCCATCGTTGAAGAAGCGTGGAAGAACTGGCAAGCGTAAAACCAAAGAGCCAGGAGTGAAAACAGAGGAAGGAGACGACTACGATTATACTGGTGAAGAGAGCGATCAGTCTTTTGGTGAAGAGGGTGACAACTTGAGCGATACCGACGTGTCCCATCGTGGCAGGAAGAGAGCACGATCCAAGACAGCCAATAGCAAAGATGATCGACAACGACGAGCTACACCTGTGATAGCAGCATCATTGAATAGTTCATCACCATCATTGGATGCCGATAGCGATTATGATGAAATTGGAGAAACAAAGGTGGATAGAGGAGGCAACTTGTTGGGAGGTAATTATCAACACCACATCCATTGTCATCTTTGGACGAAGTATTCATCTTGGAAGTCAATGGGCTATAGGGCGTCAATATAAGGTGCCAACGTTTTCATTACCCAATCGAGGCAACATGTTATTTATGTTCTCCAAAGATCCAGCAGCATTACTTGGTTTCCGTGACAGCTTCGTCTTTTTGAAAAAGAATCCAAAGTTGATCAAGGTTCATATTACGGATGCCGAGAAGGGATATCTTGTTCAGCACAACATGTTACGATCGACTTTCAGAACGAGAGAGGTGTCTGTGGTCACTGCACGATCCGTATACAAGCAATTTGGACATCGAGTACTCAAAAAGGGACGACGTGGTCGTGATGATTACTTTTATACTGGTGAAGTGGATGAAGGAGATGAAGGCGACTATCACAGCGAAGATGAAGGGAAGCATGCAGCTGATAAGCAATGGTCCCCTGTCGTTGTCAGTGGACGTAACAACTTGACGAGTCGAACCAACAAAGTACTAGCACCAGCCATCAATGACACCAATTGGATGCACCATGTCGCTCTTTCTATACGCAACTTCAACACGCAAATTTGCGAGTACCGTAACGAGAATCCATCTTATTACGACGTGTTGACCAATGTCCATCAGATTCCATCAGCAAAACAACCTCTTCGATTATTGTATGATATCTCAGATAAACCAGTGAAAAAGGAAAAGCCTACTTCTACCCAACAACCGATTGAAGTGCCTCAAGCACCTGCATCAGCAATAAGTCAACCACCGTTACCAGCATCAGCACAAGCTGCAGTACCACAGCAACCATCATCACAACAACAACCAACATTGGTACAGCAACCATCAGGAACAATGCCTATGACTTCTACTACATCTGCTGCTGCTGCCGCCGCTGCTGCTGCTGCCGTTCCTACACCACCAGCCGTTTCCATGCCACCACAAGTACAACAGCCCCAAGCACCACAACCACCTTTCACACAACCACAAATGCCTCAAAACCAGTTTGCAGCACAACAAGCCGCCATGTATGTATTGTAAAAGATATTAGCATTGGGATTGGGATGATCATTAACATTTCTATAGGCGACAAATGCAAATGCAAAATCCTGCAATGGCAGCCATGTACTACCAACAAATGCAACAACAAGCAGCAGCAGCTAGTCGAGCAGGGCAACCTGGACCCAACAACCCAATGGCACAATTCCATCCACAACAACAACGACAAATGATGATGCAAGGCAACAATGTCTTCCCACCCAATGCAAGTATGGCACCCATGACTAGCAACCCATATCAGTTTATGCCTCCAGGTGGTGGTACCATGTAGTAGTAATAGTAGTAGAGTAAATACTTTTGTTCTTTTTTGTATCCCTCTTTTTGGGGGGCGTGATTAAAGGATGATGAAAAACAAAAAGACGAATACCACCATACATGATGCGGCAATAGATAAATAGGTTTCTCTTTGCCCTGTTTGACTAATACACTATACTACAACTCGACATGATTCAATAATGAAACAACAAAATGATGCTTTGAGAAAATGGAGGGGTTACTATTTCAAAGGAATGTAAATAAAAGGGGGAATGCTACAAAAGTTTTAAACAAATTATCTAGTGTTGCGACCACTGAATGGACTTGAGATCGATGCCTTCCTGGACCTAATTGTATTCAACAAAGTCAGTAAAAGTAAGGGTATTTTTCCTTCAAAGCTACTTGCCATTTCCCACAAAGGTGACATATCTCTCAACTTTTGTACATGCTGGGACACCTTGTTGATCACGAAATCGATTTCCTCTTCAGTTGTGAACCGGCCAATACCAAAGCGGATGGAGCTGTGTGCCATTTCATCATCAGCGCCCAAAGCACGAAGCACATAGGATGGCTCAAGAGATGCTGAAGTACATGCCGAGCCTGATGACAATGCGATATCCTTCAATGCCATAAGCAAAGATTCACCTTCAACGTAAGCAAACGACAAGTTCACACAGCCTATATCATGATTCGTCAACCTATCAAGTGACACGGGACCAATTGGAAAACAAGATCTAGTTACCTGGATAGCTCTTTTCGGAATCACCATTGCGAGTAACTTGTTCAATGTTGGCTTGGATGTTGGTGATCAATCGGTCTGCAAGATAAGAGATACGTTTGTGATCATACTAGTAGATAGGATTTTAGAATGATGATTGATCATAAAAGCATAAAATGGGATGCTTTCATATTACTCTCCTCAGAACCCCTGCACAGCCAGTCATAGCAAAGACAAACCTACTATGCCCGACGATGTCCGGAATCCCGCGCAACGTCAAAGGCACTTGCCACAAAGTGACAAACGTAGTTCTTTGCTCTGGGTAGCGTAGATTAACGTGCACGCAATAACAAGCACGATTCGTCACCGGAGAAATGAGAGCACCCTCCTATCCCCAATCCTTACCTCCATTTCTTCCATGGAAATACGGCAAGCTTCACCAAGACCCACTGCCAAAGGAGCAGGCACAGTACCACTTCGAATACCACGCTCTTGACCACCACCGCTGAAGATGGGTTCGAGACGAACACGAGGACGACGACGCACATAGATGGCACCCACGCCCTTTGGACCATACAACTTGTGACCCGAAATACTCATCAAATCCACATTCATGGCATTAACATCGAGAGGGATCTTGCCAGCAGCTTGGGCAGCATCGGTATGGAAAAACACCTTTTTGGAACGGCAAATCTTGCCAATCTCAGCAATAGGTTGAATAACACCAATTTCATTGTTGACGGTCATCACTGAGACAATGGCGGTATCGGGGCGGATTGATTCTTCAAGCAACTTGAGATCCACAACACCATTGCTTTGCACAGGGAGATAGGTGACTTCGAATCCTTCATCTTGCAACATACGGCACGAATCAAGAACGCACTTGTGTTCCTATATATCAATGCATGAGTGACATGTTGCTGCGGGAATCCATGATCTGATAAGGGATCTCCATACCGTTTGTGTAGTAATGATATGTTTCTTTTTGTTCTTGTAGAAACGAGCCACACCCTTCAAACTGATATTGTTGGATTCAGTAGCACCCGAGGTGAAGATGACTTCCTTGGGATCCGCACCGATCAATTTGGCCACTTGCTGCATGATGTGATTATTAATCACCCATTGCCATTCCCATCCCAAATATATCCAATACTTACAGCACGAGCATTTTCCACAGCGGTCTCAGTCTCCCAACCATACTGATGCGTTCTCGAATGGGGATTGCCATAAATCTCTGTCATGTAAGGCAACATGGCATCAAGGACTCTTGGATCGGTAGGGCTTGTGGCCTGCATGTCAAGGTAGATAGGTCTTCCAGTGGGAGTTGCAGCACTTGTTTCAAAGCCGAGAGAATCTTTACAATAAAGAGGTGTTATTGTCATATTCGAATGGGTGTGTGTGTTATGGGGTGGGGGAGGTGGGAATAGTTACCGTTGGAAGGGGTAGTGACAGCCGTAGCTTGCTTGACAACGGGATGGGTGGAGAATGTACGAGTTGCTGATACCACAGCGGCACGTCTTGCAAGAGCAGGTAGACGTCTTGATAAGTTTTGTTGAAATGCTTTTGCCAACATGGGAGGGTGTGTAACCAAAGGATAGCAAAGAAATGAAAAAGTGGAGATGAAAGATGGACAAGGCCGAAAATGCGCGATATCTCGGCTTAAAGAGTTCCACACCTGGGTGGGGAGCAAGTCATCATCCACCGTCACAAAATGTTTGGAACCAAGCTTATACCCTATTATTACTTTTTCCCTTTTCATTCTCATATACACATAACAACAAGGTCACCATGGGAATCTTTGGGTTCGGATCCAGCAGCAAGCCAGAGGAAACTGCCACCAGCACATCCACAGACTTTGTTTCCAATGAGAGCACAGACGACATTTATTCTCCCACAGGTGGCCAATCCTCCTCATACGATGACCTTGGCAGCAGCAGCATGAGCGATAATAGTTACGACAAGATGCCTGATTTCATGTCGCAGCTCTCGTTTGACGCAGCCAAACTTCAACCCATGTCTGTTCAAGGTGGTATCGACTTTTTGCAAGTGGAGGATCAATATGGTGGTGGTGGCAGTGGTGCTGGTGCTGGTGTCGTGGGTGGTGGTGCATCTTTGGCACCTTCACGCGGCTGGACGGATGATTTGTGCTATGGCACTGGTACTACCTATCTCGCTGGTTTGACACTTGGTGGTGCATATGGCATGGCTGAAGGTTTGAAAAAGAGCGCACAACAAGGTCCTCAGAATATGAAGGTCCGTCTCAACACCACCCTCAACACCATCACTCGACGAGGTCCAGGTCTTGGTAATGCCGTTGGTGTTATCGCCATGATGTATAATGGTACTACTGCTTTGATCGATTACTCTCGCGGCAAGCATGATATCTTTAGCAGCATTGGTGGTGGTGCTATTGCAGGTGCCATCTTCAAGAGCACAGCAGGTAATTACATAGGGAGCATGTGTATGTGTGTGTGTGTGTGTGGGATCATTACTCTAACATGGTATGTAATTATAGGTCCTCGGGTGATGGCCATGTCATCTGGTATCTGTGCAGCCGTTGCTGGTGTTTGGTCGCTTGGTGTATCCGCCTTTGCTGAAAACTAGATATAAAAAAGTATCCCTTTACTTAGATTCGTGTAAAAATGTGTATAAATCGCAACCCCTTCTCTTCATCTTCGTCCATTAAAGCAACCAAATTACGATAGATATAAAAATGTCATATCTTTATGGTCTCTCAAGATAAAATGGCAATCCTATACATGTCTTTTCTATGATCTACCAAGTACGGGAGCGGCTAATGCCGAGTTCGGTCGTTATCTTGTTTTCTGGCTCAGCCTTGAATTTGATCATCGCCTTCCTTGCTCCTTCTCCTTCACCTTTGTCTCATCCTCATCGATAAACGGTCCTCCATGTCCGAGCACAAGAGCAAAAAGCCAGCAAGTACGAAAGGCACAATGAACAGCATGGCAATGGACACGTCCCCCATTGACACCACCATTTGTATACGATAGATACGGCATTCAAGCAGCAGCGGCTGAAAGCTTGGCAACCTCTCTTGACACCAAAGACGGTTCTTCCAACGCTGTTTGCAGTGGGCATTGTGTTTGCTCCTCTTGGCGGCTTATTCTTATACGAGAGCGAAACGGTAAATGATGCAGCATCGGCTGTTTTTCCTTTCGAGTGGACTTGAATACCAATGCCAGCATACTACTTAGGTCAATGAGATCGTGATCGACTATACCGACTGCATCACCTTGAACGAGACTGCTGTGCCGCTTGCTGATAATCTTTACGACTACAAGTTCACTTCAGAGAATACAACGGGTAAGATTGGATGATGCCAAGTGACAAGCAAAAGGGATTCTTATTAAATGGAGGATGTGATATGACTACCTAGTGATTCGAGCACCCAGTTACTGGTTGACACAAGAATCAAGTTACATGTCAGGCCAAGCAGCACCTGCAGGAGAGACGATACCTCGATGCAATATCCAGTTTTCGATTCCTTTTGAGCTACGATCGCCCGTGTATCTTTACTATCGCCTCACCAACTTTTATCAAAATCACCGTAAATACGTCAAGAGTTTGAGCTACAATCAGCTAAATGGCGAGAACGTTTCACCGGGTGATGCCGAAGCTTCATGTGCACCTGTTGGTACGGCTGCTGATGGAAAAATCTATTATCCATGTGGATTGATTGCCAATTCAATGTTTAATGGTAAGGGAGACTTATAAACGCAGGGGAAACGAATAGGGATATTGATAATGCATATCAACTGGATTGTTTCCATAGATACGTTTTCCAATATGACGCTTTTGAATCCTCAAGGCAGTAGCGACAACATCACATACACAATGAATGAAAAGGGAATTGCATGGAGTTCGGATGTATCACGCTACAAAAAGTCGTCTACGCCTGTCGAACAGCTGACACCACCACCCAACTGGCAAAAGCGATATCCATCCGGTTATACAGCAGAAAACCTGTTTGATCCCTCACAAGATGAACACTTTTTGGTTTGGATGCGGACGAGTTGGTACCCCACCTTCCGAAAACTCTACTCCAAATATGAGAGTGACCCACTACAACCAGGCACCTACCAGATCCAAGTTGATATGAGTAAGCTACAATGGGGGAAAAGGAAAACAATGGTCGTGTTAATGAAAGCTATTCTTGTAGATTATGACATTAGAACTTATGGAGGCACCAAATCCATTGTTTTATCGGGTACATCATTCTTGGGCGCTCGTAATCCTTTTATGGGCTTGGCTTATATCATTATGGGTTGCGCATGTGCGTTCTTGGGTGTGGTGTTTCTTGGCTGGCACTTTTTCAGACCCAGGTAGGTTGATAAACGAATGCATGATCAAGTTGATTTGATTGCTCATCCCATATGATATATACAGGAAACTTGGCGATCACGACCGCCTTTCATGGAATCAATCCGGTGGTTTGGGACACTAAGTCAACGGCTATGCATTGGAAAGAAAAGTTACCGACTCGATCTATTATTCTGTACTTTATTCGCAATACCAATAACAACAACATCAACATATCAATCTTCTTTCACGTGTGACATGATGAATTGGGCGGATGTTATGATGGCGGTGGTGGTGGTTGATGTCCTGTGTACAGCTTGCTGGTCATAAATGACGTGAGACTAGAATGCCGGGATGTACCCCAACTAAATCTTCACGTCGATTTTGCTTTCTACTTTACCTCTTATATCAATTGTTCTTAAGCGATTGATGTTTTAATGATGCAAAAATGTGATCCGTGCACGATTTTCCTTGTGAATGGCAAGTTTTATCATTGTCATATGAAAGACATAACAGGAAAACGACTTGATTTCCTACAACCTTGAAAGGCTGGGATTGGGAACGGATGCTTCCAAACGCCATATTGTCACGGAGGCACACAAAGCTAGCCACTTGTTGGACATGTGCGACGACACTGCGCTAGTACATAAAATAAAAGGGGTTGAGTCCTATTGCAACCACTTTGTTCTCTCTCTCTTTTTTTTCCTTTTTTCTCTTTTACCAACAAGACAGCCCAATGCCGGATGCTCGTCATGTCACAACTACCAAACAGAACAAAAAGGGATCCAATTCAAAGCGTGCTTGGTACCCACGTAAGCTTATAAAAAGCCTATTTCCCTTGTCAGGTCGATCATCATCATCGTCATCATCATCGTCATCACACCAGCGTCAAATTCAACCGCCACAATGGTCATCCACTAGACGATCCTTTCTCATATCCCTTATACCCAGCATCCGAAAACGTGATAGAGGATATGATCATTCTCCACATTATCAACGCAAAAAGATAAGCCAACGATCCAACTCAGTGATGGTGTCAAACACCATTGCATATCAACAACGCACCAAGCCATGCGACGAGAAAGAGTTGTTACAAATGGATGCAACAAAAAGGTATGTGTGAACAGATCGTGTTGCATTCAAGTGCACGGTATTACCAAAATATGGGGGAATTGACTTTACCACACATGGATTGGCAGGTCGCATGCAGATCTTGCTTTTCAGCAACCATTGGATAACTTGGCACAAATTTCATCATCATCACCAAGACGATGCCATCGTCCTCCTTTTCGAAGACCCATGAGCGAAGATCTTTCAACGTATATGGTTTCAAGTCATGTTCCAACAACATCAGTAGACGATTACGATAACAAATCACCATTCTTTGTTTGGGTGCAAAGAAAAAGCGATGTTTTGCCGCTAAGCAGCATTGGGAATGATAGCATGACAACCACCATGCCGACGGTATCCGAAACCGGGATTTCTTCATGCTCTAGTATCACAGCAACAGCAAGTGATCCATCCAGCTATGATCTGATAATTCACAACACCGTGGCACCGGATGATATTGACAAGAGTAAACATCACCATCAACAACACATTGACGCTACCACCATAAACAACAACAACAATGATAATAATATGAACACCACCCTCTCCACCAGCGCAACATCTCCAAGCTTGCTTCGTAGGCTCTCTTCATCACTTGGAAGAGGAAGCGTACCACGCCCACCTCGACGCACAACCTCTCTTGCAATACCTTCCTCAACAATGCAGCATCGTGAATCGAACGATTACAGCGCCCAAACACCAACATCTTCTGCACCATCATTGTTGATCTCAAGATCATTTTCTCTTTCATCCTATTATAAACGTCGATTCTCAGCGCTTGTTTCTGGTAGCCATGGCGACTATGGATTAACCAATTCCAAGCAAGATGAAGCTGTCGCTTTTTGGAGAAGCACTGTTGCACAAATCGAAGCACCTTATTCATCAACGGCGGTGCTGAATACCGAACAAAAGGTACACATACAATCAATGTTACTTTTTTTCATCTGTGCTCCGGGATTTTTTATTCACCGAGCCCTTCTTTGCAACAGGATTTACCACCACAACAACCACCAAACCCGCCTATTACGCCATATCAGCAACTTTGTTCGGTGACCCCTATAGGCAAGAATAGTAACAGGGCTGTGTGCAAATTTATCCTGCGAGAGCTGTATGCGACTGAGACATCTTACCACCACCTCCTAAAGTTTATTTACTGTGTAAGTCTATTTTCTTTCTCTCTCTTTCTCAATGTTGGATGCGTGTATGTAGGAGGATGGCATGCATCGAGGATGACAAAAAAAGATCGGCTAATAATGAGTTGTAGAAATACATGCAACCCATGAATATTGCATTGCAGGAACAAAACAACCCGTTGTTTACACGTCAATCATCAGCCGATGTGGTCACTCTTTTTGCACACCTACCACAATTATTGCAACTCTCTGAACACCTCATTCCATCCCTGGAACATGCAATGGCCGTCCAAGATAGCAAAGGCGCGGCCCGTGCCTTTATCAGTCTCCGTGAACGGCTCGTGATCTTTTTACGCTATACGATCCATTACCAATCCAATTTCCGGTTCATTCGCAAAATGTGCCAAACCAATCCAATGCTGCTTCACATTGAACGAGTAAGACACAAAAAGGAAATCCTTTGTTACTACCATCACACCACTGACGACAGCTTTTGCAGGAATGCCAATCCCACCATGACACTCGAAGAATGGGCATTGCTGATTATTTGATTGCTCCGATTCAAAGAGTTCCTCGATATTGTCTTTTACTGCAAGGTAAGGATACAAGCATACGCTTTGTTTTTTTTTTTGTGTGTATGTTTACATGTGCGATGTTTTAGGCATGTGTAACCATATACACTCACCAATCGAGACGTGCCACTGACACCCTTTCTTCATAGATCTCTTAAAGCACACGTCGCCTTATGATCAATCCCATCATGTTATTAAGAAATCGGTAGCCTTGGTCACATCATTAGCCGATACCATGAACCTATACAGCATATGACACAACCCACCATGGCCACTTTTATTACCCTTCTTTCTTTCTTTCGTCGATCTTTCTCCTTATCGCTTGTTGTTTGACAGCTACCACCGTTCTCGATGCATATGAACGCCCACCTACATACCCTGCTTTCTTTTTCTTACTCATACACACGTTTGCGCAATAATTAGTTACCCCATTCCATTCCTTGTTGTATATAGCACAAGAAGCTCACCTACTACGCTACACGTAGTACGTAACACGCTATCCTTTGACAAGATAGTAAACGAGAATTTTGATTGTTGTACATAACAAAGAAGCCTACCTGCTTCCCGTTTCGGTGAGCGCACCCTTTATTTTCGTACATCCCTTTGAGCATTACATATAAATAGCATGCTCCATTTTTATGCAATTGAAGCTTCAACGCTCAACATCATGTTGTGTACCCCATTACAGCATCATGTTTACAATACATTAACATTGCATAGGGTGGTTTCATAACCCAGAAAATAGGATATCCGAACCGCAAGCATTCTTTAGTTTTCTTTGTGAGAGATTCAGATGGCTGAAATGATGTCTGAATCAACCCATCGGGATCCGCACATGATGGCTGTTACTAGAATAACTGGATTTGTCGCATGATAGGTCCCACAAAGTGGCTGCGTATCTTTGTGAAGCCTGGGTTTCTCGAAAGCAATGTTATCATCAACATCATTAAACCAACACAATGTAAAATCAGGCCGCAACGTTGGCATCAGCAGCAGCAGCAGCAGCAGGAGCAGCAGAAAATGGATCTCAGGCTGAATGATGCCCCTTGCTTTTTCCCTTGTTGATGCTAACGCATGATGCAAAAGCTGCAGATCAAGTTGCATATATAGATAAAGGGTTGATTCAATAATACACAGAGTGTAAAACACCTATACTATTGCCTGCCTTGATTAAAATACGGCAAACGGGCGATGATAACATCATCCTGTACTAGGGGTTTAATGGTGGGAGCGTAAAGGTGGCTCATTTTAGCCTGCGTATAGCAATATCCATTATCCTCTTTATCCCTTTTTGCTCTTTTTATGTATAGCGATATGCGTTTCAGAATATACAATAGCACCAAGGAGGGGAATTTCAAGGAATACATTGATTCTCCTTTCTCGTTCTTCATGGAGCTTACCGCTTCTTGTACACAACCTCAATTTGCGTGATTGCCATAACATTTGATTCGGGAACTACAAATGCAACCCTGTGTTTGTTTGGAGCAGCAAACAGAGCGGGGGATAACTTTATGCGGATCACGTATCAAAAGTAAATGGTCGTTGTAATGTCGTGTCTGTGTCTAATTCAATCCATTACTGGCGATTCATACGCTGATTGGCTCCTCGCCCATATCACGCTATGCAACATGTAAGCGTATGATTCTACTAGCAGTATATGACTATGTTCGTGGTTTGACAAGTTATGATTAGTATCATGCTGACGCTGTGAGATGTTGGCAAACCACAAATCAAAACGCTGAGCAGGATGGCATACAGCTATTTGAATGCTTGTGCGACGATGACACGTGTCTGGATGGGTAAAGACATCAAGCGAATGGCCACAATCGATATTGAAAGCAAATTACTGATGCGGCAAAATTCGGGGGAGAAGGTGAGAAAAGGGAAGGGGCTGTGTGGGGGGTGAGAAGGGAAAGATGGAAAAGGAACGATGGTACAGTGTTTGTTACGCGGTGGGGGGAATGCATGACGAGCACATATAACGACTATCCCCTTCTCCTTGTGCATGCAGATACAAACCCACACACACACACACACACACACACACAGCATACATATTATTGATATCTCATGTGCCATGATCGACACTCTAGTGTATATTCTTGGACCTTCACGATGGCCCTCACATACAACCCCATCTCACTCGCCATTCAATCATTGGATGCTACCACCACACGCAATGGCGTATCAATGAAGGAATCCACCATTAGGACATCTTGAGTCCTGATGAGGATGGCATGGTTTAAATGATATTGGCGTAAAGATGTCGTATACGTGGTTGATTGTAAGCTCATGCATTTTTATTTTTAAGCCATTCAGCAGCGAGCTACTGATCGCGTGGTTTGCCTTTTTCTTTTGATCCGTCGCTTTTAACCATCCTTGGCATTGTTTACCCGCCACGCATAGCTTCAGCATCCATATGCTTCATTGCCATCATTTATGGGTGAATGGATGTGTGGCAAAACTTGATATAATAATAACACACAAGGTTCTACTTTTGATGTGTGTAAGCGATGCATCTCTGTGTATCTTGGTTTGGCTACAGCAGAGCCTGTGTGGGTTGTATATGTGTACGTCAATTGATCGAAACGCCCACATCCCGATCGACTCCTTAAATCTGTTTTCCACCTTGTTGCCATGGTGTTGATCCGCTTGTTTCTCTTTTATTCATTTGCCTCCAAAAAGTACTTTTAACCTCTTTCCCTCCCTTTTAAAAATAGTTGGTTCTTCTTTTCTCTCTTTTTTTCCCTTTCTATTGTTCTTTACGCGACTACGCTCCCTCTTTTTCTCCATTAGTACGACTACTATTAACCTCATATACCCTCCCCTGTTTTCTACCATCACACCATCTGTGTCATGGATTCATCATCACCACCACCACGACCACAATCCTATCAACCCACGTTGAGTCTACCACAACACCCAACTGAAAACGACGATGATCAACCATCAACGGTAGTAGGGGTCCATGGGGATGGAGGAGTAGGAGATGATGCTCCTGCAGCAGCAGCATCATCATCTAGTCGACCCAAGCGCCAAAAATCACTTGTGCGTCCTGAAAGAGAACGCATTGATGAACACCACCGCCAATATCATTATCGACACCTTGCTAGTGCCACCAGTACCCGTGATAGAATTGAACCCAGCACCACAGGAAGTCGTCCTTCACGTTCAACGCCTAAACGCTATACATCTAGTAGAGGCATTGATCCCAATGCACCTGTACGACGTGGCCAAAGTATCCTAGGTCGGAATGAAAAACGTGCCGAACAGGATGATGTAGTGGCTAGTGCTATTGATCTCTCCATGTCAAAGTCTAAACGAAAGCGTTGTGGATGCTCCAATCTTTGGATGACGTATTGCCGCATCATCACTTGCTGCATCCCTGGTCCTTTGCTACAACTTGCTGGTAATGTAAAGAAGAAAAAAGCCATATTAGATCTTATCCGGTTAACGTTATTGCTTTTTTAGGTATACCCAAAGGCCAAGCACAAATGGCATGGCGTGAAAAGATTGGGTTGTTGTCATTCATCGCTTGTGTCATGGGCTTTGTTGGGTTCCTGACATTTGGATTTACGCAAACGGTGTGCCCAACACCGCCAATGACTGTTCAAGGAGGAGCTGTGAGCCCTGGCTACCTGATTATTCGTGGATGGGCCTACATGCTTGCTAATTGGAACGCTCATCCACCCATCCCAGGACAAACAAGTGATCCAACCAACATCTTGTATGCGCCTATTGATGCTGGTGGTATGGATGCCTCATTCTTATTTCAAGAACGTCGACCAGCAGTGTGTGAAAATGTGTTCCCCCCTAAGCAACCAGCTTCATCAAGTTGGGCATCTCTTGGAGTAACCCAACAGACACCTACTACACCAGAGGTTTATTTTCCATGCCAAATGTTCAATCCAAATGATACATCCACCAAGTCACTTGCCACCAGTACATCAGCCTCACCATGCCATTTATCCAACACAGCTCGTACAGCGCTTCAACAATTCCAAACACAAGGTATCCCAAAAGCTGATGGCTCGGGATTCGACAAGATTGCACGCGTTTATTACACTTGGGAAAGCATCAACAGCACCGATTTCTTAATGGTGTATAATGGGTGAGTATTGCGAAAGATAAACAAACACACACCAACTTGCATGCAGGCACCATGTTTGGCTCAACTTTGTCTTTTTTTATAGCGATGTCCTCAACTTGAAATTGCTTGAGCTTTTATCATCCACTCAATACGATATCAAACCTGATAGCCTTATCTCACAAATCCTTAACAATCGCGCTGCTTTTGGTGGTCGTGACATGACACGATACATTTCCACTAGCCGTCGTCAAGGGATGAATTGGGAACAGGAAGCCAAATGCTTGGCAACGCTCATCAAAGTTGGCTCCATCGATACACTTAGCATTGGATGTATGGCTTCTGAGATTGTATTGTATCTTTCTTTGGTTGTCATTCTTGGTGTTATCCTTGCACGCTTTTCGTTGGCTGTCATTTTTGGCTGGTGTCTAAGCTGGCGTCTTGGCAACTTTAAGGAAGAGCGTTCTTATACCGCACGTATGCAACGTGAAGCCGAACTTGAAAGATGGACACAAGATATTCATACAGCTGCACCTCTCGGCAATCGGCCTTCGGCTCCCGTACCCCCACAAATGCGTAAACGAAGTTTGTTGCCTCAAACATCACGTTTCACACAGCCACTTCCCAATTCGACTCGCTTTGACGCCGAACGACCACCAACCCCTATTTGGAAGACGCCATCAAGGTAAAAAAAAACTTTATCCCTTACTTTTGTGTGTGTGAATATATAACCGACCTATCCCATTAGCACCCTTGAGGATTATACTGTGCGCCGTTTTTCACAATATCAGCTATCACCATCGCCATCACCATCATCACGCCATCTTCCTGCATTAAACGGCAACAACATCACATTGCCTGGTAGCACATTTCGACGATCATCCATTTCGTCATCAGAGGCACATAGCAACAGTGGAGGAGCCACCTTGATACCTACACCAACATGTCCATATCCATTGTCACCACACGCATTACCACAACCACCACAAGATTACATGCCATTCAATTATCCACTTGCACATACCATTTGCCTTGTCACTTGCTATTCAGAAGGCATGGATGGTGTACGTACTACATTAGATTCCATTGCCACGAGCGATTACCCCAACTCGCACAAGTTGATTCTTGTCGTATGCGATGGCCTTATTACAGGTCATGGTGAATCCATGTCAACACCCGATGTGTGCGTTGCCATGATGCGGGATTTCCTTGTACCACCTGATCAAGTAGAAGCTGGTGATTACATCGCTATTGCTGATGGTTCCAAACGCAACAACATGGCCAAGGTGTACGCAGGCTTTTATAAATACGATGATGAAACGGTGGATCCTGCACATCAACAACGCGTCCCCATGATCACCGTTGTCAAGTGTGGTACACCAGCAGAAGCAGACGAAAAGAAACCTGGCAACCGTGGCAAACGAGACTCTCAAATCATCCTCATGCAATTCATGCAAAAGGTGCTTTTTGATGAGCGTATGACAACGATGGAATATACCTTTTTCAACAGCATATGGCAAATCACAGGCATTCCCCCTGATCGATACGAGATTGTCCTCATGGTTGACGCTGATACAAAACTCTTCCCTGATGCTCTCAGCCGATTGGTCTCTTGCGCTGTCAAAGATCCTGAAATCACTGGTCTTTGTGGTGAGACGCGTATTGCCAACAAGACACAAAGTTGGGTATCGGCTATTCAAGGTAATTTATTCATTTCCATCATAGCGATTAGAAACAACGTACTCACCCCTTTTCCAGTGTTTGAATATTACATCTCTCACCACCAGAGCAAGGCCTTTGAATCGATCTTTGGTGGTGTCACGTGTTTACCAGGTTGCTTTTGCATGTATCGAATCAAGGCACCCAAGGGACCTAATGGCTATTGGGTACCTATTCTTGCAAATCCTGATATTGTGGAACATTATTCGGAGAATGTCGTGGATACCCTGCATAAAAAGAACTTGCTGTTGCTTGGTGAAGATCGTTATCTTTCTACCTTGATGCTCAAGACATTCCCCAATCGCAAGATGATGTTTGTTCCTCAAGCAGTGTAAGGATTATTATTCTGTGACAGCCAAAAAGCCTCAATCTCACCGTTTCCTATGATAGATGCAAGACCATTGTGCCTGACACATTCCGCGTATTGCTATCTCAACGTCGTAGATGGATCAATTCCACCATCCACAACTTGATGGAGCTCGTATTGGTGCATGATTTGTGTGGTACATTTTGCTTCTCGATGCAATTTGTCGTGTTCATGGAGTTGGTTGGTACACTTGCATTACCTGCTGCCATCTCTTTCACGCTGTACTTGATCATTCTTGCCATCTTGGGACGCCCCGCTATCATTCCATTGCTCTTACTTGCGTTGATTCTTGGTTTACCTGCCGTCTTAATTGTCATGACAAGTCGCAAGATCTTGTATGTGGGATGGATGATTGTATACTTGTTTTCATTACCCATCTGGAACTTTGTGTTGCCAACATACGCCTATTGGCATTTTGATGACTTTTCTTGGGGCGATACTCGCAAGGTCGAAGGCGGTGGCAAGGATAAAGGTGGTCATGGAGACAAGGAAGGCGAATTTGATGCAAGTCGTGCTACCATGAAAAAGTGGAGTGAATATGAAAAGGAACGTCGAATACGTCAAGCTGTCGAAATGCAAATGCCCATTCCACGTTTCAAGTCGGATAGCATGTATCTACCTTCGGATGATAGCCTCTTGCTCAAACCACCCTCACCCTATTATGCATCCAGTGAGCCACGCTATTCACCTCTTTCGGAAGATCTCCATGGTGATTATTTCCCTCCTCAACAGCAGCAATCACTTACACCACCTACACCACAGCCACGCGCCTCTTTTCATAATAACATGACTGCTGCTGCTGTTGCTGCTCATCACCATCCATCATCATCTCCCCCTTCTTCATCACCCTTACAACATTCACCGTCTCCACCATCTGCACCTCGTCGTGTCTATGCTGCACAACGTAGATCGACAAATCGTGTGGATGGCCCATAATAACACATTTGGCGGTTGATTCGATGATGATTCTATTAGTACGCCACCTAGTTTACACGTACAACCTCATGCACAAACATTCACTCATACATTTCCCCCCTGTTGTAATTCTTGCCTGTTGTTCACAGTATAAACTCGCATAAAAAGTGTCTTTCTATTATCCTATAGGCTCTTGTAGAAAACGCTGTGCCTGAATTTTAGGTGTGGCTGGTGATCCACAAGCCAAAGTGATGCTTTTCGTCATACTTTTAGTAGTTGGGCGTTATTAACGTTCGTTCTTAGAATGAGCTTAGGCTCATGTTCAAAGACACAGCTTCTGAGTTGAGCCCCCTCGTTTTAGACTTTGCTACACAATCTGTGCACAGCATGGTTCGTGTACAACCACGATGCATCCCCGTTGTAGTATTTTATGCAATGATCAAGGCATTTAGGAAATGACCTGGTTAGTCTTTATTACCCATGGGTTGTTAGCACTAGTTTACATAAATGGTGTTTGAGGCCCATTCATGGAGTCATCCCCTCATCCATTTCAAGCCATAGGACTTTCACAAGCGTTGCACAGATCGTCATCGTTCATTAAATCCCGCCTCCATAAGTATTTCCAAGATTGAAAGGAAAATGAAGAAGGATCGTTATGAATGACATGAGGATGATGGTGCCATATATCAAAAACGGGGTGACTTTTATGCAAGTTTCCGTATCACGATGCACCATGACCGGAAACTGGTAAACCATGTTTAAAGGAGAGAGAGAGAAAAAGCCATGCAGCAGCAGTAGGATGATAAAGGAGGAGAAGAAAAAAAATGATCACCCTACCCAAGTGAAAGACTCACATTACTACCTATACATCATCGGTAACCATAGACACGATAGCGAGCGGAAAAGATGAGAATGATTTATTCTTTTTCGTATGCTTCCATTTCCATGGAAATATTCATCGGCTATTCAATACGTATGCAAAAGCAATGCAGATGCAGGATTTGTTGTTTGTGCAGCCCAAGAAGAAAGAATGGGTTCAGGTCAGCCTGTCGTATTGTGTCACTATGTGGGACTTGTACAGTCAACCAGTACCGCCACGATCCCGCTCGTTCATGTTATGAATGATATGAAGAGGAACAAATAGGGAAGAAAAACGTGTATGAAAAGGGCTAAAGCTATGCACAACAATGAAAAGGGGATCAAGGCGTTTGTTTGTGAAGTTATTGTGTGCATGTGTTGTGTATCGACTGTTGATTTGAATGTGGGTGCACAAGAGTAAGCCAACTCTAATTCTCAGGTCATGCGTTTTCTTGAGAGCCAGCATTTAACCTTTTCATCTCTCATTCTATCACCAACAGATTCACACATTATCCTACTTCTTCTTCTTCTTCCTTCTCCTCTTCCTCCTCCCCCCACTTCCCTTTTCTTCTTTCTCATTGTCAATGGACGAAAGCTTTGTTTCTCGGAGAACTCGAGGCTTGAGTGAACCCATTGCTATCTTCCATCTCACCACAATGGTAACTGTCATTTCCCTTGTTGTCGAGTACTCGATCAACTAACGCGTCCATTCATTCACATAGGTAGTGGGGTTGGCTATTTTGGCATTAGGTATCTCTCTCTCTCGCTCGCTCATGGCTTCAACTTGTCGGCTGACGCTTAAATTAGGTGCATACACCATAAACTCCTCTCTTGTCAGTTGCACAATATCACTATCACTTTGCATCATTGGGTGCTTCATCACCGTCGTTTCCTTTGTCGCCTATTTCGGTACCTACATGGAACACATTGGATTTCTCAAGACATACAGTGCCACGATCATCCTATTCTCATCACTCGAAATCAGTACGTGTTGGGTTGAAGAATTGGAAAGCATGGTACTTATTTTCATTTACTTGTTGTAGTTGCATTTGGAATTGTTTATGCTCGAAGGAAGGAAGTGAGTAAGAAAAACATGGTTAACAATGGAAGCATACTCAAAAGTACGGCTATAGTTGGATGCATACGGGAGTGCATTGTGGGATTTCTTTCAAGCAAAGGATGAGCAGCTATTGATCAACATTGAGGAATCGTATGTCAACATTTGGATGGATACCTTGCATTTGTAGTAGCTAACTATTATTACCGCGTTTAGACTTCATTGTTGTGGATATGCAAATCCGGAAGACAGGCCGGTCTTGATGAGCCTTGTTAACCATGATCCAATAATCACTGCCGCTGCTGGGTGCAAGGATGTCATTATTGGTTCTATTTTCCATTGGAAGAATTGGATCATTGTTGGCGTGGTGGTACTTGTGACAATCAAGGTATATGTGTATCATCACTGATAGCTGTCATTCTTCATACAACTAACAAATGGCGATTACTATCCTAGTTGTTGGCATTGGTCAGCAGCATCTTGCTGATTATCTTGATTAAGAAGGATACTGATGAAGAGCGTAGCTATCTTACAGTGCTATCAGCGCAACGGGATTCCAGTGCATGGTATCATGGCAACATAGGATGGGGTAAGAACGGCACACCAAGCTTGTCAGGACATAGCCCGATATTTGTACGCCATCCTACTACTTTGCATTCTTCACCATCGACATCATCTGGTCGTTCCAACTACTTTTATACCCCTCGCTCACCACAATTCTGTCCTCAGCGTGTCCCAAGATATGGAAGTACTCAATCAACATTTTCATTCAAAAGCGTCAACAACTAAAAAGGTTGATCCAGCAGCAGTCTTTGTGAATAGCACCACCCTTCTCATCTCTTTCATTGTGTATATTTCTGGCATCATCAATAATAGTACTAATAATAATGAATAAAAAGCATCATTGAAATGAACGAATGAATCCATGTCTCCTCTTGACCATATTGGGTCAACATTACACCCTGAATTTGTTCAGTGTCACACACACACACGCACGCACACACACACTCCTTCACTTTTACACACACACTCTCTCTTTCCCTCTCTTCTCTTTATCAACTTTTTGGACATTCCCCACCTCCCTTTTCAAATGTCCAACTTTCTTCCTTATAACTTTACAACTCAACCTGTGTCAACGTCTCCAACAGTCTCAAGCACCAACAGGTCTCACGAATTCAGTGCTACAGCATCCCATGCGGCTCATACCTCGTCTTCCCATCCAGCTACACTTGTCTTTCAACGACCAGAATCATCTTCACCCACTCTCCAATCAACGCCATCTTCTTCATGTCTGTTTGTTCCTTCAGTGCCTTCACATCATTCCTTAACAGTTGCCGAATGGGCTGGAACAACAAGGAAACCAAAGAGTAACTATCTATCACTCGCTACAACATCCACCAATTACTTATTTCTCCCTTGCAGATGCGTCTTTATTTCCTAGTGCACCTATACCAGAGAGTGGTGATTGGCATGATGTGCACAACAATATCAAACGGATGGATCAGTTATATGATGCAACATTCTACTCTTGGCTCAAGTCAGAAGACAACGTGCTTGTAACAGCAATGTACTTGCATCGGATTGCCAATGAATATCCTTTGGAGAGGATCACAAATGCCCTCAAATGGCTGGTTGCTGATTGGCGTTGGGAAAGCACAAGTATTCTTGTTCGTCATGTCACTGTGGATTGGTGTGATGAAGCGGGTAAGGAGACATAAAAGTATGATATGGAAGGAGAGATAAGTATTAATGAATGACAATATTATGGTTAGGTGATATCAAACGAGCTTGCTTATTACGAGACCTTACTCAGAATTGGGCAACACAATACACAGCTACGCTTATCACTACCATTCTTGCCACACCTCCCTATGTATCGACAACCAACGCCCAACGAGAACGCTTTTTACGCTCATTTGCTCAGGATTGGGACTTTTCAAAGCTCTCCGAATTCTTCATGTACCTACAAAGCAGAGCCAACATTGATTACAAGCTCAAATGCATCATGTTACAAGAAGCTGCAAAGCGAGAACGTGAAACATTGAGTGCCAAACTCTATTCACGAATGAAGAGGGCCAAATCAAAAAAGCGACAAGAAAAGAGCAGCATGCAACTTGATAACAATGCAACGCCATCAGCAATAGCATCATCATCATCATCGACTACAGAGAACACAACCAATCCTAGTAGCAACAGTTGCCATGATACCGGTGGTGGTGAGGGTGACGATCCCATGGATATGGATGATGATGATGATACAACAGCCGAACCAATGAAGGATTTGGAACCATGCACAGCATCTGCAGCTTCGGTAACAACGGATGAGCAAGTTGTTCGGGTGGCGAATGAGGATGGTGGTAACAGCGGATCATCGTCATCATCATCTACCAGTAGTAGCAGCAACAGCAGTACTTGGAGACATCATCGACGAACATCGAGCAATGATACCAGTGATATGAACAAACGCTTTCGATTATCTCGATCGGATTTGGAGCCTGGGGAATCTGAGAATTGTTCATCCAGCTTGGCAACCGGTGCCAATAGCAACAATGCTACTTGTTCCACAATGAATGTTTCTACAAACACTACCACCACTACCACTACAGCTGCACCTTCTGTTGTTCCTTCAGATACCATTACCAATACTAGAAGAGCAGCAACACCAGATCACGCTTATCGACCTCATCGCCACCATCACCATCATCTTCATTATCATCACCATATCCGCTCTTCAGCCATTGCCACCGCATCCACCAGTTATTCAGTATCCAATGATACTAGCAGTAATACTAACAGCAATGAGCGGCAAACCAATGATGCGAATGGGATTGGGAGCGACTTTTCAAACTTGCACCTAGGTTTTGCAGCAGGGTCGATGGCAGTTAATAATGCTAATGCATCAGCAAGTACATCAACAACATCCTCCACAACAACATCTCATCACCACCACCATCGCCATCACCATCATCATCCAATCCCTTCGTCTTCTCCTACAACTCCTACAACATCTACTGCACCGCCCACTGCTTCTGCCACTTTTTCCAATTCATCCAGACATACTTGTTATCCAACTTCTTCCTCCGCATCACAATCCCATTTACAAATCCACAACTTTCGCCTACGTCGTCGTCGTTCCAGCTCTAGTTCATCCACTGGATCCACCGGATCTATAGGGTCTACTGTATCCCATCCTGCAACTACTACTACCACCACCACCACCACCACTACATCCTCCTCAGCGTCTACCGCTACGCCATCCATGGATCAACAACAATCGCTTGATGATGATGGATCATCCAATATGAAGAAACGAGCAACACCTGTCAACCAGGAAACTCATGTCTATCGCTAATTATTCACTTATGGATGGAAATGAATACAAGTGTTGAACAAAAAACTCATGTTGAATCAGTGATGATGTTTGGTTGATTTGGGACTTATTGGTCGGCTTAGCAATCGTGCTTCTATTTGTGATACACGACAACACATTGCATAAAGGTCTTTCTGAGATCAGGACTCTATGGCTTTGACATGCTCACTCGCATATCTCTTGGCATTACCAATAGCCGTCGTACCTAAGAGTCCATCTTCTACTTTTGTGAGCGACTGAAAAAGAAAGTTTTCTGAACATGCAGGTTTTCACTGTGATCACTGCTACTGCAGCAACATGCAGCATCTAATGTCGCATTTCTTGGGCTTGACATTATTGCTTAGCCAACACGCATCCGCAAAAGTATGCAATTGAAACATGACAATGATCGTCTCATTCATTTTCTATGCTCAAGAGATATATGTGCTCAGGAAGAATATGATGAAAAGGGGAAATCGTTTGTCGTCAACGTTATTACCAAACAAGAGCTGCATCATGTACGCCATGAACTACATGTGGGATGTAGTATCAACATCAACTTGACTGCGCGGCTTTGATGACACCAAACGCACGCATCATCCAAATAACAACGTGCCTCCCTTTCCCCTCTTCTCGGTCCGTGATGTTGCATCCTTCTTCTTCCTTCTCAAGTTATGAATTATTGACAATGAAGCACCACCACCACATGACCTTGTGCTCTTTGTTGTATCCCCTCTTGGCTATCATTTTCTTTATTCCAAAAAGTGGATTTGTCATTGCTTCATCCTATGCCGTTGATCAAGAACAATTAGCACGCATCCCATATCGCTATGCATCAACCTCGTTTGCCCGTGAAGGAGTGCTTTATAGCTATGGTGGAGTGACGCGTGATGCTAAAGCAACCACACTATTTACATCAATCAGCTTCGATCCAACAAACGGTTCTGTTATCTACCATAACGTCAATCAGTCATCTAATGCACCCTATGCGTCGTATGCTCAAGGCGTCCTTCTTAATGACAATAATCGTTTCATTTTGTTCGGCGGTACCGACAACATTACTTCGACTACCACCACACCAAACACTACTATGCGCGTGTTCGAGTATCGTTTTGATAACCAGACATGGCGAGAGCTGGTCGTTTCGTCCAACAACAATCAATTACCTTTGCATCGTATGGAGTTCACAGCAAAGCTTTCGAACAATGGGAAAGTGTATCTTTATGGTGGCACGATTCACAACACACGCACTGTGCTAGGCGATGCATGGGCCTTTAATCCCGAAACCGGGGAGTTCTCTCAATTGACGCCACCATCACCATCATACGTCTTGAGCAACACATCTTACAATGGTCCATCCACTAACACAGGCCTTTACGGCCATTCGGCTATCAGCCTTCCGTAAGTTATCCTCCATTTATACAACTACCCACACCACATCACGCTGCTTTCCTTTTTCTTTCAATTTCAAAAATGCCTGCAGCTAAACAACATGCGTTTATGTATCCATCTCACTTTCAAACCTCCTGACACGATTCTCTTTAATAGAAATGGGATCATTCTTCATTTGATGGGAAATGGATATTACAATGGCACCCTGTACGACAATACAGTGAATGACACCTTGTGCAACATGGCCTTGTTGCTTGACACCAACACCCACCAATGGCGTTACCAGCCACTTGGGGGCCAAGACATGCCACAGCAGATTATTAATGGCTATGCTGCCCTTGGTAAGCATAAAACGATAGTTCATGGATGGACCAATCTCACCATTGCATTCGTGTGTAGGACCTGATCGCAAGACAATCTATCTAAGTGGAGGTTGTATCACACTTTATTGGCCCGTGCGATTGAAAAACTAAACTTTAAATGCAACAGGGTATGGAGCCAGCAGAACATTGACTCGTCGATCGGTATCATCCAATGATTTGAGTGTGCTCAATACTACAAGTTGGGAATGGCAGACTCCAAGCAACGTGTATGGTGATACACCAAAGCCGCGCTTTTTGGCCAATGCTGAATTGTTGCTAGACAAGTACATTGTGGTCTTTTTTGGTACGTCTTTATCGTCTTTTGTTACATCTAAAACTCAGCATCCATCGATCCATAAAAGGTACATCGGAATACTTTTGGTACAATGACATCAACGTGCTGCAATTTGGTTCCTTAGCCAATGGATCATTTGTGGCTCAGTGGAAAAACAACATTACTACGCCTTTACTCGCACCTATCCAACCCATGTTCCCTGGTGATGATTCCCTTTCATCCACGCAAAAGATTGGTATTGCCCTTGCTGTCATTGGAATCGTCGTCTTCATCATTATACTTGGCTCGTGGTACTTTGGTGAACCCGTGAAGCACCTCATAGGACGCTCCTATTATGGAATCATTTGGTCCATAAGGTATGGAATTATAACCAGTATACGTACCTTAATACCAATCGCTTATCTTGTTATAGGGTTGGAGAGCCATTGTGGATCGGCGTGTCACATACGCTAACTAAATTGGCATTATCGTTCATGTTCCTTGCATACGTTATATATATTGTGAAACTGGTGATTGATAGTGGACAATCAAGCGTGGATCTCATTGAGCCTGCAAATCACGTACTATTACCAGGTTGGTCAACCGATGCAATGAAAAGGAGGCAAATGAAAAACTAATGCAAGCATAGATATTCGATTCTGCTTTGATGGATGGGTAGATACAGCCGTTGGATGTGAAACCGAAAGCTTATCTGTGGATGATTGCGTCTCGCTCAACTATATTCGACGTTTGGATATGCGTATGCACCAACCTTATTTTGATTATACCGGGGCAATCGAGTGTCATCTCTTTCATGCTGATGAATACTTTCGGCTTACACGCGCACCAACGATTGGACAGCAACAACAATGCAATGGTAGTCGTATTCAATTCAGCTTTTTTGGGACACCCGCTGAGCAAGATACCAATCGCTTTGTACATGTATCAGTATACCCACGTGGTCGTGATCCCAACCTCGACTTTTATTACAATGAGGAAAAGTACATGAATAAGCAAGAACTTGAAAAGTGGCTATACGACGATAGCAACAATCTTTTATCATCCAGCGATAAGCGCACATCATTGCATTTCAACACATCCGCTACACTAAGCTACAAGTTACTCACCCACCGGTATCTACAATCGAGTCTTTGGAATATCGTAGGCATCGCTTCAGCCTACAACAGCACCTCTGAAGTGGATGCGACATTTTCACCTGATGTGCAGCGGCTTTTACGTCCTGGCAACAACCCTGCTAGTGTCAATTTCTTGGATGTCTATCCAGAGTCATTCGTTACATATACCCGTATGGAGCAAAAACTTCACACGTTGTTGACATCCGTTGGCTCCATTGGTGGTTTATTGTCGCTGCTGATTACTCTCAACTCTTGGCTATGGGGTTCTAGAGCACGTGCCCCGCTTGGATGGGCTCATCGTGTGCTTTGGGGTCGAAGAGCACACATGTGGCTCCTCAATGGTCTACGTACCAAATTTGGAAATGTCTCTGATTCAGTGCCTTACGTGCATCCTGTTGAGTCATATCTACTTAGCCAACAGCAGGCTGATTGGCATAGCATCATTGACCTGCCACGTGATCATCGTACTGATTCTTCAGGATCATCACCGCTTGAACAGCCAACTACCTCCTCAGCAACATTGCAACCATCGGATCCAGAAATGGGAAAGAAGTACAAGTTCCGAGATAGTAATCTCACTGACTCCTCAAGGACCCAATGCGGTGATGATGATGCTGATGCCGCATTAGGCAGCTGCAACAAGTGTTTTATTGTGGCACAAGAATTGGAAAAGCTCCAACGCCGTGTTCAACTGAATGAGCTGGTCATGAAGGAATACTATATCGACGACGAGGTGTTTCGAAATATTAGCGTGGCTATGGATATCGATAACAAAGATCAACAGGAGGTTTCCTTGTCAAGACAAAGATCCAGTGCCTCCTCATTGTCTTCTCCTTTTGGTGACATAAGACGCGGATCGCTTAAGAAACATCAGTCACGCAGCATGCCATATATTCCACGTATCGTCAAGCCTATGCCATCCCTGGCATCCTTGCCGAATGACATCAGCCCTTCAGCTACTAAATCGCGGATGTAACTTTAGTCGCATTTCTTCTGTATTGTAGAATCATAATTACTTGTCGCTTTACATATGCTAATGATATATGGGCAATAAATAAAGATGGTACATCATCCATCTTTCTCTATAGCTGATCACGACAAATGTTCACATCACGCATAATGTGTCAATGTTTCAAAGAAGCTGCTGCCATAAGACATTGAAGGATGGTGGGTTTGAGACGCATCTTAACCGGAAAGTAGTAGGATCACTCTAGCATACTATTGCTAGAGTTTCACGACATTGCACTTTTGTTCCCGCATCCATCCTACATTTGGACCGCCTTGTGTTTATAATCTTCATAATGAAACATGCGGCATTTATTTGAATGAATTCCATCTTCGAAGCAATAGTAATGTAGTAATAATCCACAAGCTAACGAAGTCCAAGCGCGTAATAAATACATTTTGCTACATTGCCACCATCGTGGTCGTCGTCTCTGTCCAGCATCATTCGTACTCGTATCCGTCAGCAGTCGTCAATCTCATCATCACCCAATATCCAAAAACACACACAAGTTGAAAAGAATGGGATCTCGCAGGTTTCCTTTTGAATCGTTGTCGTTGTCATCGTCATTGTTGTGAATGCCATTATCATCGTAATCGTCATTGTTGTGAATGTCGTTATCATCGTAATCGTCATTGTTGTGAATGTCGTCATCATCGTAATTGTCATTGTTGTGTATGTGGTAATCATCGTAATCGACGTCTCTATAAATAAGAAAGCAGGCAAGTTAAGGAAGAGAGCAAATCAGAAGGAATTCACAAACCAAATCACCACATACAAGCAACGTCGGGATCCCTTGTTCTTGAGAAAGCACTGCACGAATCACGCAAAGCCAGTTCGATCCATGGCAAGGAAGGGCTCACTTACGTAAAGTTCAGGCTCATAGCTGTTCTCATTCATCCTCTCCAAAGAAAGAATGATTCCCAATCCTTCCAATCACTTCCCACCTCATGAAAAGAAGTCCTCAAGGGCAAGAACGAGCCTATCACAAGAAGAGTGTGTTGGTTCAACACATTCACAAGCTGTTGCAAATCCCCTTTTACCTCAACACGGTGACCATGCTCTTGCAAAAATCCATCGTCATCGACCCATCCTCAACTCAACGCAGGCCTATAGAGCACTGGACGCGTTCCAAGAAGCTTTTCCGGCACACTTGGCTGGTGCAGAGCGACGCAGCGGCTACTTGATACAGGCTGGGACTTGAACCCAAAGAGATGATGATGATGCCCCCAAGTTGCATTGCCTGACCAAAGAAACCTATTCAATTCATTATTAGCACACACACAATGAACACCCTTTTCATTGTTTGTTTCATTGTACTTGCCTTTTCCATATACACAAAGACCCGTTGTTGTTGTTGGTTACTGGAAACCGAAAACCATGGTGTAGTATAGTTGAGCCGAAACAAAACGCCAAACCAGCCAACGTCTTGAAACCAAACTTGCCCTCTATACAAGCTGACGCGTCAATGGAACCAATTCGGCTGCAACAATGGACTCTGAATGTACCTGTTGACTCCAAGCGTAGAGCGGGAATAGCAACGAGCAAAAGGAAGCAACAATATCGCCATGGCAACCACCAACCACCAACCACGCTCATTCCTCAGCACTTGGACACACTCACTCCCTGACAATGCATGTTCAGAACTACATTAATACCTCACAGCCAACAAGAGTACTTTTTTATATAATACATTACCTTGATCGGGATGTCGTGTATGGGATAAAGCAGAGGCGGTGAGAAAGAGAAGAGAAGCGGTGTCTCAAGTCGTGGAGCTACAGTCCCCCAAGTTTAAATCCCCTACTGCTATTACACTGAGGCCACTCAATGACCCCCCACACACACACCATCCACCCATCATGATCATCACCCTCACGATAGACAATAGGTACACGTAAATAAAAGAAATGATGATCCTCACGTATAGCAAAAGGGTGTGTGCCATTTTACACTTTACATGATAATGATGATCCAACAACAGCCATAGCCTTACTACCAGGTTAGCTCGAATCATGAAAGTTGGATGATGGGCATGCTGGGCTGGAGCAGTGCAATCGTTCGTATGCATTGGATTGGACAACAATGGAGAATGGGAGGACTAAGGTTATTAGCTGGCATTTTCAACTATTCCTAAATAGTGTACAAGAATCATGCATCGCCTGAGCTGAATGACTTAAGTTACACAGACACGCCCTCTGCATCTTTGGCTCTGTTATAGTCAGGGCTAGTTGCGACATTGAACGTGGAACTTTCACACAAGGTGCAGTTGGCCAAGCCGAGCACATTGCTCTATTCAAAACCCCACGTTTCATTGTAAAGTTTGGAGATACAGGCACCTTTGTGTTTGTAAGCGTGATGCTATATGAAGAGTGGTCTTTGTTCATTGTCAAGTAGGTGGACCCTGGCAGAGCAAAAGATGCAGAGGGTCGTGTTGTGTAACACAGCTACGTTTGCATGAATGAAAGGGTCAGTGTATAATTACTTTATGGATCGTCTAGGAACAGGCATGTATTACTAGCTAACGGTCACTTTTATCCAGTCATCATTGTTGCGAGATCCACTGCATGGGAACGATGCCCCTGCTCCAGACATTCATTTCCATGATTAAAGTAGGTTGATCCGAGCTGATTTGACTGAGCTGCGGTCAAAGAGAGATTACATCACTCTGGACATAAAGCACGCTCGATGTAGCTCAACCGATGTAATCTTGTGGGAGCGTAACTCAACCAAATCAGCTCGGATCAACCTACTTTAATCATGGAAATGAATGTCTAGAGCAGGAGCATCGTCCACCTACAATAGAATGCACAAAAGTTGGGAATGCACAAAAGTGGCTATTAGCTGCCAATGTATGAC